GTGCGGTAAAATCGCGGAAATATCCGAAATGGCTCGGATTCATGGGAAACGAAACTGACGTGGTAAAGTGGCGCTTTCTGCACGCTAGACGGTGCATAATTTTTTACAGACGGGAGTAGAAAAACCCGTAACCAATACATAGTTCAACGCATCTAACATTTTTATGTGACGCTTTACGCACGCTTGATCGGTGCATAATTGGGTAATCTAGAGTAGCAAGTAGAAAAACGTTGTTAAAGCTCACGCCCTGATATCGAACAAACGCACGGTATTAAAAAAGCTCGCCGGGATTTAATTAAAAAGCGGTGCATTCGTGCTTTATCTCAAACAAAGTAAAAAAATATAATTAAAATTCGGGATAGTATAACATGTGCAAGAGCCGGTGCGTACGAGCAAAAAAAAATGGTAGTCTTGTTTTGTCGGGATTTATTTGCATCACTAATATTATAACGTTTTCTTTACGACCCCATGGAAAATAGTTATATATTCGTGGCTTTTTAGTAACATTTCGAGATCATTTTGCCGTCAGCTGCGATTTCGAAGTTTGTTTTAAAACTGTCAACTGCTTGTTACGTGGAGAATGATCGATGGGTAAAAACTACAGGGGCCAGAATAATTTTGTAAATTAATTATTTGAAAACAACGTCTCAGTTTGTAGTACATAAAACCGCGAATACTGAAAATACCTTTATTGGGCCTTTAATGGTTTAGTGAAAATTGGATGATGAAATCTGAAATATCCTCTTTTTTTCATTAATATAAAAATTACAGTTTATGACTTTTGCTGCGACAGGATTGAACAAAACCAACCGAAATGACAATTATCAACTAAAAAGAGGCCAAGCAGATTGCGATTTACAAACTTGAAAGGATATGGTGGTGGGCGCTGGGGCTATGGTATCCGTCATTTTCTGTTGTGCCCATCATAAACAAATAGTATTAAAAAAATAAAAGAAACGAGTAATTAAGCACATGAAAATCTTATTTTCATTACAGGGAGGGCCAAAAAACTTGTTTTCTTATGAGACATTTTATTTGAAGAGGGAGAAAATTTTCAGGCAATTTCAAAGACGCTTTTGAAATATGTAAAAATACACAGGACGTTTTACGTTTTTACAGACGCCTAGAGACCAAGATGGCAAGAAAACAACTTTTTTTGCCCACCTTGTATATCCGCAAATATTGCAAATTTTGTACTGTAATCCTGGAAAGTTTTCAAACTTCCCGATTACAAATATTCTTATTACCTGTAAAGAAATTTTAAATGACATGTTTAAAAGCTGGGAGGACAAAAACTGAACTGAGAAGGGGACATAAAAACCAACAACTAACAAACAAAAATAAACTTCTATAAATCAAATGGTGGCGGATGCTGGGGTTATTGCATCCCAATTATTCAAAAATACGTTGAGTAACCCCCGAAACAAATTGGAAGTAGGTGGCACAGCAAAGGAAATATAGAACTTTTGCGTTGCTCTTTTCAATTTTTTGAACCGGACATAAACAAACATAAATTTATCATTTTAACCGGAAAGTTGCTCAAACAAAAATAAAGTATTGTCGGAAAGCTGAAATGAGAAAACAACATAAAACCAACAAAATCTAATAAACAAATAAATTTCAATCTGCATAGAAATTAAATGGTGGCGGATGCTGGGATTATGGTGTCAGAATTATTCAAAAATACGTTGAATAGTTACCACTGAAACATAAATAGGGCGCAGAGCAAATAAACAAAATTTGCGTTGCTCGTTTTCATTTTTCGAACCGGGCACACACAAATTCAACCGGGAGAAACAAATCGAGAAATACGCCCTCATAAGAATTGAAACGCATTCAAATACCGCACAGTACGTCCCTGTATTAAAATATTGCCAAATTTATCCTTTTAAGCGGAAAGTTTCTCAGCGCAAAGCAACCTGTCACATTCGTTCCGCATTTTCCACGAACGCGCGGTAGTCTCCGTCCGTATTGAAATTGAAATCATTCGCGCCATATTTATGGCACTAAAGATACAAAAGTTATTGGGAATTTTCGGTGAAATATTAGCATGTTAAAAGGAAATAATGCCGAAATACATGTGCCGGATATTATACGAATGTTCCGTCGCTTTATCAGAAACTACTGCGGGGCGGAATAGCTGAATTTTCTACACCGGATTGTTTTCAATTTGGGTCGTGTGGGATTGCGTGCCACGTCGTTAGCGATGCAGATTATTGTCTGGGGAATTATTTTTTACGGTTATGGCTGCCCGGTACGAAATTTCATTCTAATTGGATCCAAAAATTGGCAATTCGTAGGTATTGCTGTTGCCCGGAAAGTTCGTTGCCCGTGAACTTCTTATTTTGGTTTCACTCTATACTTAATTAGGTGAATAATATCACTAGTGTTATCAGTTCAAGTATTGCGATCTAGATAGAGTGCCACTCCACGATGCACAATGAATGGTATTGTTACATATCTAATTTAGGTAACATAAACATATACTTTTTTCTACATTTTTACAAAGTGTCACTTTAAAACTCTGTCGCAATCAGCGTCGAGTGTTTCCGGTGAATTAGATACCGGTTGGGAGTGACCCAGTAGATTTAAAATACTGATAGTATTTTGACGCTTGTCACTATTGGCCACTAATAGTCGTAGAAAAATTATAGTATGCAGCACTTCTATAACTTTAGTCAAACACTCGCTTAGTATAATCACTCGTTCCGCTCTTGCTTAAACAACGTCGTGACTAAAGCGCCGTTTATAAAACTTGTACTAAACTTAAACTAAATACATACCATGAAATTGCACCTTTTGGATCTTTATTTTTATAAACATTAATAAATATTAAATAAAAAATGTGAAAATTTTTCGTATATTTTCATTAAAGTTATTCATTATATTTTTACATCCACTTATATAGTTCATTTAAATGCTTAGTAACAAAATGTTATATTAGTGTATAATAAATAATAATAATAAATAATATAAATAAATAATAAAAATAATTAAAAACTTTCACTTTTTTAACAATAGAAGCCACTGTATATTTTTCCCAAGGATGAGATTCTCTTGCATCTCGATGTCAAAAATATATTGTTTGAGGGTATTTATATAAAAAAGGAAATTATTTTACAGTTTTCATCTGCTTACTTACCCATTATTATAAACAAATACTGTTTGTTGAAATTATAATATAAGTGACTATTAACATCTGGGTGCCATCAAGACCTATGAACAGTGTTTGTTTTCCAAGGTCATTGATGGTGATAACTAAATTCTCTTTTTGAATGATAAACCTAAATTATTTTAAAAAGAGCTAAACGAAACGCTGAAAAAATTTTGATATCGGGCTAAAAGTGACTTTCATTTTAAGTAAAAATAAACAGTGCTCTATTCAAAAAATGTAGTTGAATTTTTTTTACGTTTTCATAGCTTCATTTGTTTTTATTGCTATAACTACTTAAATATTTTGTTACGACAGTTGTTAAAAATTCGCTCTCAAATATTGATAATTTAGTCAATTACTTACTAAATTTTAAACAATTTACTTTTTATAAATTTATATCGGGGTTCAATAAGCATCTTACAGAAGAACCTAATTTAATTAACTAATGGGTAAAAAAATTCCTTCCTGCAATAAAAGCATAACATACTTTACACCTCACGTAAAATGAAGATTTATATGAAGACTTATATTTCAGCCAATTTTAAAAAAATGTATATAATTGGTTATAGCTTAGACATAGTCGTGCAGAGTTTTGCAAAAAAAAATAATTCTAAGACCGACTGTGAGACAAATTCTTCCTCTATTTTGAAGAACATTTTTTGGGAGTGCCGTTATAAAAAACATGAAATCTTAAAACATAAGACATCTTTCCACCACCAGCATCGCTAAATAACTGGAACTGCACTGGAAACATCCTTGCATGGGCGTACTAACAAAATAGTAAATAACAAAAACATAAGCAATATAACTTTCGTATAGCAGCTCTCCCTAATTTTCCTTTGCGTGGGAATTTAAAATTATTGCTTCGTGATTCCTTGTCACATTGGCAACATTGACAATCATTTCCCGCTGACTGTGAAGGATTTTACCACGAAGGTAAATATTCATTGCCGGTTATCATTCTGTCGTGTTCTCATTAGTCAATTATATTGATCAATGTTATTAAATCTATACCATTGATATGAAAAAGTCAAATGTGAAACTCCGTTTAACGATATTGATCCATTATTTTGCGTTCTAACAATCTTTCGATTTGTCGACTATCAACGGGATTGATTCAATTAAATTAAGGTTTGAGGTTATACTAATTTCTGGCATTGCGAATGGTATTCTGATTCTTATCATTCAGTAGTATATATTCAATGTTTAGTCAAGAATTGACTAATTAGAACACTGCTTTAATCCCATCAACACGCAGATTATTTCAATTCAATTAAATACGTAACCTTGTTGTTGTTTGAATAGGAACAGGGTAGTGAAAGATATTATCAAAGTCTATTTGAAGAGTATATTGAAGCTTCAGTAAAGAACTGAAAGGCAATTAGAAAAAAAATCAAATCTCAGTTGAATTCATTTTTCCACAATATCAATATCTTGGGAGGTCAGATTTCTTTAATAGATGAAAAAGTGAAGTGAACTCTGCGCGTGCACTATTTAATCTTAAATGTCGATATCATCCAAAGACAGTAAATTCTGCGATAATTCAAAAAATAAAAAATTAATGAGATAGTTTTAACATCGATTCGCCTTAGAAATCACGAAAACTGGGAATTTTAATTTTCTAAAACGTTTTTCATTTCCAAAGTGGGCATTCCTCCAACGTTCTCGTTATTTTACTGGCCTCGCGTTTTCAAAAGACCCTTAATTACGCTAATTTCCAGTATTTTGGCTCGTCTCGAGATATTCCACTCGCATAAAACCTTGTAAATGTATTTGAAAGATTTCAATTTAATAAGGTCGACTATTTGGATTACGCCCCTTTGAGTATAAAAATTTCTTATTTCAGAGATCTGAAGGAAGCCATCAGGTGCATCCATCAGTACACCAGAGTCTGTATGACCTTCAACAACAGGAGACACTTTAAAAAATTGTTTCACGGAACGGGGGAAATGGTCAACAACTTATGCAAAAATGGAACCTACCAAGAAGGTAAAATTGAAAAATATAAAAAACATTTTATTGACTGACGGTGGATGCGCGGAATTTTTACGTAACTTGCTCGCCTTCCGTTTAGAGTATCTTCGACACGCGCCTTGCATGCAACGAGTGGAACCGGAAAACGAAATCTGTTTCAAGAAGTACGCCAAACAAATGAATGAGATCCAGTCCAAGTCGCCAATCGAAAATGTTTCGGAGCCCGATTTAGTTAGTTACCAAACGTACCAAAAGAGGAAAAGAGATGCGGCGGACGAGGGCATCAAGAACGTATGTTGGTGAGTAATTCTACGTAAATAGTAACTTCAAATCAATAAAGCGAGATGATTTTTTTCATCATGAACAGAACCACATTAAATTAACAACTAACCGTCTTTTTAGTCTGCGGTTACAAAAATAAAATTTTCTGCTCCTTACTCTAAAATAACCTATTATGCACTGATCAGAAGTGCGCAAAATTTAACATTAATATCTCAGCTTCGTTAAATACTGTCGCGAGCTACTTCGGGCGGTTCCAGTACTTTAGTCACGACTATGAATCTTTGAATCTTCGAGAGATTTAAAATATGATAAATGTATCCAAGAATAATTTCAATAGAAAATAGAACACGTTTATAAATTTTCGTAAAACACTTGTTTATTAAACACTCGCTCTGCTCTGCTGAAAGTCGTGACTAAAGTTGTATAAACTGATGCGTAACTTTTTCATTAGCCGATATTCAAATATCTGATGGAAGGTTTTTCTATTCCAACGCACTGAAAATGTTTCATTAATTACTACGTAATTTTCATTTTTGTCTATACGAATCATTCGTCAGTTATTTTGGAATTTAAGTGACGATTGTTTTTGATTTTGTATTTGTAAAATATAAGTCCAAGGACGCAGTAGTGGGTTCATGTTTGTATTAACAAACTTTATAATTTTTCATTTTTCGTTATTATACTTAAATATTTTATTACCATAGTCGTATTTATAAAACAACTCAATAAAACAAAATCAAGTCATGTGATATGAAAATCCAATAAAATCAAATTTCTTTTGCCGGTTATTTATTAAACAGCCAACCATTTGCAACACCAGAATTTACCATTATAAGAAAATATGTATTAATTTTTTTAAAAGAAACTTCTACATATTACAGTAGATACGTAATGTTTTCGATTGTTAAAAATCCGCTATTTTGAAAAAACGCCGTGAAACAGTAATTGATATTCAAATTGACCAATTTTGTCCGCCCTGAAGAGGGTATTTCAGCAGGAGCTTCGTCGATTTGTTATGAACAAAAACTTAAAAATTTAGGAACAAGCTAGACCCGATCCCCTATAATATTTTTATGATCGCAGTATAATCGGAAATAGATGTCATTTTGGTCATTGCTACCTTACTACCTTATAACTTATTTATTTTTCCCCGAAACATTCAATATCTATAGAGTTCAGAGCACTTTTTTTACCATTAAAGACTTTTAGGTCACGAGTCGGTGTATACTTTTTATTTCTTAGAATTTGAAATATTCTTTTTACAGTTTTGTAACAAAAGAATTTACCACTATAAAAAATATATAAATTTTTCAAACAAACTTCTACATGCTACTGTACTACTATGTACAAATCTTCTGGCTTCATCCTGAGTCGATTGTTTATAAATCAAATTTGCTGACGTTTTGCCAATCATTCTGTTGGCTTTTTCAGAGCTTCTTTAATTTAGAAAAAACCAACGCAGAAGGAATCCAGAAGATTTGGTGATAAATTAACATCAACATGAAATTAATAGCATATATCCTAGATATACAACTTTGTCACCGTTAAAAATGGTCAAAAATATCACAACCGCTTAAATCAATGAAGAACCATGTACTAGCAAACTGGTGGAAATAAATTTAAACAATCTCTTATTACAATTATCTGCCATTAGTCCTAACGTGTATAACAAATTTTCCTCGCAAAATCCACATTGAAACCACGATATTTCAATGAACGCGGTTCGCTGCTCGACGTATATTTCATTTTCTAAGTTCAAAATACTTTTGAGCTTATTTTTTGAATTATAAAAATGGACGCTAAAGTCGTCAGCTGTTAATATAACGCCGAATGAATATCTTGAAAGAAGTACATAATGAGTGAGCGTACATTTACGATTACAAAACAACGGAATCATTAATAAAACTGTCGGCGGGTGTTTGACGAGTTTTTAGTAATATATTAGTAACTTAAATTAGTTAAACTAATTAATCTTACGCAGTTACAGGCGGTTTTATATATTCGTGACTAACCATCGTTAATGCGGGAGGGCTTTCACTTTCCGAGAGCACCGGAAAAATCTTAGCGTAAAAACGCCGCGCTATATAAAGATTTATGGGGGGTCGGTTCGCCCGCTAGACCTCAAATAACATCCATAACATTACATTCGCTCTCATAAATAACTGATAAAAAAAAACATTATTTACGTCATTTTTGAAAGCGGAAGTTTAACATTCGAAAATCGTGTACACGTACGAATTTGCAAAGTTTTCATGAAAATGTGAAATCGATGAAGAGGCGATGATTATTTTAAACATTAGTCCTGTAGATAAATTGGTGTCTGGGTGTCTGGGGTTCAATTTATAAAAAAAAAAGTCAACGTGAACAGAAAAGTTAGATACACCAGGATTTGCATGCAGTGATTGTTCGCTAAGTTTTTGGCAGTGGTTGCCGAAAAAATGTAACCCAGTACGCGATGTCCCGTTGGTTCTTTGAAATTTATTTCAAAGATTTTTACGGTCGCACCCGTCCAAAGTTCAAAACATTTATTTTTTTTAAATATACGGCAGGATGTCCCATAAAAAAATCGCAATTTAATAATAAAATAACCATTTAATGTTACGTAAATAGGTGCTTTGTAAATGTTTTCATAGAAACACAAAATGTATTATAGTAAAAAGATTGCAGCAATCTGAAAAATTTAATATCCACTAATTTAGGGCACTTTTTTAACCATTAAAGTCTTCAAGTTTAAATTGTGGGAATGTAATAAACAAATTGTCTATTCCTCCTTTTAGGCCACTTTATGTTATCAGACATCAACATCGATATTTCTTTGCAATTATTTTTTTAATAAATGGTTTGGGTTCAAAAAAAAAGTTTTCAACGTTTAAATTAAAAAGAAAAAATATTTTAGGCTCGGTTTAAGAAGAGTGATAACAAGCCTCATACAAATGTTTCGGCATTGAAAGTTTAAATGTTATTCTGAATTTTTTCATTGACTGAGAAGGTTTATATAATATTATAATAAAAATTGGTAGTTTTAGGGTTTTTGAAATGTAAATTACTTAAAGGGCTCTAGTTTCCCCGTATTATTTCGGTAATTTGAATTATAATTTTTTTTATCTATCGAGTTTATGGAAAAATATACATTTTTTCATAAAAAAAGGTACCCTTATGGTCTTCTCTGGTGGTTTTTGGCTTATTTGCATTTAAAAAGCTTCAGGTATTTTTTATTTCTTTTCTATAAATACTTGAAAGATGAAAAAGTGCTGGGTGTAATAAAAATCTAAGATTTATTAATATTTATCAATATTTATTATAATTGCCTATTGTTTATGAATCACCTTTCGACCGAGCTTGAGGTTAGCGCCACGTCTACATTGTCAAAATAACTAACATCATATTCTCAAAATTTCAACCAGTAATCTCCAAAAGTCCAAAAAGGGGGAGGAAACAAAAAACTAACCAAAAAAAAAACATTTTCGGTTCACTGATTAAATGGGCATTAATGGTTTGTCGCTGTTGCTAGACAAAATATTTTGCCCGGTAAAAATAGCATAACTACTAGATTTTTGAAAAACATTTTTTTTTCAGAAATAAACAAAATAATGAAATGACCACTTTTTACGAACTTCCATATTTGTACTAGTTTCTCTTTCTATAGATTTAAAAAATATAGCGTATCTTAATATAAGACTAAATTCTTTTAAAATTTAAATCGTTTATTCGCCACGGACCCAGTTTTGTAAAATTAAACGAAATCCTTAAAAAAAAACAATGTGGAATATTCGAATAAAAAATAAATATGAGTTATTATGTATATTATCGCATAGTAATTATCACTAGATTTGACGTAGTTGTCCATATTTGCAATCTGCACACATATATTTGCAACTTTCTGTGTTGATTTGTGCAGCGCCGTTGTGAATTCACGCAGTTATGCTTCTGGAAAACAATTTCGTTATAAAAGCATTCATCGGTAAAATAATGATAAAATTTGGCAAATATTTAACAAACAAAATAGTTTTTGCCGGGAGCGTTATTCAATTTGTTTTGCAAATTAAATACAGATTTATTATTTGTCGCGTAACAGAGTTGCATAATTGATGTGATCTTTTATTTGTTAAATATATTTTAAAAAATACGAATTAGTAATAAGTGCTGCACAACCGCTATATTTTACTATTATTACAAGATATTGGCGGGTGTAAACACATATTTAAAACATCGTGCATTTGCATACGAAAATTAGTTCGTAAAAAATTTGTAGGGCCCTGAGGTTTGCCCACCGAAAAGAGCAAAACGGGTTACACTTGGCCCGATGAAGAATTTGTGCCACAATAATCGTTAAAACCTCCATTAATATGGAAATTTTTCGCTGCCCTTTAAATATTAGCCGTTCTCTGTTAAAAAATTATAATAATCTAACACGTTAACGGCCAAAAATGAACCGCGGTTGGCTACCGCAGATCTAATCAAATGAAAAATGTTAACGGTAACTCGACACCTCTTCCCCCTTCATTAAAAGTTTCTGTTATAAAAATATTGCGACATTTTTGCACAGAGTTGTAGACAAAATTCCTTCTTCAAATAGAGCTAACCTAGATATTTAACTTTATTAAAACTTTATGGAAAAACCTGGCGTAAGTAGAACAAAATTTCACATGAGAAAGTACAGAGCAAAGTTTTATATATTTTTTAAAAATAAATCTAGTCTCATAGATACTTACTATGCAGTCGAGTCGATCTCTCGAACTATAATCCTGTAAGGCGAATATGGGGTTTTGTGATATTTATTTATTGTTTTCTTTGTCACACACATTAATACCGGTGGCAGGTAATTGCAATAAAATATTGTTTATATTTCACACTTTTTCTACCAGTTTGTATTTTTTGAGCCAAATCTTTGATTAACCGATACTTTCTAAAAGTATTTTATTCATTTTCAATAATTTATTCTTGTTTAGAATAAGTAATTGTGATATATTTTGTATATTTTTGCAGTAGTCAAGCTTATATATGTAGATTACCTAATAATATTTCATAGTGTTAATTTGTTTAAACGTAAAATTTTTGTTTGAACGCCAAATAATCATGTGTGACAAGAATTCCCATTACTAGCCGTCTTTTTCAATTGTAAATTTTTGAGCTTTAAACGTTACAAAAGCTGTTTTCCTTCGTAATAAAGTTTTAACCTCTATCACATCTTTTTTCATTCAGAAAAACAGAAAAAAAATCCAAACTTACACAAAATATTGTTGGAAACGTTTATTGGATGCAGAAAAAGAAAATAAAAATAATGTGTAAAAAACGGCCAATGATTCTTCCTTTTAAACGTTTCTTCCTCTTTTTGTTTATAAATGGAAAGAAGATGTTTCACGGATATTTAATATTTCAATTATAAAAAGATTAATAAAATTTATTTTGAGAGTTTAATTATTAACATAAGAGACCGAAAATTAATAAATACAAGTAAACCAAATGCCAAATACTTCCAAGAAGTTTTAAAGTGTGTAAATGTGTACTTTGTATTTTTAAAATCAACTCACATGGTGGCACAATACTAAAAAACTAAGGTTAAATAAATCTGGTCTTACACTTGACCTTTCTACCACAAAAAACTACAAATGTAACACGTATTTCTTTTACAGTTCATTCCAGGAATATGTAGACTGTTCTACAAAAACAACCAGAAACACATGCGGGAACGAGGCAGCTGAGTTCAGCAGGAAGTTCTTGGACAAGATGTCTACTAACATGATACAGGTAAATTTGTGTGTATTATATTGGTCGTCTGCGAGACGAAAAATTATTTAGACCGAAATAACGAATAAACTTGTAACGGGTGCAAAAAAATCGTGCCCCGGCTAAAACTTTGCCGTTTACTTAAAAAGTTGAAAGGGATTATTTTCTTTAAAGCATTTATGAACTTCTAAAGGCTTAATTAAACTTTTAGTTCTGCGTACTTTGGACTTTGTTGATTGCCAGAGATTAGGTTTTCCTTAAGCAGTTGTAAAATAGTTTTTAAACTACAGAGTGTCAAATTTTAAAATTGTAAAAATAAAGAAAAAAGACAAAGAAAATTTAATGTAGTCCCGGTGAAAAGCATCTTGAAAATCTTATTGTCATTGAGAATAGAAAATACGGCAATGTTATTAATATTATGAGTGTTTATCCTTTTTTGTTGATTTTCTCTCTCTCTAAACACTAGTCGCGCCTCCTAAAAGATTCCTAACATTTTCTTTTATATATAGAACATGATAATAAACTAATAACATATCCATAACTTGTTTTGTAAATTTAAGCAAGCAGGGTAACCGCTAAATGGGCGAAACCCTCACATAAAATAATTTTCACCGAAACCTGTGCGCTATGCGACTGCGTGGATGCTGATACAAATTGAGCTTGTTCCGGCCTATGCCAGCATAGTAGCCCTGGACTTTATTCATTCATCGACCACCGAAGGAATAAAATTTGTTTTTATGTTACTTCAAAGCATTCGGCTTTTTATGCCATCGCAAATTTGGATACATCAAATTCTCGATTATGCTCTCTCATATACGCGTCCCAATAATAAAGGCCATTCGCGTCTGCTGAAAGAGGTAATAAAAAACCAAAACAAACATTAAAATAAATAGATGTCGTTTGTGCGGAGGCGGGCGCGATATTATAAAACGTATAACCGAAACGTGATTATGGCCGAAATGTTTTATTTGCGCGTTTTGGGCGCGGCATTTTTGATAAATTCGCTAAAAACCGAACGCACGCACGCGAAAATGGATTAAACGCGATCGGAACACGTCGCGATTCCATTTACCGCGAAAAAATTGAAACCGTTTCTCAGACTTGTTTTACGGTCCTCGTCCTTTCGGTTTGTAGAAAAAATAAACACTAATTTCGGACGGCTAAATTTTAAGAGCGGGCGACTTTTTTTTATATTCGTCGAGTATCTTCCTCGTTTGCTTTTAATTTCATTCGGTTTGTTTATTTTCGAAACGTGTCGGGAAGCTTTCGTATAAGCACCGCCATTTTCTGCGTTAAGTTTTTAAATGTTAAAGCGCGTTCATGAACGAGGCACGTTCTCAGGAAGTTGCTTATTCGAGGCTTATTTTGATTTATCAGGACTCTTTATGGGTATGCCGGCAGTTAAAGAAAGGTTAACTTTGTTAGAGATATGTCATTAGTTTTCCCTTCGTGAATTGGCCAATAAATAGTGGATTTAACTCCTAATAATATGAGTCAAGTCAAGTGCACACAATTTGATATTGATTGAGCATAAATTCAGAGGTTCAAATGGTACAAGAAAGTTTTAATTTGTTTGAAATTAGCGGGAATTTTGGAATACGATAAATTTCCTCAAAAAAGTGCGCAAAATTTCCAATTGAAAAAATATAATGTCGGAGAGTAGAACACTTTCTATTATTGATAGGGAATCAGACTTACCCTCCACTAAAAAGATATTTAAAAACTGTACGGAAACTTTCGGTTGGGTTGCGCAAAATGTGCGCGTTATTGGGATATTGTATATGGTGACGTGGAATATATATGGCGGACAGAAACTTGGCGGAGACTGTTTTTTTCTGGGTACATGGGAATATTCTCTAACGTACGTCTTAAAAGTAGCATATAATAAATAAATTCAACCCTGTATTGGCATGACCAGCGACATCTAAAATAATACAATTACAATACTTTTCTTCCATTTAATCGACTTTGTCTTCTCAATGCATGGTTTCCAATATCCCTATGTAAGTTCCTTATTTCTTAACTTATTTACACGATTTTATTTTTCTTTAAAAATATTTTTAGGAAACCAAAAATCTTAATTGCTTTTCAGAGTTCATTGCATTGTATGCTAAGTATTTGTTATCCAGTACGATGGTTTAAATTAAATTTCACAACATATTGAAGCAGAACTAATAATGTAAACAATATTAAATAACAAATATTAGCATATTACCTTTAAATAAAAACATGCTTATTTATTTTTCACAATTCCAGAATAAGGTTCTTCAAAATCGCTGTTATCTATACCGATATTGTACTTGTTCTACTTTTTCGACTAGGTGGAAATTTCTTATGCTACAAATGAAGGTGAGAGATACTAGAATATTTCATAAATCTTAGATTGTACATTTTCTGGAGATTTTATGAGTACCGTGCGTGTGTTGGATTTTGGCGACTGTGGAAGGCATTGGATAACATTTCCAAAGAATTCCATATTTTTTGCCGAACCTCGCGTGTTATAAGATTTTTTCTAGTCAAAAACAATCCCTTATTTCCCTTCCGTACTTACCAAGTTTTGTAACCTAATCTTATATAGGCTAGAAAGTTACCAGCACCACAGATATGACATTTTTGAGGCGTAGACGAATTTGACATAAGGGAGTTGCATACTTTTCTGTCAACCATAGTTTTAAAAACGACGATTGTCTGATAAGTTTCTTAACGTATAGTTTGTTGATAAAAATTAAGAATCAGTTTCTTTGATAAATTGGATAGCAATAGGAATGGGAAAACGTGTGCACGATGTACAAACAATTTGCAAAAGTATTTTTTCAATGTTACCGCTTTCAAAATTACAATTACACTACAAAGGAATCGTAGTTCTTTAAAATACTAGCATTATCTGATTCATTACTTTGTACGTACTTTGAGGACCACTTATCCACCATGTATAAATTAATATTAAAGTCATAATAAGAAGAAGAGGAAAAAAATGGCATACAAATTGTGTATTTTTATAAGTACGAACGCAAGCAAACTGAATAAAATTAAAAGGAATCGGTAACAAGGTTACCGCGAAGTTTTCCAGAGTGGGGTCATTAAAATACGATAATTTTTTCGATACGGAGAAAATCATACATTCATAAATGTGTCAAAAGAACTATTTTACAATCCAATAACTATACTGTGATAATACGTACCTTCAAAATTGTCTCCCGTTTCTTGAAACACTAATTTCACACTTCAAAATGACAGATAACGCTGTCAATAATGCAAACTCGGTATCTCGTATTTCTAGTTGCCCAGCCTACTAGAAGCTTGAATCATAAATTATATCATTAAACGAAACATTTTCTGGACATATTTTTATATTTCGAGTTTATACATATTGTTCATTGTTGTTTATAACATTTTAAACTATTTTATCTCAAAGAAAAATGTCATTTTGTCATCCTAGAATTGCAAAGTATGGTCATTCTTGTCTTTTTCTTATACAGGGCTACTACTACTACCTGTTTAATTACTTTATTTATCGATATATTATTATTTCCGGCGTTTAAAAAAAATTGTTGCTGCGAGCATATAATTATGTATATTAAAGGAGTAACGTTTAAAAAAAATTAAAACAAACTGGTATTAACCTGAATATGTACTCATATTTTACCAATATTGTTCATTTCTTGAAAAAGGAATTAAATGTTTTAAATTTTACAGCTAACACTAAATCAATAGCTAAATTTCCCCAGAGAGCACAAAATGAATTCACAGAGTACCCTCTAGCATACAATTTACCCTCAAAAACCCGAAGCAGGTAGAAAAATTGCGAAATAATGTAGTATTTTTTTAAAATAGACCAGATTATTTTTTTTAATATGCCAAAATTACCAATTTAAGTAGCACCAATATCGATTCTGCAGATATATTTCTATTATATATTCCGATACATTCGTCCAATTTTATATGATTATTTGTTGCAGCTGCACTGTCAAAATTATGGCCCCAGGGAATGCGGACTGATTACATCGTCGACAACTCGTACGCGGACCTCGTTCCTGTCAATTCTATTTATTAGCATCATACCATTTCTTCTGTGGTAAAAACATTGTTAGTTCCTGATTGCAAATATACCAAAAAAAAAAGAATTCTATGAGAGATTTTTTGCGAGTTTTGATGAAAGTACTGAAAATTCCTCAACATCACACTTAAATTTTAAAGCTCTGCGCCACTTAACTTTAAACCAGCATCTTTTTATATAGTCATGCGCAGCTGCTAGGTAAGATAAATCGGTAGTTTAACTTGGTTAGGCAACTAGAGCATAGAACTTTGAAAGACTGATAACTTTAATTTTAACGAATTTCTCTTACCTAGCTTTGAATTTTTCTAAAATTTTCTAGATACATCAACATAATTATAATTTATTTTATTTATTTTTGAATGTCATCCAAATCGCCCTAAACGTTAATAGTTAAGTTACAAAGAAAACAATTAATTTAATAACTCGAATCTCATATTACAAACATATTATTATGAAAGTTTTGCATTCAATCGATAAAACAAAGACCGTGTATTTTTTGTATCAATTGGCATTTTCAAATACATATTATTGTAAATACGCCTGAACTCCAACATCAATAATAACTATCAAAATTATATATAGAAACTTCTACCTTATTGTAAGATGTATAAATGAAATGTTGAGATATCTTATTGCTATGCAAAACTGCTTAGAAATTGCAAGATTTAGGGTCAAGTCCCGTAGCCAATTGATCCCTCATAAACAACAAATTTAGCGATAAAAACCTCAACTCATCATGCTAATTTTAAGTGACTTGTTAAGGTGTAAGTTAACTAATTGATTGTTAAATACCATAAGGAATTACTGTACATTTGAAATCTATTTATAAGGAATAAATGCAGCTATTGTTTGTTAATTATGTGTTTTATTTTTGCAATTCTCCCGAAATTTTAACCACAAAATGTGAATGAAAGTTGTATTTCAAACTTCAAGTTCATTAAGGGTGCCAGAATTAAGCACGTACAGACATAAAAACGTACCTGAATGGTGCTTTTCCAAAAGTAAAAAAAAAGTGCTAAACAAGAATTATGTGACAATTCTACTAACATCTGGAATTACTTCACCGAATAAGTTTTATCCTTTAATTGATAAAATGATTGTTTTAAAGATTTTTGTCCTTTTAATTAGTAAATTATTCAAGAACTTTGATGAACGCCATTCTGGTTAAGAGTTTTGGCACCAGCGAGTGCTTAATAAATCAGTGAGTGAAGAGTTTATCAAACTTTTGAGGTACATTTTCGTAAAACACCACGATTACATTTACTACTTCCTACTCACGTACCTAATTACACGAGAGTACGCACTACATAGCACTAATAAATAGAAACATAAAAGCAATAACAATTTCGCACAATACAGAGAATAACTATAAATTTTGAATTGGTTAGTTGAAATTATATGACACGTTTTTGCATAATGGCGACCTCCAGAACGTCAAGTAAGATTTGGATGCGCAGTCGTCTATGCGCCATAACGTCTATATCTTCCAAGCACTACAATCAAATTTTCGCTTGTGTGTACGAGTACCGTCTGCGTAGTTCGTTCCATATCACTTTTTGTCCATGTTGGCGATTTTTCTTTGGGGAGAGCTTCTATGCGTAAAGGCGTTAAATGCTTGACCGGGGTTTAATGAGGCTCTTGGCTTTCTACATTTTAACTGTGCAGAAATAAGCAAGTATTTGGTTAGTTTCCGTTATGTTCATGACCATATTGATATTTAAAAATCGTACATGGAGGAGATACTACAACTCTGCAATACTGGACTATAGAAAAATTTAACACCTCCAAGGCGAACCAGTTCTTTTTGTAGTTCTTGCAATTAGGCATGAGCGATTATTGAATAATAACGGGTTTTAAGAAAAATAATTTAACCTCAGACCAAAAAATAGGTTATTGAAATAACCTGTATTCTCTCTTCTAATATCATGTGTTAGTAAATGGAAGAAATCCAACTAATAAAAGTACAAAAGCAATATGTTTTTAAAATTTGATTTTAAACTATTGGTAACTTATTAGGTTTAACAGCTTTTTAAAATTAACCCGTTAATGTCTGCCCAGGTTGTTTTGGTAAAACAAGTAGTTCAAATGCTTTTGAAAGCGTTATCAAAGATAATTGTTGCAGGATTACTGCCACACACATGCCATTCCAGCGGTCTGTTATATATTTTGTTTCATTTTACTAACTCCTGCAAATCCAATAATTGTAATTGCTAAAATTTATATAAGTAACACACAGCAATACTTTTTTTAGCAGTTTACTTTTAGTTCTATATATACATCCTAAAAATTAACTGAAATAAGTGACATAAGAAAATACAAAATTATTGATTGAATGAAATCATATGGGTAAAGCACTGCCTCCACTTACTGATCGAGAAAATATTTTTGTGAAAAAAGAAATGCCTGATGAACCTCCAGGAATATTGGCTATCACAGTCCACAATAACGAAATGATTTGGCCAACAGCAAACAATACTGTAAATGGGGTGCTTTGCAAATGAAGGGCACAATATAGGGTAGCGAACAATGTACCACCATATGTCAATGTCAAAAATATTCTTTCTCTGGTGAACATGTGTTTTAGATAAGCCAAGGGCCCCCACAGGAAAAAAAAACTGGAACAAACAAATCAGACTAATTTGTTCCAATGATTAATTAGATCTCACCTTAAAATAAAAAACAGGCTACCTAAAGTAAATAGTAATGCAAATTTTCTAGCTTTGAACAGTAGCACAGGAATATACATCAAGGATATCGAGAAGCACAATATCCCCATTCCAATGCATATCACAAAAAATACAATTCGTTGAATTCTTGACTAAAACAAAACTCTGTAAACGGATATACTAAACGCAATTAACAACAAACAAGGCTAGGGCAACAGTCTTTTTTCGTTTCCTGAAACCACGTAGTTTCTTCCTGTGCCTGTTCTCTTTTAAACCAATTCGTTAAATTTGGTTTTTGAATCACTGGCATCTGCAGTTTGAAAGATTTCTTCTGATCGCTCTGAAGCAGAAGATATTCGTCCAAATCTTTCTTTAAATCGACCATTGTGGCGTGTGTAGTGCAGTCGTTCCTTAATAATGTTTATTCATCATTAAACTCTGCGAATTTACAAATTCGAGCCCAGTTATCTTGACATTTTCAAACTTGCAGGTTATGGCTTACCAGATTACTGCTTCATCTTATATCTGGCCAAAAATCCTAAAACCATTCAACCACGTACAGCCACGCTCAATGTATATTTCTGGAGCATAATTTTTTACTCATTTATATTAAATAAAATAAATTTGAGAATTACAAACTTTAAAACACATATCTAACCAATTTCTTATATAATACCAAAAGTTCTGGAGCAGATGCCAATAAATGATTTATTTATTTCGCCCATTCTACTCTAGTGAAAAATTATTACTCACAGCAATATAGTACTTTATTTTAAATTTCTACATTTACAATTTCTTAATATACCATGTAAATAACAGTTTCGAAGACTATTAAATAGCCTCCTAGAAATAAAATTAATCTTTACAGGAATATTAGCTACTTGCAAAAAAATCAACAGCATGTTAACTGTATACTAAAAAAGAAGTGTTATACAGCTACATTGTTTGACAATATCAAATGAATGGCCGTTGACCTTTCTAATAAATAGCACAATAATGTTTCGCTTAATATTCTGTATAAAGAATATTTCGTCTTTTAAAATCCGATTGGTACAATACAATTTGAAACATGAAGTAACAAGTTGCGTAGGTACATTATTTACAAATGCTACTTAAAGAATTTACACCTTGAAAACATTTAATTTCATACATGATAAAAACTATATTTACTATACAAAACAAACCATTAATTTCAACAAAAATTCGAAATTTTCTCTCGCAAAAATTATTTTCGTAACGTTAGCATAATTAGAACAGCATGCAAGCTTGTGAACATTCAAATTCTTACAAAAAAAAATCACGTGAACCTTTCGTATTGATATAACTACAAACTTCATGACACCAATAACAACTTTTCACTTATATAAATAGGGAAGCATTAATCAATGTCTTTGTAAAGTCATCACAAATATTGGTTGATCCTTAAGCTTTTTTTTTATCGTCACTGTTAATGGACACATATTCCAAAACTAATCCGTTTTAATAAACCGAAATTAGTTAAATTTGTTAAACGTGGCATCATTTTTTAAAACAGGCCTAAAACATTATATTTTTTTAAATACCACGTCCGATAACGCAAAAACATCCCAACATTATAAAACTAAAGCGCGATAAATTTTTCTCCATCCAATTACGAAAATATTGTTTAATTAATTGGTGTGCCAAATAAACAAGCTATCACTTTCCAGTATTGCTAATATTTGGTACCCATGTAGAGTTGCAACCTGTTTCAGACATCATTTACCATGGATGACCATGGATATTTTATTTTTGAGGTTTCTTTTTCAAATATACATATCACATTAGTACAAATAGATTTAAACTGTGAAATAAACACTGTACATTTGGTGGCCAAGCTGATAATTTAATAGCTTCATCAATACTTGCGATTTTTCATATAAGCTAAATTATTTAGAGGAAAACTTTACTGAGATTTGGATATGTTTCTACATTGTTTTAAAAATAGCTAAGCCTGTCAGAGACATCAACATTAGTAATAGTGCTTTCTCTGCAAGAGTGCTCGAAAACATTTGATTTATTTACATGTCACTGTAACTCTGACACACAAAGAACATACAAAACAACTGGTAATTTACTTCCCTTAAGCAAAAGATATTTGAAGCTTAGTGACAATATTTCTAATTAAAAAAAAAACAAACAAACACGACTTTCATAAAGTTAACACGTTTTTCATAAATCAAATAAAAAATCGATTTTGTGTGGCTCATTCTCTACAAGTTTTGTTAATAATTTCGAAATTTAAAAAAAAAATAAAGAAAGCTTTGCATAACAGCAAAAAAATGTCCAACAAAAAAGATCAAATTCTGATAAAATCAATCTTCATTAAAAAAAAAAAACATGATATCCATAAAGTTATAACTTTTTTCCCCAACTCAAAAAAGAATAGACTTTTAGTCAGTCATTAGTCATAAAATTCCTTAGAAAATATTTATTTCAAAGTTTTTCACTAACGGCAACCAGATTGAAATTTAAAATGTGTATGTAAGATTCGATTTAAAAAAACTGTCCTGTCCTGAAGTCTGGGGTATTTTATTAGCTTACTAAATATATGAACACGACAGTATCAAAGCTGAAAACACATACATTTAAAATAGTCAGTAGCGAAGGAAGTCTCCAGTTTGCCACATATTTACTCAAAATTTCGATCGTTATGGTTAATAATCGGTTAATTTATTTTTATTTTAAAACGGGTGTCTCAGCTCACAGCATCATTGCAATCTTGAAAGCCATAAGAGTAACGAAAGCGGTTATCTAGACTTAGACTCAATAAAATTTCTCTCCACAGAGGTGTCAAATATATATACTATAATCTTACACATGCATCGTCATACACCAACAATAAAACAATTCAAAAAATGTTCGCAAAAGTCGCGTAATCTCTAACACCGAAAAAAATTATACGAAGGACAAAAAGAGACTAAACATCTGTATTGAGGCATGTTTCAAGGAAGTTCAGTTGGCGAGGTTAGGTAAGAAGATATGAAAATGTCAAACGGTTAGGTAGACAAAGAGGCAAACATAATTCCTAGTTAGATACAGTGAGTAAAAATAAGGCCATAATTACTCAACTTCCAATTTTTGATTCTCCCTGACAGAAAAAAAGTAAAAATGTGAAAATTTCAAGTCCTGTACCTTAAATTTTTTAAAAAATCTCAGCTGCATTTTTTTACCCCGCGCTAGGTAATTTTTTGCATGTAACATATTACATATAAAAAGAATTTACTATCTCTCAATTTTAGGCTCGTATTTTTCTAAATCTAATGGATGACAAAAAATGCATCTATAAATATATAAACAACGAATCACTGTCAAAATTTGATATTTGTTAAAAATTTATGAAAATTTTGGCCAAGATCCATGATCCACTTCTACCGCTTGTTGTTCTCACCTTGCAAATAGCGTGAAAAAATAGTATTGCAGAAAACCCTGCGCATATTGTCTTTAACTAACGTTTCAGCTTGTTTTTTCGTAAATTTGTATTTTAATTTGGATCATTTTGGATCACTCAGTCGATTCATTTATAACTGTTCTATTGCTATTTATTAAAATGAAAAAAAAATGTTTCTGTTGGTTGATGACGCATTTCTATAAATTTTTTATTCTTTTTCAAAAAATGCAAAATTAAAAAGAAATAAACAAAATTTTATTAACTTCTCTCTCAGACTTTCAGATCGTTTGTGGTTTTTGGTATTAAAATGATGCGACCTGGAATTTGAGCCGCCCATAATAATGAAAACTTCAATGAATTGAAGTTCAATATTACCTGCCACTCAGTTTATAATTGGACCACTGTGGAGTCGATCAAAACCCAAATTTCAAAGAAAAATAGTGAACAAACAGAAATATTTATTACATTTTGCCACAACAATAACTCAGAATCCGGTCTTAATTTAATGATTTTTTTTCCAATAAAATGGTAATAATCATTGAGCAAGGAAGAAGTCTGAATACGGCAAGTGCGCTTATTATCTAATGCCATAGTAACAACAAGCGAATGCTAAAATTGTGGGGATAGAGATCTGACTTGAGCATTTCCGGGACTAAATTATTGTTTAGCATTTGGAATTTGAATTCTGAAAACGGGTAGAAACTATTACCGAGGCTTGACAGCACCTTAATTCTAAAACGGGTTATCCTAACACTACGATTTCACACACCGGCCACAAACTCAGCCAAAACTTAATTGTCCATTCAACAACGGTGGCTCCGCTGAGAGAAAAAGTACCACGAACTTACGATATTCTATTCGGTTTCATATTTCAGCTGTTCAATACGGCGACGTTTAATATCCGGATCATCCACTTCGCCGGCGCTCGAAGGACTTTCTATGCTGTGATCCTCCATCTGCCTTTTTAGTTCTATGGTTGGATTACAATAAGCATTACCTCTGAAAAAACGAGTGACGACCGTTTTAAAAATACACCCAAAAATTTTGGAACAGGTAGAAAAACTCATGTTTAACGGCAGCCTTCAAATTTTATTGATAAATCCAATATAACAATTTTTTTAAATTTATGATGACTAATAAATTGTATTAATTGTGAATGGTCATTTAACAACTATATCTATTAGACATTTTGCTATTTAAGTATTGCTGTTACTTTTATGAATTTTTCATTTATTGATACTTCTGAGAACTATCGGCCGCATGGGTCTACGATGCACTTTTTAGGACCGTTTGTAGGTAGTTTGTTGCTCTCAACGAAGCAACTGCGTTGTTTCGTTGATCCGCATTTATTTTACCGTATTTCAATTTTCACTAATTTCATTTTAATAAATTGCACTAAGATTTTTTTAACTGCGTTTAATCCTTTTATTATAAACAATAAAAATTTCAACAAAAATAACTTATTTTGATAGTCGGGTTCCTTTAAAAAAAACTGTCCTGGAGCTATTTTATTTGCTAATTATTCGCTGAACAAAGCACTAACAAAACAGGTATATTTAAAATAATATTTTTGTCATTAGTTAACGAAATGGTTTGCAGTTTCAGACAAAATTTCGATACTGTCGGATAATAGTCAGTTAAGAAAATACTTTTGATTAATTATTTTGATTTTATATATAGCGTAATAAAAATTTTATCATAGCCGGTTGAAGTTAATATGATTAAAATCACTTCAACTATAGATAATATCTCAAAAATATCAGTGTATAAAATTATCAGTGTTGATTTAACTAATTCATTGCTCCTTGAGACTATTAGCCGGGTACAAGAATAAAATTAAAAAATAAGTAACAATTTCAATTTCTAATACTCAACGATATATTCTGTATTTGGTTCATCTAATTGCCACGTTATTGAACAAAAACTAAATAAATTATTTTTTAAACGACCACCTAATTTTTATCCTATCTTGCGTTTTGGTTAGTTTTGTCGTGTGATTTGTTTACGACATAAAGAAATACATTATGTAGTACCACTTTCATCGTCTCCACGTAAGAATGAGTTTTAGGGGCGTGGAGTTACGCTTACATTTATTTTGACTCTGAAAGCTTAGCTGGTCAGTCGACATTCACTTATAGGCATAAAGAAAAGATAGTTCCCATATGAAACGACTTACCCATATGGAGAATAATTTGCCGTTTGCACAATAACTGGCTGCGGTGAGAATGCTGCCGGCGACATAGAGCGCTCTTCAATCGACCCGACATGAAATTTTTCTGTAAAAAATTATTTTCCTTACGTTCAAAGATTTGCAGACACATGCTATGCACCAATACCACGGGTAGCGACCAAATATAGAAGAAGATATAAGCGACACACTAGCCTTAACATGTAGGTTGATTTAGACAGAGTAATTCTCCGTTGAATTAGGTGTACCACAAGGTAGCATATTGGGTCCCTTGTTGTATGCAATCTATACATTTAACTTTGTAAAGGCTTTAAATTATTGTAATTATCACCTATATGCTGACGACACGCAAAATACTTTCCTTTTCAATATCATGAACTTTTAATTTAAAGAAGAAGAAGATTTAAAGAACTTTCATAAAATTGAATCCGATCATCTACTGCAGCTAAATCCAACTAAGTCGTCGTTGTAGGTACATAATCTCAAAATAAAATGATCATAAAAATTAGTGACACTCCTATCCCATACTTGAATACTTCGAAAATTTTAGGTTTGATCTTGGATTCTAAAATGCGGTTCAAGGATCGATCACATTACAAACAAATTGAGAGTGGCATATGGGAATTTAAAGTTAATATAGTCATAGTCCAACTGTTACGTCCATCGTTCTGTCACAGTTCAACCATTGCTGTGGTGTGTACGCAACCTGCCTCAATGCTGCTGACCAGTATGGTATCCAGAAAATACAAAATTCATGTTTGCGGCTTGTTTATTGAGTTCGCCAACAGGATCATATTTGTCCATACTTGACTGTTTCGGGTTGGCTTAACAAGTGCAATATGTTTAGCTTACACCATGCTACATTCTATTTTAAATTAATTAAGTATGAATCTCCTGAATATGTTTTTAACAAAATCACTTTTTGTAGAGATGTTCATGACTTTAATCTAAGAAAAAAATTGTATTGAGTATACCACAACATCGAAAAGAAATGTTTAAAAGATCATTTTCTTATGGCATTGCTAATACAATAAATAATTTAAGTCATTTCGATTTAACAATATCAACCACAACTGTTAAAAACCGGTATAAAAAATATCTTCTTCGAACTCAATAACTTCTGTATCGGAACACCACTGTGCGGTTTACCCTTACTCCCTCCTTTCTCCTACAACTTATCTCTTTATTGAAAACTATATTTAATGATTATTATATATTAGCATTATAAACTCTGCGTAACAGATTTAATTTTGTTTATTTGATACTTTTTTCTTCTTGTTCTTAGGGTAATTTGATTTACATCAAATTGAGGCTTGAACAGTGTCTGACTTTGCTGGATATCTTAAGTTTTAGTAGACCTTTTGGCACAGAAATAAATGTATTTTTCTACTCCTGTCTATAAAATACTTAATTACACATCCATATAGCGTGCGGGAAGCGTCACTTTTCCACGTCAGTTCGTTTTCCACTGATCCGATCCGATTTGGGAGCAATCAGATATTTTCGGAGATATTTCCCACGCTTTCAATTGTGACGTTTGTCAATTCTGACGGGCATGCCAGTGAATGTATTCGGGTTGTTTTGCGAAAATGTAACCAAAAACTAACGGTCGTAGAAAAAGTGCAACACGTTCGGTAAACTTTTTCAAATGCCGTTTACCACACTTTTTGCATAATAGACTATTATTATTATTATTATTATTATAAAACAATTTTTATTTGAGAACAAAACAACAACTACTCCTTCACTAGTCAAGGAACAATAGACACTTCAGTTATGAAGACTTGTTTTGCATTCCTTGATAAAGGCTAGAAAATAAATTTCCTAATTATAGTTTAGTGTACATATTTGCCTTAATTCAACCTGTCATTAAATGAAGTGTGTGTTTTAAATGGGTACATAAATAAATGGAAAATTAAAAAATAAACAAACAACAACTACTCCTTCACCAGTCAAGGAACAAGAGACATAAACATTTATTTTTCTTCACTTTACCAATGCCAGAAAATAAATCCCATAGGTATGGTTAAGTGTACATATTTGCTTTAATTCAACCTCTCATTAAATGTAGTGTGCGCTTTGAATGAATAAATAAATAAATAGAAAATTAAAAAACAAACTAACCTTCTTTAAATTCGTGTTGCCCGTTGGAGGAAGGTCTCTCAATTTGTTCAACTATCCCTTGCTCTACGGTATGATGCTGTGGCAGCAAGAGACGGGCTTTGGTGGCCCCTACTAGCGCGGACATCTGCTGATGACCGATCATGCTACCAGAACCGGCAAAAACAGTCGATGTCGGGTTACCCGGACTGCCTGGAGCCGATTGGCTGACATCGACCACGTGTTCCATGGTCGGCGAACCCTCCCTCGACAACGATTCGGGCGTCATCATGTCTGACATGCTAATATGCGAGGGAGAGGCGGGCGCACTCCTGCAAGTGTTTTTTCTAGAGTGTGGTTGTTTTTTTTTAATCATTAAGCTACTCACAAATAATGCGCGTACTTTTAAAAAGTGTGTTTAATGGAAATTGAAAAAACAAGGCAGAAAACATTATGATTAATTATTGTAAATATAAATGAAATTCGATCATTCGCACCAATCTACCTCTACAATACTTTTTAGGGGCTAGGGGCTAGGGAACATCTAAGCTTCAGTTTGTTGCCTTATCCATATTTTTGAGTTCTCCTGGCTGGAATGTGACTAAAACTGCGTCACTCTCTCGTTTTTCCGTTTGCGTTCTTATTGTAGAGCAATAGCAGAAAAATTATCACAAAATTTATAATACAATATGGGTTAGGAACCTCAATGCTCTAGGGTTACAAAGCTCATACGACTTACACCTCGCAAATTGTCCATTTCATTAAAGTGGTTCTCTGATAAACGATTCTTTGCTGGATTTATTAAGTCATGTGTTAGTTGACCAAAATCAGGCACCCAAATTAGCCTAGAGTGACTTAGGAAGAATGACTATATTAGATAATACTGTGGCCTTAAGAACTGTAAAAATTGACGCGCCTCAGGAGGCAATGACATTTTTGGAGAGAAGGGATGAATTGAACACACGATCCTGCATTGTGCGCCATGTTCTTGCTGAACAGAGATCTCCACACACTTAACTCATTGTTCTAGAATGAAATCGTCCTAACCAAAACTAACGAAAATTGAAGAATGTTGAATGTCGTCGCTGGGCCTTATTGGTTGAAACCGCGATTTAAAAAGACCGCGCATTTGCCTTTCTCGACATTTTTTCATGTTGGCTTCAAAATTTCCTGTATTGTACTAATATAAATTTAGTAACTAATATGGGAACGTGGACCTCTAGAATCGTTGGTGGGATACATACCTACATAATTCAAAAAAAAAAAAATTAAAAACTTGACGAATTTGAATCATTAATGGTTCAAATGCTAAATGCAATTGCGAATAATTTTTATCATTAAATGGTATCTTTAAATTTTCATTAATTTTTTTGAAGACATTCATGTTACAATTGTAATTGGAACGACAGATTACAAACGTCAATCTAAACGTGAGACTTGTTTTAAAATTTTCAAATAAAGCGTTATATTAGGATACCGCTCCACTAAGCTGCTAATGTCCCATACCTAGAACTTAAACCAAAGGGTGCTCTGAAACATGACACCCCTCTCTGCCGCCTGCGCCTAAATGCTTGTTCAATCAGTTTCGTTTCAGATTGGGGATCGATTCTCCAAAAAGAGCCCTTCCCGGGTTCCTCTTGGCTTCTAGGAACCTGTTGAAAAATGGTTACAAAAACCCGGTACCGCTGAAATCATGAAACCACTCACCTTGATAAAGTACCTGTTGAGACTTAGGTTGTGCCTGATTGAGTTCTGCCAACCCTTGTCGGCTGTACGATAATAAGGGTAATTTTTAGTAATGTAACTATAGATTCCCGAGAGCGTCAGTTGCTTGTCGGGAGCGCTCGCTATTGCTTGTACTATTAACTGGGCGTAGGAAAATGGCGGTTTTGAATCGTCCTTGTTAGCATTGCTTGTGACGTAGCCGCCATCATTTATTAACACTGATGGTGCCTGGAAAATTTTACTACGATTACGGAAAAGAATTTGCATTCGGAAATTCATACTTCGGTACCATGTAAGAGCACCACCGAAATTTCTCTCTAATAATAGAGATACAAAATTCTCACAGTGTGACAAAATAATTAAATATTCTAGGTAAATCGTAGTTGCATCTAATAGTTTTTCATCGAAAACATATTTATATTTACCAATATAGTTCTGCCTTCTTTGTAATAATATCTAGTCTCCAGCAGACCTCAATTATCTAAGTATATGCCTAATGTCCAAATCATTATTTTTAAATAACAATAACAATTATTGAATAAATCTCTGATATAAAAATTACATAAAATTATTCTGGATTTTTAAATCCAGTACTCTATTGACACTAATGATAATTTGTGGCCTCTAAAATGTAATATTGACCAGGTTCGATTTTTGAAAGTATTATCAAGTATTAGTTAAAGTAGTATCTTTATGCTTCATAAAGATTCATGTGCGAAAATTTCGTACAAATATAAAAAAGGGTTATTACACTTGTAACAAAGGGTATTGAATTTATGAGACTTTACTTACTGAACCTCCATTGGAAGTAGAATGTCTATATTCAGGGCTATGACTCGGTTGAATGTGCTGGCCTTCATCCCTGTGGGAAACCTGCGCCGCCGCATATGCCGCGACCATTTGCAGATCAGCCTGAACATTCCGCTTACCATGGCTTATGCCATGTTGACCAGCTGCGTGGACAAAAAAGTGCAGTATCTCGAATTACATTGTTTAGAATTAAAAAAAGACTAAACCGAACTTGCAAATCCTAGTTAATTTCAAACTGCAAGACCATGCAAAATATGTTTTTTTAACTATTGAAATTCCTGTAGTTCATAGAGGTAGCGGGCGCCTTAGAGGTACCTACCTCTAGGACTAGCGGGACAGCTATTAGCCGCACTGATTGTCCCCGTAGGAGATGGAAAGGGGCTCCCAAATTCGCCTTCCGGAATATTAATGCGCAAAGGGTGGAGTGCTGAACTGTTTCCTCCCCCGCTTCTATCGCGCATGCGTACAGGCGACACCTCGCGTACTGTAGGAGCTACATCTCCTCCGTCATCGACCAAGGATTGAAACGACAATCGAATATTGGTGCTAGGGAATCGGAAAGTGCATCTGCAGATTTAAGAAAAAATACAATGCCACTCCTAAACGTAAATCATTTAAAATAAAATATAATACACGTTTGGAATTGCTATATCACAGACGCCAATGACCAATAGTACTAACAACAATTCTTTAACAGCACGCTTTCGTGTCAATAAAACACCCGGTAGGCGTTACATAACGTTAAATCGATACAAAAAAAGATCGAGTGCCATTCGGAGACAACACTGAATTGAAAAAATAGGTAGCAAAAGAATAGAAAGATTACCGGCGATCTTTGATGGGCCCGCGTGTAGCGCCTGAACTTTTGACCGGAGTTCATGGCCACGGTCTCTAAAATCAATGTTCACGACGTTCTTTTATAGGATAAAATAGCCTATTTATATTGCTAAAAGGCGAAATAGAACGAAATGGTTTCGGCGACACGGTGTATTAATGATTAGAATAAATAGGTGCCTAAGAATTTATTTTCGGACTAGACCCGCTGATCATAAAATAGGTACACAGCGAGGTACACATGCGGATTTTTCCAATACCATGTCAGTAACATAAGTATACTCAAACATTGCGCTGCTTACCAGCTTGTCATTAAGCAACGACCTTTAATATTTTTTATCATTATTTACGCAGAGTTTATAAACAATATTTATAAATAAGCAGTAACGTAGAAATATTCACATAAGAAACAACCCATACTAAATTTGCATCATGAATGAAATCAATAAGCAAAGATAAAAGTGCGTTAACGAGGGTCACAACCAAAGCGTAATTTTACACTATCAAATTTGATGTTAAATTACATATTAGCACCAAATTATTGAGCAACAAAAATTACACTCGAAAAAGAAGCATATTTATTTATCTAATAATTTGAAAGGGACTGTAACAATTTGGTGAATGCGCCGGCGCAACTTTTTTTTATTCTTACAGAGCCCATGTGACAAAATATTTACTTGGGCTTAGAGTGCACACTAATTTTGTAAAATGATGCGTATAACGCATTTAACGATTTATTTCTAATCTTATCTCATTTCAGGCAATATACGGCTGTCATTTAAGGCTTAAATAAATTTAAACAGGTACCACCTATACCTAGAACTGATTATTTCGATCTTACAAAGAAATTAGCTTTTATTCGAAAAACTATTTTAAACAAATTTGCAGGTTCAGATAATTCTAACTTTAAGTAAAACAAGAAAAAGACATGAATTTGGACCTAAATAACAAAGCACCACGTGGTCGCATGTAATTGTATTAAGGAATTTTTAGCCACTGGTGCTAGACATCGATAAACTGGTTATTTGTATTGGCCAGTAAGGGAACGAAATATGATCCTAGTGAACATGACATTTAAGAGCCAAAATCAACTCAGACACCGGATGACGTCAGAGGCTCAATAAATAGTTCAAAATATACTACGGATTTACGAGAGTATGTTTACGTTGCGTTCGGTAAAAAAATTATATAGTTTGAAAATCAAAAGGAAAAGGAATTTGATCTGAACAACACGTGATTAAGAACATGTGTAAATTAACCTCTCAAGGCCTACTGCGAAAAAACATTAATGAGCCAAAGAAATAAAATATCCAACACATTTGTTTACATAACATAAACCAAACTTACTCTTTGGGTAACCTAATTGGCGGAGCTCCTTTGCGCTGAAATACACCGTCCACAAAAACTCCATTCTTTCCGTTACAAGTCATATAAAAATATGGATAATCGTAAAAAACCTCTAAATGTCTACGAGAAATAAAACTCGAATGTCCCATATTTACATCAACATCACCACGTGAACTGTTTCTGCCGATAACTATGCGGTTTTGTCGAACTAAATATTCGAAATCTCTACCTTCAATACGCGCAATGACATCGCCCTTTTCATCAGGGCTCCACTGTACTTTAGATGGACTCGTAGGAGCCGATTTAAGAGCTAAAAGGGCCCATGCATCGCTTTCGGAAGTCCTTGCCGATTGCACCGACATTGCGCTTCAATTGCCACCACACGCAAATTTCGCGAATCACGCACCGACACTACCGCACTGTTTACCTACAAAATTCTCTAAAACGTGGGAGTCACCTGCGCTGCTGCGATGTATGTATTTTGCTTGCTCGATTTCATAACAACTCAGTCGGTACCCCAAATTGTTGATAAACACGTGAGACGAGTCGGCCGATAACCACTGAACAAGAAGCACTGACAGTCCAGAACAAACGATAAAACAAATTGAACTTAAAATTATATTTGGATGGTTTTCAGGGTCAGTTTTTAAAAAGCAATTAATTAGTACATTTAGTAAGAGTTTACAGAAGTGGTTCGGGAAATGTGAAGAGTAAGACAGAGAACGAAAAAGTGGCCCTTAGATCGGAAATTTGATCATACTTGAATTTGAACGAGCTAAAATTAAAAACACAAATTGGAGAACTTTGGATATCATAATTATCCACAACAAAAATAATAATTGTCATCATATATTTAATTTAGCGAATACACAAGTATAAAAAAGTATATGTTTTTTGTACAAGTCGGACACCATCATGTATTTTCTCAGGCGCAAAGACTGTCGCAATCGGACAAGTGACAATAACATATTACTAGCATGAGGCAAACATAATTTCTTCCACATTACTAACGCGGTTTTTCTCAAAAAGCAATTTATTTTTTCACTAAAAATATATTGTATATGTGTGACTACTTTACTAAACATTGTACATTTGGTGTATGCAACCAATAATGCACTAGCGAATTTTCTGGTTCATAAGGGATTTTGATCACTCATTAAAACAAATTGTTTTCCTCATAATTAAGCATAAAATACGTATCTTTTATACCATTTCATTAAAAAAAAAACCATAGTCACCACACGTGGCCAATGTTTTCTTCTCCTTGGAGTTGCAGTTACAGATTGGTGGAGAACATAATCGGCTGGTTCAGTAACTATTCGAAGCACGAATTATATGACCAAACTTACCAATTATAAGTGATAAATAATTAATTAAGAATGTTAGTTTATTATGAACTTTTTCTGTAAACATCCTATTATATTGATGTCACATGGTTATTTAGTAACGATGCCGGTTATGGCCAAATGGCTATTTGGTATTCAATTAATTGCGATTGTTTAAAATAGAAGAAGATATTATATCCTTTTGTTCAGTGTTTATAACCAAACCCCAAGAATTATGAGTCTATTATCAATAATCAAGATATAATTATTTAGATAAAAACTTCCATATAATTTGAAACGGATACGCTATCAGACAAAAATCTCGTCTTTGTGCTATTTGCTTTCACTTGAGAAGTGATCACAATGTCGGGGTATTTTTCTGATTTGTAATTAGAAAAATATTTGGAATGGAATTCCATTTTTTGTAGGTATCGAAGAAGACCCCCAATTCCTACAGATAGCTTTCGTGACCAAAGTATTCCCAAACCAATCGGCGGATTAAAAGCTGCATTTGAAAGGCGAACTCCCACAATAATAGGACCAGAAATTTCCATACAAAGTAATAATCACAGTAATGGCAATAGTGAGCAGCATTATAAAATTGAAGAGCAGCTACAACCCTCGACTTCTGAAGGTTTTAGAAATGATTCTTATGAACTGTCTGAGGATAATGGCACTCGTAGGTTCAAATCCCATTAAAAATAGGATGGAGATCATTCAATTGTAGATTTAACCAGTAGGATGATAGTTGAAGCAAGCTACATTTTTCTTTTAGAATATTCAACAAGGATTCATTCAATTCATAGACTGAAAACTCTGGACCAACCTGGTAGTAAATTGAAGCAACTTTATGAAGCTAGAACTGGCGGAGCAGCTAGAACTAGCACTCATCAAAACAACCAATCAGGTATTTAGTTTGTAACTTTATATTTTAATTTTTAAATATGTTATTGTTAGGCTTAATGTTGGAAAGACATGCAGATTTAATTGTTTCCAAAATGGAACAGGATGAAGCTCTAATGGAAGACTCTCCGACCTCTGAACAACTCAGAAGGTTAGTCTCCATTGCACAACTCTTTCATTTTGCAAATTTGTCTTCAAAATCGAATGACAATTTTTTTGTATTGTTTATAGAATTGCTCTAAGAGACATGCCCCAAAGTCTTACCATCAAGAGAAGTGTGAAAGTGAAATTATCCATTTCTGTTAGCCAAAAATCAAAGAGAAAACCATTGGGTTGTTACAAAATGTTGAAATATCGCTGGGGCATGGGTTTTGAAAAGGTATACCTAGATATTTGTTTTAGTATATGCTACTCCTATCTTGATTTTAGTTTAAATCAAATATCAAAGATTTAATGCATTCCTTTGAGCTTTGGTATGGATTGCTGAAACGAATTGAAGGAAACTTTGGAACCGGGGTGGCCTCATTTTTTAAAATATTAAGAGTGTTGTTTTTGGTGAATTTTGTAATTGCTCTTATTTCTTTGACATTCATTGTAGCCCCAAAAGTATTTACTGGAGTGAGCAACCCTGAAAAATTCACCTGGTCCAATTTGGAAGATGTATTTACTGGTCAGGTAATATCAGTGAGATCCGCTTCTGATTTGTTTGCGGGGATCGAAAGTGCATGCTATCATATTTTCGTTTTGTTTTTAGGGATACTTGCGCAATACAATTCTGTATTATGGTTTTTACACAAACGAAAGAATACCCACGTTTTCAACATTGACCTACAGCATGAGCCATGCATATTTTTTTACTATGGCGGTGATTTATTTGATTTCATTTGTCTTTTTTGGTGTTAGGTTTGTTTCATTTTCTTTATTTTTTTTCTCAGCTTTACACCTTGACAAAACATTACTAACACAATATCATCAACAACTAGTTACCTCAATTTATTCTGATATTGGTGATTGGTTATGTGACTAACCTGCTAGACATTAGTTAAATGAGAAGAGACAGCCTTTGTCGACAGGGGAAGCATTACCAATCTTCGTCTCCACTTTTCTGAACTCTTTGAGAACATAGTAAAGCCTGTAATGTGTATCACATATTCAATTTTCAGAAAGAGTAAAAACAGATTTTACAGTTACTGGGTAGCTATAAATATGCAAATTTGAGCCCAGAACAATGTTGCGTTCGAATATTATTTCTTATTTTTTCTACAGGATGTTATTTCATAAATATCTGAACAGTTGAAAAATGTTTGTGTGAAATTTTGGACATTTATTTAATAATACTCTGTATATGGCGCATGTATTTTACAAGGAAATTTATTCATGATAATGTCAAATGGAAAAAAAAATCAAGACCAATGAACTTAATTAATATGTACCTAATAAATTAAATTTATTAATAATGAAATTAATAAAATCAAGCATTGCAAAAATTATATAAAAACATTAAATCTTAGTAGAAATGGTAAAAAGTTATTAGAAGCTTTATTTGTATTTTTGTTTTTTCTGTGCAGTTTAGGAAATAATGCCGATTTGTGAACATAAATTGAAACCTGCAGCTTTTTTTATATGAGAAAAGATAAAAGTGAAAGTTTGCCACCCTGTATCTCAAAATTGAAGCGTTTTAGACGACACGTTTATAGTAAGCAACCTTAGATTAAAAAACAGTTGAGAAATCTTCTTGAGAAATATTGGACATTTATTTAATAACACCCTGATATTGCGCATATATTTTGCAATGAAATTTGTTAGTCATAATAACGTCAAAGGGAAGAAACCACTGATGGGTTTTATTTTCATGACTTAAACTGATTTTATATTATAATATATTCCTGAAGCATTATTTATTTATTATTAGCACTGATGTTTTAGGAACTTTAATACATTGCCCTATTTGAACAAACCAGAGAGTAATTAAATTATTGATTAAATTAATAAACTCAGGGAGTTCTTTTTTGTTACTATTAATGTTCAGTTGTTTGGTAGTAGCAATTGATTTGTAGTTTTCTATCATAATGTTGCTTTATCTTCAATAATATCGGAAAATTGGTTTTTCTTTTAGCGCGGCAAAAGCGTATAGGAGAAGTTTTATTGAAACCGAAGGAGGTTTAAAAAACGTTTACGCAAATAAAATTTTCTGCGGTTGGGATTACAATATTGCGACGGCTGATGCAGCAAAATTGAAATCGCGGGCAATTTTTAACGAATTACGGGTAATCAAGTGAACCGAGAACTGATACAACGACCGGATTTGCTCTTTTTTCTAGGAACTCTTGTCCGAGTTTGCTTTCACTAGGAACAAGGAATCTTGCTACTCAAGGTTCTTAACGCGAACCACTCAATTTTTTTCGCATATTTTGGTAATTGGATTGTTAGGCGCATTCGGATATTTCACTTGGATGTTGCTAGAAAAGGTATCTGATGATGAAAAACAGCTCATTGTTATCATTATCCCGATTTTTGTGAATCTTGTAATGACGTTCTTGCCTATGGTCTTTAGCGTGATTGTAAGGTGCGTGTTTCACATTTTCACATTTCACATCTATTTACTGCTGTTTATAGATATGAAGGTTACAAAAGCCCCAAGATAATGTTAAATTTAACATTAACTAGAACGTTTATATTAGCTGCAGTAATGGTTGGCGTATTAGTCAGCTTTTGGCTTCAAAAACCTTTAAATGTAAGTTAATGCGTTCACAATAAAGTTTGAATTTACAGAATTTTCTGCAGGAATGTTGGGAGACCTCCCTGGGTGAAGAGATTTATAGAATAATTATATTTGATTTCATTGTGTCTGTAGTATGCGCCGCCCTTTTTGACATCTTGTTATTTGGAATATATAAGTGAGTAATATTGCCTAAATCGCGACAGTTTAATCCCCTAGATTGCAAATATCATGGCAAAAAAATATAACTTTTTATTCATTACGCTTTCTAAGAACTATAATCATTTTTTCTATCTATCATCAGTTTATCGAACATTTTGTGTAGGGAATGGCCCAGTTTTCTGAGTTTCATAATTTACTTTAGTATTTTAATTTTGTTTATTGAATTTCTTGTTGGGACTCGATACACGAAAATAACTATATTTTTTTGCCGCGTCAATTTGTTTCCAAGGCATAAATTACAACATTACAGTGTCTACTTGGCCTAGCTTTAAAAAAATCTGTATGTGCCAGGCCCTAAATTAACTAATTTATTAATGTAGGAGCTAAAATTAGAAGATTTAAAAAAAAACAACCAAAACTATACCGAGTAAATATGGAAGACATCTCAAATATAGTTTAATACTTTAATTTCTTTTATGTAGATAGAAAACATTATAAAATTTGGTCCTAACTATATTATTGTCTGTTGATTAATCTTTTGCAACTATTTCTATGATTTAACTTTTTTTTTGGTTATTTAATTTAAGTCTCAATTAGCCAATCCAAATACATTGAAAAATCATGTAATATGGTATCTACCCCTGATATTTATAGGACCCTTCTCGGAAGACGAGCGGAAATTGATTTTCAACCATTGGCCCTTACACTATATTAGTATATGTGGTGTTATTGAAATGACATTATATACTTTAAAGAATGAATTTTAGTGACAAGGAGTCTTTGGTAAAAATACTCGTTATAATGGTTGACCTTTTCTTAAGCTCAGAGAATAAAATATTCATATTGTATCAGGCTGGGGGCCTTGATGTATTCATTAAATTATATGATGTTATTTCATAGGCGGCATACCCAATTTTAGGAATTAAAATCACTTTAGTGACATTTACCCTCTCAGAAATTAATCTATCAGTGTTAATTATTTTTAGATTAACTCGCTCGCATTATTTAGAATTTGACATAGCCAGAAACACTATGCAGATAATCTACAACCAAACTCTTTTCTGGGTGGGACTTTTATTCTCACCATTGTTGCCCGTTGTGGTAGTGATAAAATTGTTCTTGACTTGGTATATTAGAGTGTCGGTTGTGTTGTTCTTGTGCAAAGCTTCCTCGAAGTCGTGGAGGGCCGCACAGACCTCGACTTGGTTCCTCGTTATGACGTTTTTGAGTTTGCTATTCGTCGGATCCTTAATTGGATTTATAATATCGTCGTAAGGTTCCAGCACATTTAATATTTTTCTTGATCTTGATTGACTAATTTTAGGATTAAAGTTTCACCAAACTGCGGCCCATTTACCAACTACCAGTATATGTACGAAATTGTTACATTGGGCGTTCTCAAACTGAAGGAAAATAGTACCATTTGGAATATTATTTTGTATTTTACCAAACCTGGCGTTATTGCGTTGATTCTTATTGGACTATGGTATGGTTGATTTTATTATTTTTTTACTTAACTTTTTTTTCCAAATCGTAGCTCCAAAGTGTACTATGTGAGGGCCAAAGCTCAAGCCCAGAAAGAAATCGTCGCCCAATGTAGGAACATGCTAATTTGGTCTGCAAAAGATAAAGAGTTTTGGATTAACCGCATTTCTTTGCTCACAAATGGTCGTAAGTTTTTTTCAAACCTGCTAGCGTTGTTGATTTTTTTTTTGCTTTTTTGTTAGAGTGGCAATACAAATTAAATCAAGCTGAAGCGGTTGATCCTCAATTGAGGAGACCAGATCTTAAAAAAAAAACAGGTTCGTAACAGTGGTAGCATGGCTGAACCTAACACACATAGTTCGAGCGCTTGTATTTCTAGGATTCACTAGTTACTGGTTGTCTTTCCCAGTCCGTCAGGGAGGGGGGAGTCAGGGAGGGAATTATATTTTTATTGATATTGATTTTAAGTAAGCGGAATGCCGTATATCCATTATTTTTCGTTTATACTTCAAAATATATAAAAATGTTTTGGATAGTCGTATTTAGGGGGTAAGAAATGGTACCAAGAAAATTAGTTTGTCTATCTGAAATCCACTAAATGTAAGTCGTTATTTTTAACTATAGTGGTCTTAAGAATACGTTTCTTTTAATGGATCCAGATAAGCACATTAATAAAAAACAACGATGAATAAAGAGCTGCGGTAACTGTTTCACAAATGAAAGTGGTATATAGGAAAGTTATTCATGTTACAGTAATAATTAACAACATTTTTATAGTAATATTTTTACGACATAATCCGGTATTTAACTTTGGTGAATTTTTATGGAGGTCTAACCGCAGGCCTACCTTGCTTGGGTTTCTCTTTGTACTTCGGTACTTCGTGTATACAAATGCTGGAACCTGACGGATTTGTGCAGAGTTTTATTTGTGGGATTCCTCGTCCATTCAGTGCAAAATCCATTCTTACTTTAAAATGTTTATTATAAATATAAATGAAGGAGCAAATTTCGCTATAAAACAATGTTAGAATATTTATAAAAAAAAGTTATTCTACATCAAAATAATCACTATCGTCACTGGACTCGTCGCCCATATTAATAATTAATTTTGGCACTAGTCGACTTCTGTAAACATTTTGTTCTTCGATGACATGTTATACACATTTTTTCCAACTAGAAGCATATATTTTTTCTACTTCACTTCTAATAAATTCTATTTCCCCGGAACCAAGTTTCGGCGAGGTGTTGTTTCTTCTTAAACTGGGTTTCAGCTGTTCCTGTATCAGTTCTATGGTGGAAGACGGACAACTTTGAATCCCCGTTGCATGGCCAACTTGTAAACATTATATTTAAGTACTTCCAATAATTGTTTCTTTGTGTAGGAATTTTTAAAGCACATATCATTTTCAAGCAAACAATTTTAAATGACTTGTTTAGTCGATGATGAATTCGGCATTTTTCCTGCTTGTGCAGAATGGTAGCTGGCGTTGTCCATCACGACATCACGACAACACTGTTTGGTGGAATATTGGGGTAATTTTTCAGAGAAGGTCTCATCTAAATATATGATGGCGGCGTTGTTAGCACGAATTTCTTGGATTTCTCTCAAATATCAAAACTTGTCTCTTATTGATGGTTTAAAAACCAATTCTTCGTACGATTGCACGCAGAGTCTCTTGGCAACAGTCCATATTCAAGACACTACGCAACTCTTCATGTAAAGTTTTAATTGTTAAAACAATATTCTTCTGATACGCGTTATATATCATCAACCGTCTTACTATTCCTGAGTGGTGCATCTTAGGTAGACTTTTTGGGACCCCGTAATCTTTCCGCGTTTTTTTTTCTTGGACACTATTCACAACTATGTCACGTACTGTGGAATACGGTGTTTTAGTTATCTCAGGCGTTAATTTTATGGCTCCACTTTTCAAAGATGTTGATTTCAGAAACAGAAACACATTTAAAATTATAATTTTGGCAGCAACCGGCAAATGCGTTCGAGTCTTTGATCCATTTGAATTTGACGGATGTTCATCATCAACGATAATTACGTAATCGACCACAATCTCAACTTTTTCGTCGCTGGACATCGAAAGTGGCCAACAAAATTGAAAAATGTTAGTATTTTGTAAGAAATAAATTGCAATAACATATATATAGTACCTCAATAAAAATGAAACACTAAGTCTTGAAAAACAATTGAATAGCAGTAAGTTGGTAATTACTAATTACAAATACAAGACGGAATTGAAATAACTCCAAAGCTTCGACGGCTAAGAAAATACTGTTTCATAAAACTGACGGCATACTCCCACAAAACAACCAATATCAAACTGGGAAAACATCCATTATAAATAAATAAATATTTTAGAGTCATTATGTGAAACTCTTAAATTGGAAATCAGTTTAAGCTTTCTAATGTGTTTGTAATATAGGAGATCAACCTAATCAACTTGAAATCGAGCTACCTTAAGTAGGGATTGTTTTACAAAGATTTATAAAAAGCACACTAATATGAATTCATATAACAGTTTAATAAAAGAAAATTTCACTACTCTTGAAATACAACAGTCCGCACGGCACAGTTCTTGTCGGCTAACACCTTAAATACGGCCCTGGCTTGCGGTGCACGTGCTGAAAATAATGGTCCCTTCCGCTTTACAGCAGGCGGGTCTTAAACTCATCCCGAAGTCAAATCCATAAAATGTTCTAAAAACGGTATATCATTTGGAGAACTCTACAAAGGTTTATTAGTAAAAAAAACATATTTCATAGGCATTTTATTTTTTTCGCGATATACGTAATTAATTTTGTTAATAACTTTAAAATTGTAGTTTTTTAGGGTAAAATATTTGCTTACTCTTAAATATAATCTCAAAATACTTTTAAATATATGCATACTCTTAAATGCAATCTCAAAATAATTTTTGAAAATATTGGGATGGATGTTTAAAAATGCAGCTTCGAATAGCATAAATATGACCTGACTTTCACTAGTTGTTAATTGAATTGAAGTCGAGCCACTGTGCACACTGATTCTCTTCTGGAAAAGCGGGCCTAAGGCAATGCGCTTAATGGTCAGCGCGAACCGTTTCCATCAGTAAAGTGTCCGAGCTATGTGTTAGGTTAAGCTGTGGTGGTACTCTAAGGAACATCTTTCCTTCAAGCAAAATTTTTAGGTACAGCTGCGGATGATTTGCACGGAATTTAACGCGCTGACAAATTTAAGAAGTAAGCCAAACTTGCCTTGTGTCAATTGTAACTAACAGTATTTTATGAAGTGTTCACTGACTTTCCGTAGGGACATCGCAGCGTTTGTTGCCTCGATCTGGCATTCAAAACGGCTGTGTTATATTTTTTTATTGCTATATATTGATCATAAATAAATATGTAATTTATTTGATAAAAACTCTATTAATCATCAAGTTGACATAAAGCCGCCACGCCTCTGTTAATCCAGTGTTTCTCATCCATGTCGCTATTGAAAGCAGTATACATGACGAAATTTGTTGAGTGACCTGTCGTGGATAATACACCCCTCCTGGCACTAGTCTTGTAGACGGGGCAGTGATAGCAGGGCGACGGTACAAAATCCGCTTTTTTGGCCGGCCTCAGCCACATGATTGGCACTATTTCGAATAAAATTTTCGGAAAAGATTCCGCTAGTACGTTGCGACGTCGATCCCATCTGGCCGCTTCCAAAAATAATCCCTGTCATCAAAAATTAGCGTAAAACGCAGTGGAAATAAATTTTCTGAATATTTGAATATAGCGGTCACACTTACATCGATAAGAACGGTGAACTCTTGGATATCCTTCATTTGCTGCGTCCATTTACAACGATAGATATTTTTTGTGACCAGTTAGAAATATATGGAGGTAATAAATTTGATAATTAAAAGAAAATAATGAATGTATTGTGAAAACGAAAAATTTTCTTCATTCAAAATCTGTACCTTACAATATACTCCTACTACGGCAGATTTTTCCATGTCCAGTTCGTATTCCGTGACATAAAATTCAAAGTGAATCCAATCTATTGGCAGTTTCTTCTGCCGGGCGTAGTTTTGCAGAACTCCGGTTAAAAACGATTGAGTGAAATAAAATCCGGATATCCAGAAAACGTTTGGCACACCGTTGTTAATCCAGTCTTGGAAAAATTTGAGTCTGCAATATAAAAATAATGCCAAACGTAGTAGGAATACGGCCGTTCTTGAACCTCCGTTTGCCGGAGGCGATCTTGTTATATCAGAACAGAGATATTGGTCGCATTCAGCGGACGTAACAAAGTCCCGATTTATACAGCTGTGGCGGAAACGTCCGGTGCATCATGCACTACAAATCCAACATGTTGTGGGGTGGACGCCATTTTTAGTAGCGAGTTTATTTTTGCTAGGTAGCGTTAGCGAAGCGATTGGTATTGGCAGAATTTGGTCTCGAAAGAGAATTTTGGTCAGGGTGTGTTGGACAGTGGTGGTGAGTACAAAATTCCAACATAATAAGTTTATGTTATTTGTTATTATTCATATTTACAAAATTTACAACAAAATTTTTTTTCAAGGTCCCAACGGGAAAGTTTTCTCGAAAACCCCACGAATTTTCGAACATCGTTTGAAGGTATGTTTTTTTCAAACAAACGGTAATCTTTTTTTAAACGAAAATTACACGTGACATGAAATAGAGATGCAATTTTAAGCTATTTGCAGAATGCATTTTCGCTAAACCGAAGAAATATTGGACAGGATATGGAGAAACCTGAAAAAAACTACACAGGCATCAAAGACAATATAGGGAAAACTGGAAGGGGTAGAATTTACTAGGAATATTATCACCAGATTGATGAAATACATAGGGAGGACAAAACACCTAATACCTCTACAACGGTTCCTGACATAATGAAAAAAGCCCCTTGCCAAAAATAAGAAGGACCCAGACGCCATCCCAGTGACTTCTCAGATGGGAGCCACTCCAATCAGAGTAACATGTGTATCACCCCCGTAGGTTGTTTCATCAATTTTTTTATTGATATAGTAAAATTAATTAAAGGCTTATAACATGTTTTCATTTTAAAATTAGCAAGGCTGGGAAGTCAAAGAGTTTAATGTTTTATCTACGAAGAAAGCTGACAAGTATCGAGGGAGCTCAAGTACAAGAAATTAACCTCTTACGAAATGCCATTGAAAGAAGTATAAGCATAACCTCTACATACATACACGTTGCCAGCCGCTTTGCTACGCCCGCTGAATGCGACTATCGTTACTAGTCATAAAGTCATAAAAAAAAAGAATTTAATTGAATAATTCTAAAAAGGACACCGTTAATTCAACCCAAAAATTAAAAACCACTAAATTTAACTGGTAAATAATGCTTTCATTGTTCCAACTTTGGGCAATAGATGTATATTGAGTTTGAGTAGCAGTCTGTTGCCCTGCTCGGTGTGATAATGGTAAAATAATCTTTGTAGAATCCGAATTAGACCGAACAAAATACTGATCCGAGATCCGGGAACTATGCGGATGCCGCTATTAAATTGTGCAATTTGTTTTTAATAACACCGTGCATAAATTATTCAAATTACTTAAGTTTATGTCAATGGGAGCAACACACGGATGTAAATTGAACCCTATTCCTTTCTAGCATTTCAGACACTCTACTAGACACTATTTTAATTGTTCTTACCTCGCTATTAGGTCTGCCACGTAAGATCCCAACGGTTTTAGGCTCGGGTAACTCTTCGAGGCCCACGCGTCCGGTATCTTTCCTACCATCAGCGCGTTGCACATCGCTTCCAACTCTGGCGACATCACTACCAAGCCTTTAACTGCCATGACCATTTCGCGCAACGTATTTTTTATAACTATTGTTAATCGGTTGAACCGTATCAACTCCTGAAGGAAATTGAAATTGTATAATCACGTCCCTTCGCTATACCATTATCCACCGACCTGTCTTAAGACGGTATTCATCGAGTTTTCGTAAATGACGGGATATTTTTTTCCAACGTCGTCGATGTCGAACTCGTTTGGAATTTTCATTAAAATATCGGTGGCCAAACCTATCACCACTTCTTGGCTCTCGCCGCCTGCACTTTCGCTGATTACTTGAGTTTGAGTCAATAAAACGCCATCAAGAAGCTTGAAAGTAAATAAAGGTCATATTGGTAGCACCAGCTTCAGTCAAGCGAGAGAAAAAAAGTCCTGTGCCTCCCATTTTATTATTCATTAAAGTCTATGTAAATATTAACAGAAAATTTGCACACAAAATTTCGCAGTAAAAGTGAGAAATATTTCCATTTTCACATTAAAACTCATACTTACTTTACGAGGGCTGTTTTTTGTATTTCGAGATTTTCTTAAACTAGTCCTGCCATCTGGCGACTAACGTTTTTATAGGGAAGTTTGACATTTTGAGATTAGGTTTACTCAGTTAGGTTTTAGCGAAAGAGTGTTGTTTGTGTTTTTGTGATGAATGAAAAAAAAGTGACGGTTAAACATGACGGGAGCATTTTCGTGCAATAATTTTTTACAACATGGACTAACTCAACAACAATGCATCGATGAACTTAATTCGACTTTTGGAGTTAAAGCGCCATCTAGGACTGTTTATCGCTGGTCGGTTGTGGTCGTAGTTTTCATAAGCATGAATTTCGTGATGGTCGTCCAAAGTCGGTGGTTGTCCAAGAAAACATTGATGATCGTCATTTGACTTACCATGAGATTGAGGTATCTCGAAATAAATGGTAGCCTGTTTTTTCTGAAAAATTGGCCACGTTGCAACTGTTCCTTTGGTGAAAGGTAAAACAGTCAATTCTGAATGGTACACAACCATTTGTGTGCCGAAAGTCTTCGAAGAAATTAGAAAAACCAACTGCCGAAGACGAATCACTCTCCACGATAACAATGCTAGCTTTCACCGATCAGTGCAAACAAAGAACTTTTTGAGCATTAAAAACCTTGATTTGATGGGTCATCCACCATATAGTCCTGATTTAACACCTAAGGACTAATTTTTGTTCCCATACATTAAGAATAAATTACGTGGGCAACGATTTTTGACACCAGAAGAAGCGGCTGATGCTTTTAAAAAGCCTGTTTTGGAGGTGCCCGACTCGATGTGGAAAAAGTGCTTTGATGATTGATTAGTGAATATTTTGAAAAACAATAAAATCATAAGAACAGACTATACTCACCAAAATTTAACGCACAGGAATATTTCTTTTTTGAAGTAGGTACCGGACTTTGTTTCTTGTTGCGGAATTGTCGGCGAAAAACCAATGTACGAAGTTTAAAATTCGAATACTCACTGCTTGAGTTTCCTGGTTGTCCTTGGTAATGTCCGCGTTTTCGTGCAACCCAAAAGCTTCCGGCTGAGGTGTGATCGGCATGCTTCTGATGTACGTCAGTATGTCGTCGTAAGAAGTGTCCACCGGGACGTAGTAAAGTCCACTGGGTGAAAAGGCGTAACTAAAATTACGCGTCCGATCTAGCATTCAGGTATTTACGGTAATTTTTTTGTCTTACAATGCCTTTTTCACCACGTCCGGCGTGTAAAATAGAGACAGTAACGAGTTTAGCAATCGCCTGTCCTTATCGTCGGTCACTCTGCCTCCGTAATTGCATTCCCCCGTTAAATATGTCAAAGCGTCATAGGGAACTTCCACGTAATCGTTTAAAAACATCTTGAATATATAGTGGTGTGTTATTAGTTCATCATAATTATTTTTTAATTTCTCATATACTTATAAAAAATAAAATTAATCTTAAAAAATGGAGAGAATAGAAATGTCACTAGCTATGGCAGAAATAATAGTGTCAAATCAGAGGATCGAAATTTGAGCTTTGAGGGCAGTTGAAAACCATTTCAACCAGCAGTGCTGAGGTGTATTTATTTCGCAATTTGTCGAAAACAGTTGGTAATTGTACAAACGAAAAATAACGGTTTGCTTGCCTAGAACGGAAATTGCTATAAGTTATATGAAAAAAAAGTTGTTTTATTTTAAAACGATATTCTGACAGGCAAGTCGAATGGACTGGGCCCGGATCTGTCTGCTTTCCAAGAAACATGGAAACGCGAGAACAATCGGACTATTACACCCAGAGCCGGTTCTCGAGATATCACTAGAATATTCGACGCCCAACGCGATCTATAAAACCAATCAATCACTGTTCCATAGAGGCAATTAATAAGTAAAACGAAGACATACAGGGCAAGAAATAAAAATGATGAAAATATATTTAAAAAAATGATCTTGTATAAATTATTAGTAGTGTGTAAATAGTTGACGACTTTAATTGTTATTTTCTATGAAATAAATTTCCATTAAGTTTTACGCAAAGTGACTTGTTTAAATGGACCGTTTGACGGACGATTTTAGTTGATTTAAATATGTAACATTATTGTTAATGTTATCGTTGTTATAAGTACATATTTTTTCATGTCCCGGTATCTTAGAACCAGCATGGGCTGTAAAAAAACAACAAAAACTCAACTTTAATACCCTAAGTCGTATTAATGAGAGATTGCACTAAGGCTGTTTTACTACTCAACATCATTTTTTTGTCTAAGGTAGGTTTTTAACACGTTCATTATCGAGCAGGAGCCAAAAACGTTGTAAGTTTATGCATTTTATGGTCAAACAGATAGAAACAATCCATATAATAACGATATAGTTCGAATTAATCCAGACCCCAAATTTTTGTTATAAGCATCATAAATGTTTGTTAAAATTCTGTATTATTTCACATGGCCGCATTATGACATGAACTATTTAAAAATGTATCAAACTTTTTATAATAAGCTTTTTCCCATACCAATTAACATAAAAAATATGCCCGCAACTATCTACATATGAAAGCAATTTGATTTGAAAAGGTTTTTCCTTCCTACTGTAAAAGTGGGTGTTAAGTAGGTGTAACCTTCTCCAAGTAACAGATTCAATCAATTATTCAAAAATCATAAAAAACAGATTTTTTTACAAATTGATAAGAGAAATGTACATTAGGCAAATAAGTTCGCAGACGTCTGATTCAGGTAAAAATAGCGCCCTCTTGTATTTCAGTAAGTTAAGACGTTTAGGACATACGCTCGTTTGAAGTTTTCTCTTAAAATGGGCTCAGAAATTACTTATTATTCACACCTGATAGTTTACTTTATGATAATATGATGAGTATACTTCGAACCTGAAAGCCGATTTCAAGAATGATCCGGCCTCACCTGCAATTGCATCACGCTTATCCTCAAATCCGATTCGTTAAACTCATACGGAATGTTCCACCCGAGAGGTCCATACTTTCGCCGTTCCTGAACTAGCGCGTGAAAAAAACATAAGGCGAACAACAGACGCTGAAAAGGTCTGACGTTGCTGCAAGAGGTGTAAAATTCTGTGTTGGATATAGGATCCGTCTGGTAGGACCTCAACAGATTCTGTCGCAAACCTTTAGGAGCTTCGTTTGTCATCTTCACACCTGAAATAACCTATATGCTATTATTTGCTAAAGTATTAGCGATTGGTAATTAGAGATGGTAATAGGTGCTAATAGGTTCTTAGCTAATGTGCGTTTGCTTTGTATGTCAGTGCCAGCAACAATGGGTTGTGTTGGCAACTCATCAAAAATGCTAGAGCACTATCACAAAGTGTTGGACTGTGTCAGCTGCTGCAAAGTTTGAAACGTTCTGATAAACTAGTCGCTATGAATCTCACGTATCAACAATCCTCTCTGGATCCAACGTTCTCAAAATAATTTAGATCGAAACGAGGCGTTAGACAACGCTGCGTGGTATCACCTTTTTAACATTCATGAACTGTTTATCATAATAATGATAAAAATATAACAAAATCTCCAACTTAAGAGAACGGTGAGTATTTATTTTATTTGTATGTTTTTAGGAACACATGATGATGAGTTGAAGTGCAATATAAAAAATTAAAATAATGATTAGGCAACTAAATAACTATAGGAAAACTAAAGTGAAGACCGAATATTTCAAATTAAGTGATAGGTATTAATCCAAAAGATTTGTGAGCACTTTTGATCAAAAATTGGTTCTTGGAGTTACTAGGTGAAATATAATTGATGCCCTTACAGTCCATGAAGGAACATGAAAGTTAATCGGGCTTAGCAACTCAAGGCAATCCAGTAATAAATTGAAAAGTTCATATAAAAACTGAAATGAAAGGTACCTCCTACGATTCAACAATGAGGTAACCTTAAACATTAGTAATAGATCACTCTGTGGCAGTCCCTTAGCAGGATAGAAACCATTTACATGAAAGTGAAGAAATGTCATGTTCAAATTTGGGGCTCCAAATGACAAAAGCAAAATTTATTCTATGTACGTTCGAGGTTACGATTTGATGGGGCATCGCCTAAAATGAGCTAAAATCTTACTTAACGTTACGTCGAAACATCAGACTGAGAACTAAATGAACCAGATGAAAAATCAAAAAGTCGCCATTGGAATTTGATAACTTTATTTGTCTTTTCATCTTAGTTTTTGATTCTTCCTAATTGACTGAAAGTTTAATTCCCTCATTGGATATATGTACCAAAACCACTTTAATAGTCTTACTTTGTACATATATATGATATATGTGATTATAAACTTCTAAAACTGTACTTACCATTTTGTAGAATGGCAACTGGAAATGATTTGCTGGGGTAGCTGGTCAACCATAGACGAAATTCGGGGTTAGTTGCCTCCGGAATGATTACTTCATCGCAAATTCTATCTAGTTCCTGCATCCAACTGGCTGCTAAATGGCAGTTTTGCAAAATGGCCCATTGGCCCGTCTCCAGACCAGTTTTGATCATGTTGGCTGCGATGGGTCCCTATTAGATATAATGTGATGTGTACGATACTTAACAAATTTATGTTATTTCAAAAAATTAGGGGTTTAACTATAGAGGTGTAATATTTTTGAATTTTTGAACTAAAACATACTGGCGTGAGCATAAATAAAAAAAAGTGACCTGTTAGGAAATGATTATGGGCTCAAAAGAAATTGCAGAAGCATTTTTAGGAAACAAATTTCGTTAAAATCTACGTAATTAATTTTGTCTCATTTTGTTGACACTCACTCCTATTTGAGAGATATCAGACATATATAATTATTTTAAAGTAACGCCCTGAATATTATTGCAGCTTCTGATTAGTGTTAACGTTTCTTGTCTTTTGCTGGATTCAACAGTAGAGTGTGTAGATACACTTCTTCGGAAGAATGTAAAATACAAAATTTGTTACATTAAATCAATTATTTATGATCAGATATCTCTCTTGATAAGCTCCACAGCTTGTGGAAGCGTCTTTGTAAAATTAGGAGTAGAGTAGTTAGAGTTGTCGATATTTTTTTAATAAACATGTTATAAACGGATTTTTCATTAAATTGAAAATTTTTATGCAAACTTTAAGAATGGAAAATTGCACATCGATATGTCTAGAATATTCTGGAAAATCCAAAAATGCAAAATCAACTTTATGATCTGACATCTCTCTTCAGTGTTCATGTCATTTAGCTCCGCCCGCCTTAAACAATATACAGTACAGTACAGAGTATATTGCGGCCAATTTTTAGTTAAGCTCTAAAGAAGCCCACAGAACATTTAATGAGATCTAGATAAGACTATCGGTCAGCGGTTCAATGCCGCAAGGTCATTGGCTAAAAACGAGATTTTAAATTTCGCGCATGCGTATGTTTTCAAATTTTTTTCATAGTTGCTTCATAATTTCCTTTATCATCAGCATATCCCTGACCTCTATCTCTAGTAGCTATATGCTAATTTCTCAGAACTTAAAATTATGTGACCTCTGTTGTCGATGTACCTGTCCTTGGCCTAGGGAGATGGTCATTAGACTCGTCTTGGCGATCCCCATATCGGTAGCGAATTTAATGAGTCCAGCCATGGGATCCGCACCAGGGGATAAAATAAAAATGAGAGGCGAACAACAATGACTGTCATTATATGAATCTTCTAGATTGAATTGAGGCGGTTCCAAATACGATGGTCCCATTTCTTCAACAATATACGCCTAGCAACCAATTGTATTACGCGAATAATTCATAAATACTATTAGAAATAATACCTGGACAGCATATACAAGTTTGTCGGGTCGAACGCATCGCAGAACCACCAGTTTCAGTAACCCTCGCAACTCGTGGAATGGTTTTGGATAAGGTACTTCCTCCGGACGCGATGCGTCGTAAAACTGCTTCCACGCTGTAGAATTTGTTTTCACCGAATCTTTTAAACCTCTCAAGCTGGGGGATAATATCAAGTTTTGAACTTATACCCCTTGCAATAGACAACATAAAAGGACATTCTAAATGTACATGCGGTTGGCATTTAAGTCGGCTTTTCACAGAAAGTAAGTAACAAATTCATGAATTTAAATATAATGGAATCGAATATAAGGTATTTTTGAGTTCGTTCTAGACATAATTCATATACTACGACTACTTAAGATGGCCTCATTCACTACAATCTCTCTACTTGTTCCTAGTTCTCAATATCCATCATTTTTAGGTATCTCTCTGATTTGTCTTTCTATCTTTGTCGGGTTTGTCCTGGGGGTCTTCTTGCGTTTGCTCTAACTACTGCCCCTGTCTGGCTCTTATTGTGCTTGTAATCCAGGGTTGGTTGGTCATCTCTCTGATCTTACCGGGTGTGTGTTTTATCCACCGGGTCCACAGATTCTTAAAACTTTGTTTTCAAAGGAGTTTTGAGCTCTCATTTTCAAGGTAGATTACGGAGTCATAGTAAATTGTTAAGAGCTGCTAGAGCTTTATTCAATATCTCCGACTGGAGAAGTTTGTGTATATTTTTGGAAGATTTCTTTATGGCGGTTTTTAATACAGGATGAAAAAAAATTAACATTAAAAATTTAAAGAAAAAAATCGTTTTTTTTTCAAATCGAAACACCTCACGTTTATAATTTTATCGTGTTTAATATTTAAGAACAGGATCAAAATGTTTTTCGTAAAATTAGGTAGAGGAAATCAATGTTTGACAGTTTTCTGCTTGGCCAATTTAAAAAAAATGACTTAGTGTATATCCAACGTAAAAAAAAATTGTCAAAATGGTAATAGTATATCAAGAAATTTATGTGTTCAACTTATAGGCTTAAAACCCGATAACTAGTTGCAGTTACCATCAGTTAATTGCTACAAAGAGATACAGGAAATCGTTCAAATAAAATAATTTAATTACATTGGTAATATTCTGGAATGAAAAACAATCCTTTTGTGTTACTAAATTTCGACTGGTAATTAGATACAAATTTATAAATTTTTGCATTTTTTGTTTAATACTGTTTTTTTGGTCTAAACGGATACTTTTAAGCAAAAATATTTTTTTAAAAATTTGTTCCATTCTAGGAAATTAGAAACAATTTGATAACTTTTGTTTTCATAACTTAATGGATATATGAATACATTGTATTACCACAGTAAATAATACTGTGTTCTGTTATTATTTTTTCTGCCATGTTTCGCCTTTATTTTCTTGTCTGACTTATAGCAATTTACACGGAAAAAACATTTTAAATTCCAAATACGATAAATTTATAAAAATTAGGTGTTTCTATTCGAAAATAAGTTTTTGATTATCCCGCTTTCATCTGTTCTTAAAATATCAACATAAACTACTAAAGTAGACCTCATCTGTGTGTAAATCCCAGAAGATTCTCAGAGAAATGCATAGATATATTAAGATCTGCAAACATCACATTTCGAGGCATTCAAAACGGCCTTAATATACAGGCTCTTATATTTAAATTTAAGTTATTAGTTCTCCACAAAAATGTATATAAAATAATATAATACATTGATAGTATATTATGCAACAAGCAGAGCGAGTGTTTAATAAACGAGTGACTTAAAAAGTTTACCGAACGTGTTGCGTACTATACTTTTTCTACGACCGTTAGTTTTTGGGTACATTTCCGCAAAACAACACGAATATATCCAGTGACATGATCGTCAGAAGTGACTCGGATCCGTGGGAAACGAAACTGACGTGGTAAAGTGACGCTACATCGGTATGTAATTAGGTATTTTACAGAGGGGAGTAGAAAAAAAGCATATGTGAATCCAAACATTTTTTTGCTCAATTTTTTTTTGACATCCATTGAAAGATATTATACCCAAAAATTTGAGACTTTTAAGTTTTCAATATGTTTGCTTGTGTGATTTTGTGATTTTTGTGATTTCCGCGTTTTGTTCCTAAATACTAAATAAATGGTTATTTAAAATAGATTTCAGTTTCGGTTACCACTGTATAGCACAAACTGAAAACTTAGACTTTTGCAAGCGTATAATGTGATTGTCTGAACCGAATTATGGAAAAAAGCGTTCTATCGTCACAAGTACGGCAATCAGATTATTCATAAATGTTTGTTTATGTTGATTGTCTGTTTCTAATTTTTTGGGTGCATTGTATTCTTTGGATATGTCTTCGGTGTCATCCCATGTTATGGGCGAACCGGTACTGTATCCGACAGTTTTACGACGTATATGCAAGTAATTGGCCCCAAGAGCAATGCTGTTAAATATTTGCTTACCAGAAGGCAAAAATCAATGTCGTTTCTCTATGACAGTCACTGCCGGTTTTGGTTACGTGTCTTTCAGAATATATTCGTCAAAACTGACATTCATTTGTTGTGAGTCTTTATAAACTTTTGCAAGATTCCGCTAAGATATAATCAGCCATCACAGCTGATACTATTGAAATGGTATAGCCTGAGTGTAAGACGAAACACGTAGTCTTGAAAAAGCGATTAGTGAAGTATCTTCAAAGCACAGGAAAAATTATGTCAACCACACAAGAAGCTTGGAAGACAAGAGGAGAGGGTGCGCCACTTGTAATTAGTACCGACGAAGACGACAACAATGACTATGGAGAATTTAGTTCTGATCCTGAAGATAGTAATGGACAGTAATTTTTTATTTTTGTTTAACGCGATCTCGCTTTGTTTTTCCTATTATATAAATACGCTCCATGCTTAAAAAGAACACATAACGGCGGGTATAGTGTGGTTCAAATTATACCATGACGTCCACTCCAAGAAATCAACTTCCTCGTTTTATTCCGTTGAGTAAGTCGTCCTAATAAATTGGTCAACATGAAAGTATTGTAATCGCCAAACAAATTACCGACAGTGGAAGTTAAAAAAAACTTTTTCAAATTTCAAATACTAATAGATGTCTCGCCCAAAGCATCACAACTTGGTTATTATTTGTTAGGAGTGAAGAAAGAAATACTCAAATAATAAAACAAAAAATAACACTCACCGGCAAAGTAATACAAAAACTTATAATAAAAAGAGTTCAATGGTTTTGTAATTATACAGGCCAATAATATCTGCAATAGTGGAAACCGGATCTACATCACTGTATACGTTTAGGTATAGTATGGGTCCGCATTTTGGAAAAAAGCAATTAAAAAAAGTGAATGCTGCGAAAGTTCTAGGCGAACGCGTGTTCACTTTTTACGAGATATGAATTAAATTGGGAAATTACCCGTTTAGTTGACTCGCCCTGACAATTTCCGACCAACTTTTATCAGACAACCAATCTGACGCCGGATTGGGAAATGGAGTATCCAATGCGACACCGCCGGTTATCAGAAAGTTCCACACGTCTTCATCAATTTCGCCCTAAAATTTGGTATGCTTTCGCAGTTCGCAGATACGCTTTACAATTTCCTTACGTTTGATCTCAAAATTCCGACGGTCAAGACGAAAGAAAATATTAACTTATCTTTTTCGAACAGCGACCTACAAACGTTCCTGTAAATGCTTTTGGTGAAGTAGCTGTTGAGGTATCCCAATCTTTCTTCCAGAACGTTCGATCTGGTACCGTGGCTGATTGCTTGGTTGTAGAGGTTAATAAACCACACCAATGAGTATTGATACATCGGATCGATATTCCCCAAATCGGATATGCAGAAGAAAAGTACCGACGAGTGTTTGGAAACAGGCACGTATTCATTCCTCGCGAGGTCGATTTCCTTCTCCGTTACGGCAGCTTGTTTCTGTTTTTCTTGAATCTCTTGCGACAACAATTTGCTCGACGACAAAATTTTAATGGCCGTCTCGTCCTCCAATATGTTACCTCTTGAAGTCGACAGCACCTCCAAAATCTTATCTTCGATCTCTTTGAGCATCTTTTTATTATTCGCCGTTTCGACGATCATCGCGTTTTTAATTTCTTCCAATTCGGGTCGTTCCCTGGCCACCACGATGCCCAATAGCTGATCTTCCAATCCGCCTGGCGTGATCATGAAATTCAGTAGACTCACTTTCACCGCCAACTCGGGCAAGTAATGAGGATTTCTTAGGCGGGTGGTTAAAAAGAATCGGAAATCAAACGAATACTCTAAGACGTGATCGGCTAGTTTCAGGTACCAAACGCCTTGTTGTTTGAACACGTTCCTCGCCAAAATTGGATCCAGCAGAGCGTCCAGTTCTTCCCCGATATTCTCTAACAATACCGGCGTGCCGAAGGTTATGGCGTTTTCCAAAACGCGGACATAATTCGCATCCGTCAGTTTAATTACTTGGAGCCTGTTGTTTTTTTCCATGTTCTTGATCCATTTGTTAGCTTGCCCTTATAGAGAAAGAAACATAGCGATTCACAAGAGTTATTGGACTTTGCTGTTTAGGAAGAGGTAAAGTACAGTCATAGCAGTTGTGCAGTTACGTCATAGCATGACGTCTTTATCGTCGAGTCAAGATCAAAATTTTTAAACTTATCGGATAATTAAATCGTTTTAAAATGACCCATCGATTTAGTAAAAAAAGCAAATCTTATTTCAAAACTTGTGGAATATTACACTCGAGAAACCAATGCGGGGAAACTGGTTTTACACTTAAACGCTTTCCACAATCTAATTATTTAAATTTCTGAAAATTATTCATTAAGCAGGTACTTACTATGTCTTATGGTAGCCTGTTGCGAATTGCTACATTAGCTGGTTACTTTCAAAAAATAAAAATAAAATCGAATTTTTCGAAAGTATAGTATATATGTACGATTGGCAACGAAACTTATGTCTCGGCCACGGCTGGTCCTAGGGGACCCCCAGTGGTACGGAAATGATAAGCGTCGAAAAAAAAATCTGTTCTCCGTTCTGTTTCTCTGTCGACGGGGCATTAAATCGCTATAACTATCTGACCGTTTGAGCTACGGCGTTCAGATTTGGCCCTTTTTAAACAGCCTACGAGACACATAAACCCATGAAAAATGGCCGACATCGCTATGAAATTTAAATCCATCGAATTGAAATTTGGCGTACGTATAGAGCTTATATTCTTTTTTTTTTTAATTAAAAATCCCGTTTGCAGGGATCCAAAAAAAAAACAATTCTCGAAACCTGTTTATGCAATCGAAAAAATTTATGAACGAGAAGACCCGTGACATCAAATTCTATAAATCCTTATTCTTCATAATTTTCAAAAATGTACAGGGTGCGGCCGGTATGTGCGAAAATCTGAAAATTGATGGCCCCTAATAATCGTAATTTCTATTACATGAGCATATAGCCCGTATAGACAGCTAAAACTTTTGTGACGCTTTTAGCATATTGTACAGGGTGCTATGAATATTAAAACATGTAATAGGTGTTTCAAATTTGCAGCTGCCGACTTCAGATTTGACAGAGCGGTAGAAGTCCCGACCCACACTTACATTCTGAAAGTTGGGCGCAATCAAACACCGTAAAGTATTTAAAAAAAAATATATATTTTTTTTTGGGTTATTTTGGTTTTTAAAAAAATATATTTTTTCTGAAAAACTGTTGGCTTGATCGGCAAAATTATTTTACCAGGGGACGCGGAAGAGATCCGATACTATAACTTCTACTTCAAGCATTTTTTCGATTATGTATAGGGTTTTTCAATTATAAACAAAAATCAAAAAGATCCTGAAAATTGGTCTTTTCCAGAGCACATTATTGCTTTAAATCAAAATTCGTAAAAAATATGGCCGTATTTACGATTTTTGTCTATAACGTACACTGCTCGAGATATTTGAAAAAATTCAAATGAAAATCGCTATTTCTCGCACTCAATCTAGATGTGATCACGTCATTTACGATTACGGCGTACTGCATAGGTTCACAACTTCTGTCAGTTATTCAATTATGTATAGGGTGTGTCGGTAATGGGCAAAAAATATAAAATATCCTGAAAATTGCTGTTTTCGTTAGTAAATTATTACCCGTAAACGAAAAACTATAAGACATTTGATAATTTGGTCCAAACAGTTTCGTAAATTGTGTCGTTAGATTTCAGGTTTCGTCTATTACACAGGGTGCGCAAGATATTTGAAAAAATATCAGTTGAAATAATTAATTTTGTATCTACCAAAGTGTGCCGTGACTTCGAAGTTCGGTGAGATGTGGAAGACACTTTATACCGGGTTCATGCACAATCAAATTACATCGATTTTGCGAACGTTCCATGGTGGTCCGCAGGAGCACGATAGAAAAACAATACGTCCCTCTAGGACAAGAAACCGAGAAGCGCCTTCTTTTTAAAATAAAAAGCTGCTTCGCGCTACGCGCTACGAACGAACACCGACATTTTTTCGAAAGCAATCTTGTTTCTTTTGGCATCAAAATCGACCATGAACATAAAATTAAAATTCAGACCCGTCATATTGCAGCACTCTGAATACCTTAAAGTTCACGAACATAACAGACGGACACGAATTTATGCTATGTACGCAGCAGGTATGAAAAAAAATTGAAAGTTTCCTTTTTTCCAAATGAATCAGTATAAATTGTGGTACTGCTTCTTTGTCAGTAAAGTCAAAAATCTATATAAGTGGATAGGAGAACATGTCACGGTAGAATTGCTGCGGAAAAATTTGGATATTTCACATATTTCACATAGTTCATTAATTGATGAATTAAAAACGTTGATCAGTCATATCTGATCGAACAATCTCATAAACGAGTGATATTTTTGCGGGAATACATGAAAAACCAGAATGATACCTTTTCATTCAATCCAGTATTTTTGAACGAGACTTGGATATTTAGTAGCGTCTAGAAAAAGCTGGCAAAACGATTCTCTACAAACAGTTTGGAAAAAATATGGTGAAGAAGTTCGTTATATAATTTAACATGCTGGCCATAAAAATGGCTGGTTCAGTCAACAGCTGTTGCCCAATCTTAGTGAACGTTAATTAATAGTAATGGACAATGCATTGTGTCACTGTGGACTTGCTGAGATAATACCTAATATTTCCCAAGAAAGAAAGAAAGACCAGCCATGGACCTTAGTGAAGCGACACTTACCAGAAAAACTATGTAGGTAGTTCCTAAATATTTTTCTTTGAATATGAAATTATTTCAAAATATAATCTTTGGGTCAGATTGTAAACGGTATTATAATGCAAAAATAGGTTTGATAAATTATCTAACATCTGATGCTCTACTGCGTTTGTGGAGTGAACTACTTGCTCAAGTAAAATAATAATAATAATACTTCTGATGGAGTATTCGTAACACTTTGTTTTAGGTTTCACCTGAAAATTGGAAGAACTATTGTAGGAACACAGGCCTCCTGATTAGTAAGGCTTGGAAAAGGGAAAAGTTGATCGATGCATCTAATATTCTCCCAGTTGTTATGGACATGCATGAATCAGACTCGGAGGAAGTAGGGTTTTCGTTGTTTTTGTTGTGGAAGAATGGGGAGTCTATAAAAAAAGCTCCCATATATTTGATACATTTTAATTTGCACATTCATATAAATAAGTAACTGAAAAATAATAATATGTACCTAAGTATGAATGAATGACCGTTTTATGACCGTATTTCTAGTAGGTGCTGCAATTGCAACAATGAATTGCAAAATAAAACTTTAATTTAGATTTTAGGATTGTATATTCGAACTTTAAACTAATAAATTAGTTAAAATCGGATCGCTTCTAAAAATGGTAGCTATAAGTGACGTAACTGCACAACTACTCTGACTGTAGTATAAAACTATTCTGGCACCCACCTTTGAAGACAAGTTTATGTGCTTAAAAATTCTTTAATACTATGATTTCTTTAAAATTCACCTAATAACCTTATCCGCAAAAAACCCCTACTGGCTACTGGCCACTGCTTTTTTATTGTTTTAATGGTTGAAGCCTATGACAGATTTATATAGAGTAATAAAATGGTAGTCTCCAATCCTTTTAAATACATATGTACGCAAACAACTAATTGAATTATTAAAAATGTATTTTAAGACAGGTCCAACTTGCAAACAACGCTGTGTCACGGTATAACTGGGTTGCCCCGATAGTTGACCTCTGTTTGTTTACTTTTTTAATTCAGAATAAGAAGAAAATGATTAGCCTTTTTTTAAGAGCTTCTACTTCAAACTTTTTAATCCTTTATTCTTTTTTGGGTCTATCAAACTCACGCGCATTAGTTTTACAACTTAACTTACCGATAAATGTTACTAGAACACTTGAACAACTATGTGGCAAGCACTTTATTAATTTTACTTATCGTGACTTGTCTTATTGCTGGAATCTTAACGATCACAATCTATAACTTAACTCAAAACGTGATTTTCTCACATCGACTTTTTAAGTGCCCAATCTGATCGTTCATAAGGCAAGGTAAGATTAATTTACTATTTTCGATAGGTGATGTTTACAATTAAATTCGAACAAAAAATGTTCAGATTTTCATAGTTACTTGATATATGACGGCTGTTTCGCCTTTATCAAATAGCTATTAGTATCAATAAGTAACTGTAAAAATTTTTTTTGTTCTAATTAAATTTTGTTAAATGGATTTTCATCAAGTAAAGGCCAACTCAGTTCAAAATGTTTGTGTGTGTTTGTGTTAAACAAGCCTGGCCTAAAATAGCAAATAATATGGAGCATCCTAATTAATAGACACTGAACGAATGAACGTCCTTATTAAATTTTAGTTATTGGATATTTGTCCTTAGTTTAGTAAATGTATTCTATATTTTTGTTAATGGTTTTTTTTTGTTCACTGTATGTTTGAGACCAATAAAATGTCTTTCTGTCTACCAATAACTGCACCTAAGAACATTTTTCATCTTGATGCGATGTGGAAAATATTTCCGAGAAACTTTTACAACAAAAAAACCAACTACTCGTTTTACGAATAGGAAGGTAAAAATTTGCAGTTTCAATCAAGAATATGATACTATTATGTTGTAGAGTACATTTTCAGAAAAGTAAAAATTTATTTTTGTTTCAAATTCTGTTAAATGTAAATATTTTATTTCCCTATTCCATCATAATAACAAATTTGGACGTAGTTGTTTTAACTTTATCTACTATGCTCTAGCCTTGTAAAGGGTAATCTTATATTTTATGTTACTCGTGTATTAACTATGTGTATCTGATATTAAAGGCATTTGCTATGTGGAAGATGATCCTATATAAACAATGGAATAATTTGGCATATAGATCTTACTTTTACTGGTAGTAAGTTTGTCTTTTGGGGACTCTCATGTTTTTTGGTAAAGCTCAAGTGCTCGAAATTTTGTTATCAAGTATTGTGAACGTCAAAAAAAAGTGGATAAACCGAGTTTAGTTTTTTTTCCAAGAAACTTCTACAGGCTACTGTAATACTTGATAAAAAACTTCTGGATTCCTCCTGCGTCGATTTTTGCTGAGTCGAACTTGCAGCAACTAACCAAGTTTAGGTTTTTCCTGTTACTGAGAGTGGTAGGTATCCGATGCAAAAAGTAACAGACGTAGCTCGATGATGCTCCCCAAACCCATATGATTTACATAGAATAAACAAATTATAGGATCTAGAACTGAGTTTTGAAGTACACCATATTGCACACGTTTTGTTCAGATTTCAATTACAAAGGAATATTAAAAGGGAAAACATTTCGCATGAATTAAAAGCAGTGATTAGCAATGAAGCTTTTTATGTCACATTTCAGTTCTTCCGCAATAAAATGGTAATTAATGGTTAGGTAGATAGCATGGTTTAATATGGCCATAAAAACAATTTCGTTTTGGTATGAATCTAACTAAATTAACCAAACCCGTATTTTTATTATTCACTAAAATTAAAATTGTATTTAAACTTCACCTACCTTGCGGATCGATCATCAAAGGGTATCTTCTAGCCGTAGTCGATATGATACCATTTTCGACGCTATAATTATCGACAGGCAACCCAGCAATATTCCATGAGCGGATAATTACTGGTTCGCCCATGGTGGTGGCCAGCGAAAAATTCACAGAACATGGGATTCCCAGAGCAATGGAATGGTCGTTCCACATTTTGATCAAGTGCCGTCTTGAATAGAATAGAATAGAATAAATCTATGGACTGTACAAGGTACGTTATAACAAGTGGAAAGAATATAAATGTAATACAAATTTATTAATATTCTTTGAGCCAGGGAAATACTGTGCCGCTCTAAACTTGGATGTATTTATAAATAGTAATAAGTAGTTGGGTATAATCTTTAAGTTTAAAAAAAATTATCTGTGAAACTCTGGTTGTGAGTTATCTAAATTGCTGTAATTTTGTCTATGGATCCTGCTTGGATGTTTGAACAAAAAATAAATTACAAAAAATATACAATTCCTGTATTCGATTTATTTATAACCTTAAACGAAGAGATCACGTAATACAAATACATTGGAAAAAATGACTTGAAGAAATTGCATTCATTTCCGTGGAACTAGTTTTAATTTTCAGTATGACTAAAAGCTGCTTCTTATGTACATCTATTAGACTGCTTAATAAATATTCTCAGATTAGCCAATCACAGCCTCTTTGTGATTTTAAATTTCATTTCATCAAACATTCATATCTTTGTATGTATATATTTTTGTAATATAAAATTGGTATACTAAATTAAGTTGTTTGTCTTGTTACATGCTCGGTTAAGTTAACAGCTCAGCTGATCTTCGAGGAACTTAAAATAAAGGCAGTTTTATTTAGCTATTTTAATTTACAGAGACCACTACAGAAATATTGAAATACTCAATGTAAAGAAAAAAAAAATCGGTCTATTTATTACTTTTTTTATCGGAAACAAAATTACTCTCCGGTATTTCTGAACTGAATAAAAACAATGAGCAAGCAGATAATCTCCTATTGCTCTTTTAAATTTTTTATTAAGGGGATGTTAATAGATGTGATAGATAGTCTATTAAAGAAAGTGTAAGTCAAAGAATTATGGTCCATAAAATTATAAGAGTGATTTTTATTTGTGTATAGTAAGTGTGTCCTTTTGTAATGAATTTTAATTAAGGGAAAATAAATAAAAATAAACTGCAAATATATAATCCTGTGTCTCAGAAAAAGGAGTCTACAATGGCCACGGTAATCTAACTATACCAATTTTTATAATGCTTCAATACAGGGTATTTGAAACATCTTTTGGGCCCCGCTTAAGGCTGCACGTCGTCGTAAATTTTTCGATTATGGATTGATTTTGTTTGTTTTTTTTTTTGTTATATAGATCTCTCAAAAACGCACTAAAATCTAATGTTTCGTTTTACATCAACCCGAAGTCATGGCCAACTGGGACTAATTTTTGATGTCAAACGTCGAGAAGGGCTTTTAGGATTTTTTTTACATATAAAGTGTCAACGAATTCTTATTTTGGACTACATAAAACCAACTCTACTAATTCATATGAAGTTTGAATTGTTTATGGCTCAATTTTGTTAATTTTTTTTTTTGATAGATTTGAAAGACAATAACAAGTTTCTTAAAATTAAATATAATTGGAGAGGATTAGATACGAACTAACTACAACGCTGAATTTTTTTAATTTATTAATTTTTTTAATTAAAAAAGATTGTTACTTTTAGTTACGAATCTGTAGTCATCTTCAATTTGAAAAAATCTTTAAATCTTTCTCGATTTTCCGCTTCAAAAACCTGCGTCGATTGGCTATGACTGTGGTCGATGCTATACGAAAAAAACGTTCCTTTTTTCTTTATTACGATCCATCCAAAAAAAAAAGAATTATCAAAATTATAAACATTCTACAGGAGTAATGCTTAAGCGAACTTCATGGAAATTAGTATAGTTAGGTTTTATGTAATCCTAAAAAAGAATTCGTTAAAGAAACCCATTAATAGTCCTTCTCGTTATTTGACATAAAAAATTAGTCCAGGTTAGCCATGATTTCCTGTTGATATAATGAGAAACATAAGCTCATTGTGTATTTTTGAGAAATGTATTCTACAAAAAAAAAGTTATCAAAATCAAACGGTAATCAAAAATTTTACAACGGTGTACAGCTGGGCGCAAAAGACATTTCAAACACCCTGTATTGAAACATTATAAAAATTGGTATAGGTGGGTTCTAAGTACTCCTGAATAAGAATCCTTGCAAATTTATTTTTAAAAAAATCCCTAATAGTACTTCCCTCTTTTCTCTCTTTTGTTAAACAGTCTTAGTTGGCCATTACTTTTAGTTGAAGCAATAAGTAAAACAATGTTTTAGTGCATCTTTCAGAGACCTATCCAATAAAAATTTTTTCTCAAAATCGAACTATTAACAAAAATTTTACAAAGATGTACAGTTCTATAGTTGGACACACTCTGTACTACAAACAATAGTGAACCCAAAACGGAATCTCGAGGTATGTATTTTAGTTCCCTAGTTGATGACTAAAACATGCACAGTTAAGACCGCGATCATTGGTTAATTCCTGTATTATGCTGGAAAGGAAATCCACCTGTAGTCGATGGTAAATGGGCCCAGATACGCTATAGTCCCGGCGGATAGTAGAACGTCACCAATTACGTTGCCGAGCTGTGCGTGTAATTCTTGTGCGGTTTCCTGCCATCGATCTTTCTCCCCGCCTAAACCGCCGATGAGTTTTTCCGCTCTGTTCAATTTCTGCGAGCATATGTGGATTTGATCTTCCAGGTCTTTTTTCTTTTTCGTTTCCGCCGCAAATTCGTCGTTGAGCGCCTGAAGTTTATCCGAAACCTAAAAAACGGGAGCGTAAACTCATTAACCGAGACGGGAATCTCCTAAACACGGCACCTCTTGTAGTTTCGCCCTTTTTTCGTTGAGCGTGTCCATTTGTATCGCTAGTTCAGCTTCGGCTTCTGCGAGGCGTGCTTTTTTAGGCGCCACGATTTTTATCACCCTGTCGTATACCTCCATGGCTCTCACCCATTTGCACAAACCTTCGCAAGCGGTCGACACGGTTTTGACGCGTTCTGGATTAAATTCGCGATCCGGCATGTACCTGAACATATTTTACATTGTCATTCCTTTGAGATGTTGTCGCCTAATAGGTTACCGTTCTCTTATTTTTTTCATAACTGCCGGTGGTATGTTGTCCTTGTCGTAATTCTTCAGGTGTTCCAGAAATTTCATGTCGCCCAGAAGCTTCACCGATGGACCCCAGTAATCTTCAATCACCCTTCCCGTCGTTAGGTCTGGCCTACGCTCCGGCTTCACTTGGCGCATGACACAAATCTTTACGGGAAGTAAATTTATAACCGAACTGATAAAGTAGACTTACCGCTTCCATAACGAGTTTGACTCCAGACGGGGGATTCTTCATGGATTTGACCAGCGTGATGTCGCTCGGTTTTAACGTATCCAACGCTTGTATGGCCGCTTCCAAAGCCGGAATCGCCTCTGATAAATCCGATTCGCAGTCATCCTTAATCGCCTGGGCAGCGGCTGCTGCTTCGTTCGCTAAGGCTTCGTCGGCAGCTACAACCTGTCCAATTGTTCCATTAAGAATTCCAATAACAGAACATGTGCAAAATAATTTATTACCCAAACAATACATTTAAACTTGTCAATATGGGTTAGCGAGAAGGAAACAAACAACGTATATCATAGTTTCCGCACACACAAACAATCTAAAATTTAAAAAAAAAAACAAAAAAATCTTTAAGGTTATAAAAAAATTCTTCTAATAAAATATTTTTAATAATTTTTTAAATTCAATCCCGAAAAAGTTGGGGGTATTTTATTATACAATTTAATAACAATAAAGTTTTTAGTAGTTTTAGTATTTTCATTTTTTTAAACATTGGCTTAGAGTGATCCTTACTTTTTTTAAATTTCATAAATTCTATCTGTCTCTGAAGAGTTTCCCCACAACAATATATCACGTCAATGAAGTAACTAAATTAAAACGTTAGAGCCGTCTCAAAAATTGTGTTATATAAGTTTTCGAATCTGAAATTTAACTTTGTTTAATCTATAAGTACAGAGTATCCCATGTTGGACACTTTTACGGGGTGTCTCTTAGTATCTTTTGGAACCACCCCCGTATCTTCGTTGTCTTATAAGCTATTGAAAAGTGTAAAAACGTTCATATAGGATTTTTTCCGTAGAAACCAGTGGCGTAGTTTGTAGTGCTCTAACCATTTTTTAGTTATGAAGCAATCATATATTTTTTAAATCGAACACCCTATATATTATTTTTTACATTAATTAATCATTCAAGCTTTTCCAAAATGCATATCAGTATAGAGCTGTTTCGAAAATTAAGCTCAAAATTAATTTTTCATTTTTTACTTTATTTGTAGCAGTAGGGCATGGTAAACCAACTAAATCAACTAAAAATAAGATACATCTAAGCAGTTATTTTTACTTAATTTCGAAAGAACAGGAGAGATATTTTTGAAAAAATTAATATCTTATTCATGTGATAAATATTATGTTACTATAATGTTAAATAGATAGTTGGCTATGACTTATTTATTAAAAACAAAAAACAGACTGTCAGTTTTTAATTATATTTTTATTACCTATGCATTTCTTCTGGCAGTGTTTTTTTAATTTTAATTATTTTTGTATAATAATGGCAAAAGACGTCCAGAGAGTTTCGGAATTATATTACCTCAGGTAATTGTAAATGGATATAATCAGTATAATTTTTATACTGATGTGTTTTTTTTTTTATATTTTATATCTAGAGAGATGACAACCATTTTCAGATGTATTTGCTCGTCTGAAAATAAATCTAGGTAGGCACGGATCCTTTATTCAACAACGTAATAAAAATTATTTGAAGAAGAATAGGAAGCAAAGAGAAACAAAGCAACCAAAATTGACTGCCCAAAGAATTTAAAAATACAAATACTATTCAGTTTTGCCACTGGTATTTGCAATAAATACGAATCAACGATTCGTATAGTGCGACGAATGTTATTTTTCAAGTTCAAGAAATTTTTAATGGCCATATATGTAATGTATATAAAATTTCGTCATCATTATATTTTATTAGGGATAATAAATTGTTTCCCAACATTACCTCCTTCTGCTTTTCCACAATAACGGTGTCCTGTTCGATTTTAATCATAAGTTTTTCGGTCTTTTCCGACGCGACGATCAGTTTCGGTTGCAGGTCGTGCAATTCGTCCTGCATGACACCCACTTGGCCGGCAGCGAATCCCAGCTTTTCCAATCCCGTCTCGTATCGGTTGGTCAGCAATTTAATTTGCTCCACTTTCTTCGCGTGCAACGCGATAAACGTCTGAATGAGTTCAATGTATGACGTGGGCGTGATATAAGTCCGCCGTTTCTGTTCCCTGTAGAATCTGGACGACAGTTCTTGAACTGTCACGTGAAATTCTTTACACATCGTCACGCATTTGGCTATCATATCGCTCTGGATGTGGGCTCGGGACAAAAACATATCGCCGACCCTTTCTAGGGCATCGTCCGGCCAACTTTGGAACCAATCGATGGTGCAACAGTTGATTAGCGAAGGGAACATTCGACATCTTACACGGAACGAGTCTCCTATGGGCGACATGCAGAGTGCTACGTGCAAATTGCTACGCACACGTTCGATAAAGAAGTTGTACAATGCCAAAGGTGTCGGTTCGATTTTTTTGCCCTACAAATATCTACCATCAATAACGAAATTGTAGGATGAGGTGGCGCGCTTTACGGATTCTTTCGCCACAGACTGCATCTTTTCCAAAATTTCTGCCTTCTCATCTGCGGCGTATAGGTTGGCTACGTCGGCAGTATTTAAAACGGTACTAATGTCTTCGATGAACATTTCGTCGGCTACTTGAGTGTCGCCGAACAAAAATACTATAGGTTTGCCTTCGCAACCAGCTTTTAACAGAAGTTTTTTCAAGTCTTCCCGCCAGTCGGGTATGCCGTAGTTTCTCGACAATTCAATCTAGGAAAGTACAAAAAACACTTTAACTATTAATAAAATAAAACAATTCAAACGATTTACAGATACTGCTGAATATAGCGAATATATGGAGTTGACAGTTATAAATACTTAGGCACCAGAACAACGTTTATGAAAATGAAAAGACTATTTTGTTGTAGCGACCTCAGCTCGGATTTAAAAATGAGGCTGGTGAGATGCTATGTGTTCTCGGTGCTGTATTATATCGCAGACATATCGCAGAATGCTGATGGCGAAATGATAGATAGATAGAGTGACGAACAAGGAAATCATGAGAAGAATAAGAAAAGAGGAAAAAGCTATTATTACAATAAAAAAACAAACTGCAATACCTAGGATATGTCCTGAGGGGAGAGAAATACCATCTACCACAATTGATACTGCAAGGGAAACTTCATGAAAAAAGGAGTGTAAGAAGAAGACGCCACTCATGGATGAGAAATCTACGTGACTGGCTATTTCGGCCAGCGGTGTCGCGAAATAGTTGCCAACCTTTGCAACGAAGACGACGCTTGAAGAAGAATAATAAAATTAAATAATAATAAACGGAGCTTATTTAACTATCAATATGTAAAGTCGAACTATACTTCACTCACGATTAATACTAATAGCATACATCAGCCCCCAAAGTGAATGTTATAATATACCACGAGTTCCTAAAAATGATATACTTTTTTAAACTATTGGAGATATCACATACTCACAATGGAACTGTAGTAGACTAGAAATGTAGTTGTACAAAAAATTATCTTGCCTCGAAAACGACGTATTCGGCCATGGCGCTTGCCAATTTGGCCGCACTGTGCCTTCCAGATCCACCGATTCCAACCAGCAGCACGTTACCGTTAGGTTGATTGAGGACTCTGGAAATTCGCGATATATGCTCGATCGCGAACTGAAACATCACTAAATTCATCGGCGCTTTTGACATCACGTTGTATTCTTCCAGATAGTACTCCATTTTCTCGACCAAATCGTCCATGTCAGTAATCTGCAACAAAAATCTCAGTATGGTATATTGTATATGATATATACAATATACATAGATAGATATATAGATGTATAGAAAGTAACAAAACGGATATTTTTTTATACAAAATTTCCTATTATACAAGGGAAAACGGCTTCTATTGGACCTGCGTGTTAGTTTCAGTAAGAAATCGTATTTGTTTTTCAAATTATCATCCAGTTACAAATTGTTGACGATTGGTGTAAATATTTGAACTTTTTGAAAATATATTATAAAATAGCGATAGTGCAACGAACAAAGCTTATGTTATTTTAGTCAAAGAGCAAATGTATTTTTAGCTGAAACAGTTTACAGACATCACACTCTTTTCTACAAATAAAAAAAAAACATTTTGTTAGATCTTATCGTAGTATTAACCATTATCCTTTAATTTTCAATCAGATTTATATTTTCTATTTTACAATAAACCTTAATCAATATATTCTGATAAAGTGTTCGTCATAGAGCACTGCTTGATACTATCAATAAAAAAAGTGAATAAGACACACCAACATAGAAAGTGAAACATTTCCAGAAATTAATACAAGATGTAAAGCCAGAAATAGAAACAAGAAAAAGCGGAAAAACTCTAGGTACCTGTGGAAGTGCTGAAATTGATTTTGTTACAATACCCAAAAAGAAAAAGGCTAGGAAATGCGATGAATATCGTAGCTTGATGAGTAACACACTGAAAGTGTTCTTGTCGTTTATACACCTCAGAGTATTTCAGAAACTGGAAAATAATATCTCGGATGCCCAGTTCAGTTTTACAAACGGATAGAGTACTTGGGAAGTAGTACTTATTTGCTTTACATTAAGGCGTTTGATAGAGTGAGGCATAACCAACTAATAGAAGTGGTAAACCAGTGCTTGCGAGACACCAAGATCATTGTCAACCTTTATTTTGACCAAAAGCAACAGTACGAGCACAAGAAGCGCCGACTGCCTCTATAGATTCGGAAGGTGTCACAGGTATCAAAACGCAATTAATAACTTGTATGACCTACAAGAACTGTTGAACAAAATGTATGAAAGGAAAATAGAAGGATGCTCAGAATATGGTGGGTAGAGCACACTACCAATATGCGTATCAGAATTAACAAAGAGCCAGAGGTACTAAAGGAGGCGAAGAGAAGAAAGATCATCTATCTGGGGCACATAATATACTTCACTTGATAATTCAGGGGAAGATTGTGTGGGAGAAGAAGTAAATCTGTGAGGATGGATTAACATATCTTCTGCAGATTTTTTCAGAGAAGGAGTTTAAGAGGTTAGTATTGCTACGATGTTAGCAAATCTAACATACTTGAAGAAGAACAAAAATTAGCTTTTGTCTCGATCTTTTATTGTTCCTCTCTTGTGAATCAGTTTTAGAACACCCGGTAGACATTAGTATTTTCACCCAGTTGATGCTCAACAGAACAGGGTCTAATTATGTTTTTGTATGTCCTAATTTAAAATTCCCAAAATTATGCAAGGGGCCATTTTAAACAGTTAGCTCCATTGAAGTCTGTCGCTCCCCAATTCCAACATTTGCGGTACTTTCTTTACGGGTTGGGAACGATAGGATATTTTCGGTAGAAATGAACATTTTGACTTTTGTCCATTCTAATGGTTCTACATTCTACATTCATCAGGTCACTCAAAAAAAAAGTATAATATACAACATGTTTATTTCAATTCTTTTTAGACACTTTTGAACGCTTTTTGAACACTCGTTCATGACGAGAGTGTCTTTTTCAAAATTTGTTGTATAATATACTATTGTTTAAAAGTCACAAAAATACTTAATATTAACTATACTAATTAATGGCGTACTTCGTCATAAATTTTAGGTTCTGCATCAGGTAGAATATAGTTTCCGAAAAAGAGGTTTCGAATGTGTTGGGGCGCCAGAGTCTCGTCCTCTTGTACCAGTAGCGCACAGACTTTATCCATGTGCTGTCTAAAATGCTGATAGCACGCCTTTTTCACTATGTCGAACAACGTGTTTCTGTCCGCATCATCAATCAGCCTATCATAAAACACCCTGTATGTTTCATGAATCCACAGCCTTATGAATTTATCTTGTTCGTCCATTTTCGACGGCGGCGTAACCAATAAACCGTTAATTACTCTGGAAAAATCTCGCAACGAAAATGTGTAGTGAGATTTCGCGGGGGTCGGTAGAAACTTGATGGTAGCTTCCTTGAACACTTCGTTCGTCGCACCTACAGAAAACTGTAACAAAGATCGAATTGACATAACTACAGAATCTGCTGCAAAATTATTACTTTTGCCATTCTATGAACAATTTCCACGTATGATTTCGTGAAGTGCGACTCTATAATCGTGGAGAAAATCTTCGTTAAAGTAGCATCGTCAAACGAATCTATGCCTATTAATTGGGTGTGCCTTAGAAATCTATCAGATATTTCGTTTCTGCCGCCACCCGGTACTCCCATGGCACCAACGAATAGCTAAAATATATGTAAGCTAACATTTACTAATTGATATTTCGAGTAGTACATATTCCAAAAAATACCTTATAGACTATTTTCCGTCGAATACATTGGCAGATATTTACCATTTTTAAATTATACCTGAATCATGTAAAATTTGTCTTCTGTTAACGGTTTCAAAGATAATACAGTAGGCGCTTTATTTTAGAAATTTTAGCAATTTTTTATATTTAGAAATTTCTATAATTAAATTATGATTTTAATTTTACAAAATTAGAACTGATTCGTTGATTTCTGAAAAAGTGGTATAACTTACATGTATTTGAATAAGTTAAAAACAGACAAATTTTATGCTTCGCAAATTAAAAAAAAACACTCTGTCAAAATCCGAAGCTTGGTTTAAAACTTAAAAAATAGGCTACAAATATTCGACGCCACTGCATTCTACGGGCAAAAATCTTTAAGAATGTTTTGTTTTTTATCTTATCAACACTTTGTAATTGCATTATTTAAATATTAATGGCAAGCCAAGTCCGTACCTGAATCATTTATTTCCTGTACATTAAAATTTTATGATTTATTATATATTAAAGGCATCAAAAAATATCGGGAAATTTCTCAAACCATTTTACCTACCACATCAACCAATTGGAGTGTAGACGTATCCTTGGCGAACCAGTGACCGTGATCTAACCATTGTCTTAACAGCTCGACCGGCGGTTGGGCGCCCCATACTTCTTTTTGAGGCATTCCAACGTCGTCGACGAACAAGATACACTTTTTTCCCATAGACGGTCCGTACACCCCTCTTCTGCGCTTATCGAGTTTGGCCATTATCATTTCCTGAGTCTGAATCAACCCGAAATCAAAATGAAAAGCAACGCATATTTGAGATACTTTTTGTTCAAACACATTTTTTATATAATACCTTTTTTCACTAAATCAAACAACAAATACAGGGTGCGACAAAAAGTTAGGCAGGATTTCAAATAGTGGTTGTTCGGTATGTAAAACCGCCAACACTGTGTACGCACTCGCGTTAGGCAGACAAAAGTATGCAATTGAGTGCATCGTGCTTTCGTTGTCGAGGAGTTTATTAGAAATGGGGAATCTGTAATAGCGACGCAGCGCGCCTTTCGTATTCAGTTTGATGTTGGTCGGCATGGCGCGGTTCCGGATGGAAGAACAATTCGTCGGTGGGTTTTACACTTCAGGGAAACAGGTTCTGCGCTTAACCGAAAATCAACTGGCCGAAGAAGAACAGTAAGAACACCGGAAATGTGAATGCAGTAAGAGTTCCCGTACAACAGTCTCCAAGGCGTTCAGTTCGGAAGCATGCAGCTGCTTTGGGAATTCCCGATAGAAGTGTTCGAAGAATTTTACACAACTCACTCCAAACGCATCCGTACAAAATGATCGTAGTGCAGGAATTAAGCGCAAGAGATTTTGAAACCCGTACAAATTTATGCCGGGATATTCTTCAAAACTTTTCCAGAGACGCTGTATTCATGTCTAGCGATGAAGCTCACTTTCAACTCTCGGGTACCGTTAATAAGCAAAATTTCTGTTATTGGTCATCAAATCGTCCACGGGAACTTCATGAGCGACCTCTTCACAGTCCAAAAGTCACCGTCTGGTGTGCAATCTCGGAGTTCGGCGTGTGGGGGTCCTTACTTTTTCGAAGAAGATGGAATAACGGTAACAGTCAACGGAGGTCGATATTTTGATGTGTTTAACAATTTCCTGAGTTCAAAAGAGAACCGGTTGAACAACGAACCAACAGGATGGTGCTACATCGGTCACAACACGTCGTTCACTAAATCTTCTTCAAGAAATGTTCCTAAACAAAGTGGTGTCTTTACGGGGTGATCTTGGCCGGTCGCCACGTTCGCCTGATTTGTCGCCTTGCGACTTTTTTGTTTGGGGGTACCTGAAAGTGAGAGTTTTCACACATCGTCCGCGGACTTTGGAAGAATTAATGGCAGCCATAAGACAAGAAATTGCCTCAATTCCCCAAGAAATGATCCATCGGGTAATGACGCGCTTCCGCGAGAACCTACAAGAGTGAATCGACAATAATGGCCGTCATTTAAAAGACATCATTTTTAAAAAATAATGGCATAAAATGTACATTTCAAAAATAATTAAAAAAAAAAGTTTTATTTTATGTAGTTTGGTTTTTATTAACATCCCAAATAGTACCTATCATTTTTCCGCGCCCTGTATTCTACACATGTTTCAAGTTAAAGCAGTCTACGAACGACGCAGGAAAAATTATGCGGAAGCTTTTACCATCATCGATGTAGTTCGAGCGCTAAAATTGATGACATTTGGCAACGTTTTCTCTTTGGGTAGACTCAGCAAATGATCTATAGTCACCACAGTCTTCCCAGTTCCCGTGGGTCCCACGAAAAGTATCGGGAGACTGTTGGTCAAACACAGTTTTAAAAAGTAACGCTGGCAACACGAGGCGTTGGTTTGGATAATAAGATCACTAGCCTGCAAGAATTTCCAATACAATCAATAGAATGGTAGAAATCTGTACATACTTTGATGTTTGGCGGTATCTGTTGAACCTTGTCGACCGTGTCGCCCCACGTTATCCAAGTGCCGTTATTCTTTTTGTCGTAAACCCATTCGAAAATCTCGTGCCTGTCTGGAAATATCTGATTCTTTACCAGTTTAAAAGACTTTGGTTTGGGGTGACTTTTGTTGTCGCCCAACAATAGCTTTCTGTAAAATATATCAAACGACTTCCTGCTCTGATGGGTCAAAGTGGAACCCACACCCCATGCAATACAAAACAGGAGCACGCACTGCATCCATATCGTACTGACTTGACTTTCCTCGACGAGGAGACACGTGAATAAACGGGTGAAAGACTGAAAAATGGCTTGTATATTTTACAAACTTGACGGCATATCAAATTCCTACAAAAAACATATGAATGTCCGACGTTTCGACGAATTTCCTGCACTTATTAGTGATAAAGTCCAGGCACGGCGGTACTAGCCATTCGATACATTCGGTGAGTATTTCTATTTGTTCAGCCAGTAGAACGTTTTCGAGGCTTGCCAAATATGAATCCATTAAAGGTTTCCAGCCGAGCAGAGCCGGCTCCATGTAAATCATGCCGCACCTTGAAACAGTGGCAGGAGACGCGTGATCTAAATCCGCAGGCTCGTAAATCAAATTCATTTGGTTCGACATCTAGAATAACATTATTTATCATCACTCCATTCCTACAAAAAACTTGTTGTCGATTGCAGGCTATGTGACTTTCTAGAGGGTTTTGGGTTTTTCCCGTTAAAAAGGTGACCCCGCCCTACTGCAATAAGCAGTAGATTGAGGTAGGTTTTTCTTAAATATAATGATTTTCATGTTCAGTAGAATGGTGAGGTGTGAGTTCAGTAACGAAGATGATGTCAGTTAGCATTGTCAGCAATAATTGTCACTGGTATTTTACCATGTACGATGTATTTTTATGTTTTTGTTTACCCAAGAATGGATTCTTTATTTCATGTGAGATGTTACTTAGTGAGTTCGCCACAGAAAGCCACTCTTTATAATTATGCGCTGGCTAAGTAATTTTTCACTATTATGATAAATTTCGCTGGGAATTCCCAAGACCTAGAAATTTTGTTTTTAAAGAAGGCCAGACAAGCCACACTTATCCTGCCATACAGAGTCACATTCCATTAAACAACCTGCGTGAAGGTTAAACATTAAAGAAGCATTCAGATGTTGCGTGTTTTCACTTGTCCAGGCTCTAGTATTTGAAATTAACCCAAGCATCTGTGTTGACACTTTGCGGCTTTTGAGATATTTTGCCTTAGCCTTATGATCAGAATGTTGTGGATGTAGACAACAAGATGGTCCAAAGTAGATGAAGTAAAGATTGTAGAATACTTAATAATGGAAATAACGGAAACTATAAGAACAATAAGAAGTGTAAACATGCAAGCGTATTTACTTATATCTACATCATTTTTTATGGGACGGGGTTTAACCTATTTGAATTTATGAGAAAGCTGAAAGGTTATATAGTTGTGCGCTTTTATAAAACCGAAAATTTTTTTAAACTGTAGTATGTACCGATGTGAATTTGGTAGTTTACAGTTTTCAGTGATATTTGCAGAAACAGCCGAATGAATGTTTGGAAAGTCATATTATATGCGGTAGATATTATATATATAATGTTCAAATGTGCGAATTTACACATTTTTTTATTAACAAAAGTGTGTGCGTAGAGGACACCTTTCGTTTCCAGCAAAAGTTTTTGTATGTTTTGTTTCATAGTTTCGCCGTAAAGCAGCAACCCTCCTCCTCCGTTAGTGAACTGAGAATTTTGCTAAATATGAAAATTGTCTTTTTATTAAGAAAGAAAAGTGTTTAAAAAATGAGTTTAAGGTAGGCAAAATTTGTTTTGGTAAGTTTAATTAGAGTGCGAGTCAATATTTTTTTTAAATCGAAAGTTACCCTTACCCTAGACACACGTTTTTTTAATAAAAAAATGTGTGAAAAATTCGATTAAGGTAGAAAAAAAAGTTTTCTGTTATTTAATTTCGCCCTATAGCTTGTCTCTTCCGCGAGTGTAAGGGAATGAATATTTTTCATCAGGAAAATTGTTTAAGTTAATAAGATAGAAAAAGAACGATCTCTTTTAAAATTTCATCACGCAGGAATATCAGAATTATTCAATCTCCATATTCAAATATAATTATCTAGTCTGAATCAATATTTTCTTAAATAAATTTGAATTATCTCATTTTCTGATTGTTTCATAATTGTATACGAACGCATTGACGCAACGGAGAAGCAGAGGCGAGCGGTTTTCCTTTCACAAGCACATAAGAATTTTGTTTATTGTGGTCGCATCTTTTATCAATGACTTCTCCCAACTCGTTAGCATTCGGTAACTGACAACTGTCATTGATCGATACGAACTTGAATTATCTCTCCAGACATAAGACAGAGCTTTTTGTTGTCGTCAAGCGCTGTGTTCATATTTTCGATCCAGACCGCATCCACGGGACCGTCGAATAGGATCCATTTCCTTTCAGGCGTGGGGCTATTCGCGAATTCCCTAAAGGTCGTAGCCAGGACTCCGTCCGTCCACTCGTGTGATGCCGGATCGAATTGTCCGTAAAGCTGTCCGATCGTTATTGCTTTCGGATTGATTATTCTGTATATAACGCTATGTTCAATCATCTTTGCGTCTTGCTTGCCGGACAGCACACCAAGACCGTCTGCCAAACTCTGCGAGAGGATTGATATTGGCACACCGTTCTAAACGATACGCTATTGTCATTACTTGGTACGCGCAAGTCTTGCCTCCCATTGGTTTGCCGACAATCATCATTCCGTGCCGCACCAGTATCATTTCGTAGATCTGCATGCACTTTCCTACGAACCAAGGTGTGGGCTGCAAATTCTTTTTCTTTATAATTTCTACCAGGCATTCGATGAGTTCGGATCTTTCAAAGGCCGGATCTTCCGTGCCGGGGAACAGATCCTGGTAAATGCCGATGAATAAGGGCACGTCCTAAAATAACAAGGCCATGACCAGCGGTCCTAAACTTCAAAGAACGCACCCACCTGCGCCAAAAATTTCGGCAAATTCACATCGATGATAGCGCGCAACACCAGCTGTTCCTCTGGTGTGTCCGGGTGGGACCTGCGCAATGCCCCGGCAGCTAGAAGAACTGACTTAACCGCCCTCATGCCGTAATCGTAATGGTTTTGAGACGACAGTTGTTCCGAGCAAAGCTTGTAAGTGTGTACTATCTTCTCGGCCAAACTAAAAGACTTTGAGTTAATAACTTCAGTTTGTCGATCTAAAGGTTTCACCTTTGTGCATGTACGAATCCGTACGAATATAAAGATATTGCCCCGATCATTGCGTAGTCGGGTACCATCATTGCGACCGTTCTGAATAACACCTTTAAATTGTCTGGTAGTTCTTGCCTTCCAGCATAGCTTAAATTTAAAAAAATCTTTATTGCATGATAAATAATACTATTACAAGGAAAATATTACTTGGAAAGGTAGGCGCTAACCGCATTTAAATTAAACACGTCTCAATAGCATAACTTTAAAAGTCTTTGCAAACAGATACAAAAAATGGTGCATAAATTATACATATCACTAGATACTAGTCAATGATCAATCGGACACAAAACTTTTCAGACGATTGTCGATATTTCTAGACTATAATTTTTATAAGAACGAGTTCTAAATTAGGGCAGAGGGATATCAAAAATAATATTTAAAAAACTCTGTTTGGTGCTGTGATGTCGATATGGCATTATTCAAACGAAGTTCACCTGGTGTAGATCACTTCTTTGAAAATTTGGTTCTGCCTAGTAACTGGATTTTTTTTATTTTAAAATTTTTTGAAATTGACACTCCATAAGAACACAAAAATTTTCATAATACGATGACTTACATGCGAACTACATTCTTCTTTACATATCCAACCCTAGCATTCTGCAACTTTTGCATACAATATTTATTGAAATTTGTTAGAGAAGGACCATTCGCAATATAAATATAAGCAGATATAGACAATTTTTTGACATTAGTTGGAAAAGTATTTTGATATTTGATACATTTTTAAACGAGGACATGGTACATCGTCAATTGTTTAAAATAAAATAACCATTATTGTGTCTATGTTGACCAAAATCATCCTGCAATTAAACCAAAACACAAGTTATTTCTTTCAAAATAAAATTATTTTTTCTGAAAATATCAAAATTAAAAATACATATTCTGCAAATGCCTTTAGGCTTTTTCCATATACTTATTAGATAATATGAATTGTAAAAATCGATGTACTTCAGTCGGCAATGATATTTTCTTAGAAAAGGGAATGATTTTCCGCCTAACACAACACAATACACTTTACGCCATTTTGTTTCTAAACGCGGACTACACACGCGTCAAGATCTTATTGGTCTATTGGTTGGTTTGAAAACACAGGTCATCGGTTCTTCAAAAGTGTACCAGCATAGGAGGGGCCGTTGTTGATAATATTTATTATAACACTTGTTGACATATATGAATGTTTTATTAGTCCATTTTAAATGTGCAAAGAAGTTATTAAATTTTAAGCAGGAAGTTTTATTTAAAGAATTTAAATGTTTCCAACTATTATGTTCATACACGAAAGGTTATTCTTTACAATTTGGAATGCACCTACATATCGTTAGTACTGGTAGATAAATATATAAATTTTTAAATAGAAAAGTTCATATTTTTTTCTTATTTAAATATCAAAATTTAATTAATAATTGAATTTAATTTAAAAATTGTCTACATACCTCCATCAAAAGCCTCCTTTTCTAATTTTAAAATTAATTAAAATTAAAATTTTAATCTTTTAAAAACGGCTTAATAAAATACAAAGCAAAATTTAAAAAATCCAAATTTTAAATGTCGAAAGCTTAAAATCTGTTACATAGAGCAATTCGAGTTTTCAAGTAAAAACCATTAATTTTGTTTCTTACCCGGGATTCATGGTAATGAACACGGTACAGGTTGGGTCAAGGGTGATTTCAGTGCCCTCGAAAACAAATTTCTTCAATTTAGCGGCTACCGCCATTTGGATGCTTAATATCTGTTGAGCCACTACAGAAAGGACTTCCAGTTCAATCCTGTTGAACTCGTCGAAACAAGACCACGCTCCTGCCTGTGCCAAACCCTACGAAATCTCTACAGCTCGACCCTTGCTACAAAACCTATAAATATCTCTCTCACTTTAAAAAACTTCCCCAACGCTTTATAATCTAGTCCTTCGGAGCAATTGAACACCACGCACTTCTTAGCTACCGCTTTTGCCAAATCTTTACAAGTTTCGGTTTTTCCTGTACCCGCAGGGCCTTCGGGGGCACCTCCTAAGTTTAATTTGAGAGCCCCCATTAGGGTCCTACAAAAACCGCCCTTCAGATCGTCTGTCATGTTAGCGCCGTTTAGCATTTACCTGTAGCATCGGTCAGTTAAAGGCGTCATCACCAATCTACCAGTGTTGCCTAAATATTCAAATCCGTACATGACGTCGGTCGTCACCATACTGACCGTAACAAGGCTATTTTTCCAGTAATACCTCAGTTGGGAGATCCAGTTAAAATCGGCAACAGATGTTACATTCAATTGCTTTAATTTAGTAACGGTGTCCCTACCTGACAATCAAAAAATAATGTTACGACGCAGAAATAAGACCGAAATTCACTTACAATGAACATCAATGACGATTAAAGCCTCCACTGTGACCTGATTATTAGGTTTAAGAGTGCCCTGTACCATCTTAACGCTTTGTTCGATTTGTTCCGTGCAGAGTTCCTCCTGCTCAGCCAGATTGCCGCTCGAAATGGCGCTTGTAACTTCACTGGTCCATTCAATACAGTCCACGCATTGGACTATCTGTCCGGGCCATTTTAATATCCAAGTTGGGCGCTCAACAGTAGGGTAATGGTCCAAAGCTTTCTTCATTACATCTTTCAAGGACTGAACCATCACGCTTTCCACTTGTACCAGCCATTTTTCAACCATACCCTTTAATATTTTCATAATTTTTGGTAATTAAAAATAATCAAGACTTGAGTGGCTATATAGACAAGACAAGACACATAGTACCTTTGCGTCTGCGGGTACGATCTTACTGCTGAGAGCGACTTTCTCTTTTTCCGCGCTCACCATGCCGATCACCTCTTCTTCTTTGGTGAAATCGAGGGAATAGATGCCCTCGAAACATTTTTTCAGATGCGGTTGCACGCGCAGGGGATCCTTAGTTTCAGACAGAATTTCTAATAGCTCGTCGTTGGATAGAAAGAAAAACCTGAAACGTCAACGCAAGATGACGGTATCCGCGCTACCAGCAAACTCAAACGTAAGGTTCACCTCGGAAAGAAGAGTCTCTTTTTCTCTAAGTAATCGTTCAAGCCCTTTTGTATTTCGTCCAAGAGTCTATTATTTTCTTTTAACAGGTTCAACATATTCTTGTATTCAGTCGCGACGAGAACGCGGGTATTTTTCATGGTATTCGCTTGAATCGACCTCCACACTCTATCCACCGATTTGAAGTGCCTCGCTTCGGTCGGCATTTGTCTCATAATATCTTCGGAACTGAAAATGGGCTCCAAATACATCCAGGTGGATTGGCACTATAAGAATGAAGCGAATGATAAGTTGTTAAGCGCCTCAGCTGCTTCAAATTAGCTCACGAGCAGCCATTGCTCCAAAATATCTTGCATTGACAAGAGCTTCTCTTCCCAGGCTTGCATTTCAGCTTCGAAAGCTTTTACGTACGGCGATCCCCTCATAGTTTGAGCTTTTAAAATATGGTCGTCCATCATCACTTGTATATCATCCACGGCGGACAAGACATAAACTCCGGTTTCTCTGAAATGACCACATCATTTAAATTTTGAGAAATACCGAAGGAATAGTTGTACAGCAAATATCGCAATCGTGTTCATTACCCTTCTCAATCTAACACTTAGCTCCAGGTAATAATTATAACATCTTATCTTTCAGAACCTGTAAAAAATGTAAAAAAGCTTTATGATAGAAGTTTGATGGTTTCGCTTATACTTTTAAAACATTGATGTAATGATATATATAATTATAATTTAATATGTACCCAAACTACAACTTTCTTATTTTAAATAGAACTTCATATGGCATTCTAGAATTTGCTAGATATATTTCATATATCCATTTTTTGAACTAAAAAAGATGCATGGCACTGAAGTTCTCAAAATTAAATTAATCGTAGGTTTTAAATAAAGTTTTTTGTTACAGTTTAATTGATTTTTCGGTTATTCTAAGTCGATTGCTGATAAATGGATATTCTTAATAGAATTTTTAAATAACTTGAATACTTTGCTCTCATCTTAAACCTAAAACGGAGAAGATCCTGATTTTCAATTTTTGTTTCTTGAAAACTTGTAACAAAAGATGGGAAGTACTAATTATAAAATTTGTTTAGTTTTTTATAAGGAATCTAATATTGGCCCAAATACAAGGTGTTCAATGTTAAGTTTCAATGTTGGTAGGAGTAGTTCAGAATTGGGACCTTATAGACAAAACAAGTGTACTTCGGAGAAACTCGTTTTTGAACCTTTCAACTTTTTGTTTTTAGAAAGGAAATATCTACTATAATCGAACTTCTATTTTGAATTTAACATCAATAGTGAATTTGGTTGACTTTCTTGAGTCCACCAATAATTTTTTTAGTTAACTTGCTGATGTGTCGCGAATACTGACTAAGAAGATGAAAGCCAAACGTCTCAGAAAAAATAAGAATTGGCCTCTACAAAAATGGCACTTACAGTTTACTATCATTTTTTTATAAATTTTATAAATTGTTTTCACACAAAATGTACTTAAATTTATTTAATTTCTAAGAATGGAAGTAATTTCAAAATATCCAGATAGAAAAAACCGACAAGACACCTTTGTTAAACGAATAATACAAATTGCTATTTTCTATAGGCACGAGATCTTTTTTTACTGAAATAAGAAGAACAATAACAACTGAGTGAGTTCGGTTGCATAAAATTCTCGAACATTGATTCTCAACGCATAGGAAGTTAAAATAGTGACTTTTCTCTAGTAGTCGATTGTAAGCAACAAAATAAAATTTGATACGCAGGATTTTTATTTTTTCTACTCCCGTCTGTAAAATACCTAAGCATCACTTTACCATGTCAGTTTCGTTTTTCACGGATCCGAGCCAATTCGGACATTTCCGGGATATTACCGCACGGGAAATGCTAAAAGGATGTCGAACTTATTTTTAACTTACACAACGTTTCGGACAGTTGTATCACTACCCGAAAAAGTACCTAAAAACTAACGGTCGTAGAAAAAGTGTAGTATGCAAGCAACACGTTCGGTAATAGTATATTATGCAACAAGTGCAGTAAACTGCACGAGTTTAATTAACACGAGCGGAGCGAGTATTTAATAAACGAGTGACATAAAAAGTTAATTACCATACTCGTTTATTACAAGCTCGCTCCGCTCGTGTTAAATAAACTCGTGAGTCGAATGCCGTTTACAGCACTTGTTGCATAGTATACTATTTAGATTCTATTAAGAATTTCATTCCAGATGTATAATACGGGTTTTCAGTCCGAGAACTCGAGATATATTTAGACCTGCAGAACTTAGGAATAGGATATTTTATGTATAGCTTGTAAGTTAGTTGGACACGAATATACAAACATCCTGTATATCTAACGATATAATATTTTTAATGTATAAGTAAATTCGAAAAACTTTTGTGTTTAACTTTTTTTGATATTTTTGCAGATTCTGAGAAACGTGTTGTCATCCCATAATAAATGTTTCAGTAGGGAGTTTACACATTTTTAAAATGCAAAATACGTAGGAGCCCTAACAACTAAATATTCTGACGATGTAAAAAATAATAAAAAAGGCATTTTTATATCTACTTAAAATTTTTATTTGCTTTGTCGATTGAATAATCAATTTACGCACAGACTCATAAATTATTTTTTTATTTCGCATGAATTACGTAGCAAAATAACGGAAACATACCAAATTTGCTGACAAATAAATATTCGGACGCGAATGTTTATTGACCAAGAAATCAATGCTACCCATGCATTGATGGTAAATTGTAGTGTGCTTAGATAAATGAGATGTCAGTTCGGGTTGTATCTTTCAAGTTTGTATAATAGTTGATAAGAAAATGACGCGTGGTGTTGCAACAAACAAAAAAGAAAAAAAGTGCGAGGAATTATCATATCTCAGTACTGCAGAGGTAAATCAATGCAAAAAATTTCAAATGACTTGAGTATTGCAAAATCAACAACATATTATAAAAAAGTATGGAGAGGCAGCTAGTGTTAGCGTTCGTGGTGAAAGTTCAGGTCGACCCGGTAAAATCACTAAAAGAGATGGTCGTATTCTGGTCAAGATTTGTAAAACTAGCAGACGAAGCGTCTTACGACAAACTCAAGCCCAATGGAATCACGAGGCAAACTTAAATGTCTGCTTGGACGCATAAGTCTGGTTTGAGTTTTGGTTAGTTTAGGTTAGTTAGTTACTTTTGTTAAAGGCAAAGGAAAACCATTATTGACGTCTATTCAGAAGAAAAAACGTTTGGATTGGGCAAAATCTAAAATATCCTGGACAACGGAAACGTGGAGTAACGTTATCTTCAGCGACGAATCAAAATTTGATGTGTGCGTAGGCGATTTTCGAAAAAGGGTGACTCGCACAAAATCACAAAGGTTGTCTAAAGCGCGATAAAATTTCCCCATGATATGGGGAAATACTGTAAATGCAGAAAAATACCAAAAAATTTTATCAAGAAGTTTGATTCCATCAATAGAAAATGAAAATTTTATATTTCAACAAGTCCTGCCATACTGCGAAAACAACAAAAAAGTGGTTTGGGAACCATAATATGAAAGTTTTATTGTGGCCATCAATACTTGAATATTATTGAAACTTTATGGCATCGGATGAAAGAAACTTTGCGTAACAATCCTCGGCGTAAAGGCAAAGCAAAAATCACCGAAATTTGAAACACTTTCACCCCTGAATATTGCAAGACTTTGGTAGATTCCATGCCAAAACGCATAAAAGCTGTTATTGCCGCGAAAGGTGATGTTGCTTCTTATTAATGTTCGATTTATTTGTCAGCAAATTCGGTATGTTTTTGATATTTTGTTATGTAATTTATGTGAAATAAAAAACTAATTCATTACGATAGCACTTTTTGGTTTTAAAATAAGCGCGAGATTTCATCAATTTAAAATAAGTATAAATATGTTTTCTTATTATTTCGTACATCGTCCGAACAATTAGTTGTTACGGCTCGTATTTAAGAGATTAATGCATTCATATTTGTTGCAATGGCGAGATTTTGTCGTGTTTTGATATCGGTTAGCGGGTTTTAGACATCGATTTTCTGTTCTCCTTTGAATAATATATCATTGAAAAGCTACCTATATGGCACACATTCAAAGCGAATGTCACGCCATTCCTCTTTCATTTTAGCGAGGTTTTTCTCCAATGTATATTCTTTAGTGGCAGCCGCACCTACTTCTTCTAGTTGCTGAGAGTACTTCGGCAAGCCGGCTTCTATCATTTCGTGTAGGGTCGAGTCCAAGGTGATTTTTAGCTGAACCCCCACAATTTCGCTAATCTACAATAAATTACCCTGCTTATATTGGGATTCGTGAACCGACATTTACTCTACTTTGTCCCAGTGACGCTTTTGAAGACCCTTGTTGCAGATGGTCTGCAAAACCGGCAGAAACTGTCTGAACTTCTCCACCTTTCCTCTAACGATCTCAGCGATCCTTTTCGCTCCCGGATTGTCGCTAAGTGTTTTCGCCAATTTGTACAAAACCCGCCACATGTTTTCTATGTATTCAGTAATTTCATCGGCATCGAGTTCGGCAAAAGGTCCATAATACCTTAAATGTATGTTTAAGCTCGACATAATGTATGGGACATGTCGCGATGCTTTACCATAGGTCGTATTTTTGGTGAAAATCTAATACCGAATGCCACAGCTTATCAAATGGATCTGCGGTGGTGAGCATCTTGTATAGGTTCATAAAAGGTGACGGATCTATGTCTAGCAGTTGTTCCTCCTCGTTTATGTTATCAGCTTCGATTTTATCTTCCTGTAACAACGCTTTGCCAATCACTTAAAATATTTTCAAAAAAATATTGATTTCTAGTGTGCAATAAAAAACTATCCTATAATAAAAACAATAATAATAATAAAATAAACAGCATATAGTACAAATAATACAGGTGGAGAAGCCTAACAGCGCTACTTCACCTAACCACAATTTCAATATAATATTATGATATATCAGCAATTAAAAAGAAATATTATAATGAAGGAGAAAAAGGAAACACTTCAGCGTCCCCCAATCTCACCAATTTCTAACTTTTTTGCTCTTTGGTACAAATGCTCTTTGGTACAAATATTCAGGCTGCAAAGTATACAAACGCACAAAATACCTTTGACACAAACTGAGCAACTTGGGGTTCTGCAAAGCTCTCGTTATATTATCAAATTTTCGTACCTCAGGCAGGAAATATGCAACTTCTGCAAATTGCATTTGTTTTTCCATTTTAAACCCGATAATAAAAGAACGCGTGAATATCCCAACAATTAGAGTATAAGATCAATAAATAATATTTTTATCTTTATTCCTTTTCAGTTCATTGTAATGGACTTCATATAGGAACGAAACTTTTATCTCAGATTAGGATTAACCAAATCTAGCTTGTTTGAAGTTACAAGGTTCTTTGTTGGGTCCACTACTCTTTATTCGTTACATCTGCGATTATCCAGTAAACTTAACCATCAAGAGAACTAGAACTTCATTTGAGGATGATGCTGTTATAGTCACAGATAACACCACTATGATGACCTCCAACACTACATTGACACTCGACTATTCAACCTGGGAGGAAATACTCCACAATTGCTTCTTTACGGGTTTTCGCGTAGAAGAACAACAACGAAAGGAAGAAACAAGGAACAAAAAAAATCATAGACCTATAGTGGACCTAAGCTGGAATATGTTCAAAGTATCTAGAGTTCATACAATGAAGCATTGGAAAGGGTGCAGAGAGAAAAGTCAATTAACAACCACCATCGTTAAAAGACTTGCCCTGTAAAACTCAGTGCACGGTATTGGGCTAAAGGAGTTGCTGACCTTCTATAGGAGGGACGGCATTTTGGACGCCCTCTAGCGCGGTCTGCAGCACAACGGGCCCATCTGGTGGCATAAGTGCTTGGGCGCGCGCGGGAGGCGCCCCCTTAAATACCAATACCAAACCAGGGTTCAAAAATTAAACTTGTCCTCTAAAGGCGACTCGTGGAGATTTAATATTAGTGTAATATTAGTGGTCATTATAAATCCAATTTTGAGAGTTTTCTAAAAGCAATCAGCTCAGGGGTCATAACAGAAAGCTTTCTAAACTATTTGGAACGATTTTAGTGAGGGAACTATTTCACCAATCTCTATTAATGAGATTGAAAAAAAGATTTGATCAGCAAATTAACCTATATAAGCTAATTGCGTGACTGCAGCTAGTTGCTTGACTGCTTTTCAATTGATTTCAACAATAATAATAATTATGTAGAACGACTTAAGTTTACTGTACGCCTTTTGAAGTCGATATGATAAATGAGCATCAAAAAGGAGCTTGCCATCAATAAACACTAAAATTTGTCAACAAAACCAAGGCGAGTTCCAATTAAGGATAATTGACAATCAATAATGTTCGACAACCTCTTCTGTTTTATTACCAAGAACAACGTGCGTCTTGGATTGATTTAAAATTCAACGGTGTGCTTTGGTTATTTTAGAAATTACTTTGATCTCCTTATTTATTTTATGGCAAGACGGGGTTACACTTTCATGTTTACATGACAGGTATACTTGCATATCATCGGCGCATTGATGAGAATAACAGGTGTGCTTGGCTAATTCAGAAGTGTGTAAGAGGCAGCAGGTAACTATATACAGATTTACACCGTTAACACTGACTTTAAAATGAATTTTAGTTCTATGGAGACTTCCGAAATTTTATGTCAATATTTTATATATATTCCAAATTCCAAGCTAAAAGTGTTTGTAAATTCACACCTTCATTTTTAAAACTTAGCAGTGACCTTATTTTGATTTTTTATTTACTGAAATTGACATTGTTACCTGAAGCATGCCGACAATAGTCTCTATTTGGGAAACGCTCTCTTGCATTTCGTCCATCGTCAAGATCGGAGGATCCTTCTTTTTGAAGTTGTTCAGCATTTTTTCGTGTCGGGTCAACTTGGCATCGAAATTAGCCCTCCAATTTTTCAACGACGTTTCCGCTTGGTCTCTCTTTAGGTTCAATCTTTGATTGGCCAGATCGATCATCGCTTCCATATCCTTGGGCCATAAGAACACTCTGCAGTTTAAGTTAATGTCTTCGACTGAAAAAAGAAACAATGCTAGACAACGGTTTAATATTACTTCGCACAAACGGTACCCGAAAGGTGGGCGTGGTCCATCAAAAAACTGACGTATTCCGCGGTTTTTCGTATCTGTTCGCGCAAATTGTACATGGTGACATCTCTGCATTCGTTGACGTAATTTTGCAGCTCCACCAATTCCAGAACGGTGTCTGGAGTTGCGCTGACTTTTTGGGACATTTCGTCGAACGTTGCGCATATCCTGTCCGATTAAAAATATTTTTAATACTCATTTAAGCATAGAGTCAAGCGTTTTTCAGTACAACATAATATCCAAGAGTTCGGATATAATATTGCTACAAATTAATTTTATGTTGGATATATAATATTAATAGTAGAATATAACATATGAATTAATAATAATATAATTATGATTTATTATTATATCATTTTATGTATTAATAGCGTATCACCAGTTTGATAGACTCTGTTTTAATCATGAGCGTAACATACGAATAACTAAAGAAGTTTATCAATCTTTTGCACACTATACTTTTTCGATCATTGCCTTTGAAGGCGAAGTACACATGCAAAATACTATCAGTTTTCTAAATTTCCAGCGAAAACATTATACCAAAGTACAGGAAACGCTCGGATTGACTCACGACAAAGTTTAATGAAGAAGACATTATGAGGTGAATATTCTCGGAACGATCTACCTCTGCCTACTGATGAGTTTGAAATTTGAACGTCACTTTGAAAACGACCATAAACACAGATCTTTTGAAATCTATGTTCTCATATCTTATTTTCTATTTATTTTCTCTAATGCAATTCTTGCATAATTTTTGGGCTCTGTTAAATTGTTTAAAATTATTATTATAGTTCACCGAACGATATACCGTTTTTACAACCTTTTATGGGACTTGATGGAATGAGTTTAAGACCCGCCTGTTGTAAAGCGGAAGCTACTATTCTTTTCGGCACTTGTACAAGCCCGGGCCGTACTTAAGTCTGCGGACTGTTGTATTTTAAGAGTAGGGAAATTTTCTTCGATTAAAATGTTATATTAATTCATATTAGTGTGCATCTTCCTAAAACACTCCCTACTGGAAGTAGCTCGATTTCAAGTTGAATTTGCCCATTAGATAGGTGAATCACCTATATTGAAAATACATTAGATAGTTTAAACTGATTTCCAATTTAAGGATTTAACATAATGACTCTGAAATATTTACAATACAAAATCTTTTGTAGATAATTGATTTTTAATGAATATTTTCTCATTTTGCTATTGGTTGGTGAAATCGGAGTATGATATCAGTTTAATGAAACAGTATTTTACTTTTTACACAACTTCTGGATTCATCCTGCGTCGGTTTTTGCTGAGTCGAAATTGCTGACGATTGGCAAACAGGATGATTGGCGAAACATCAGCAATTTCGACTCAGCAAAAACCGACGCAGGATGAATCTAGAGTTGTGTAAAAAGTATTACAGTAGCCTGTGGAAGTTTCTTTGAAAAAATAAACAGTATTTTATTAGCCGTCTAAGCTTCGGAGTTATTTCCATTATTATAATTACCAATTACTGTTATTCGATTGTTTCTCAAGACTCAGTGTGCCATTTTTATTGAGGGGTTTTTCTTACTAAATACTAACATTATTCAATTTTGTTAGTCACTTGTGATGTCCAGCTTCGAAGAAGTTGAGACCCGTCAAATTCAAATGGACCAAAGACTCGGACACACCTGCCGATTGCTGCCAAAATTATAATTTTAAATGTGTTACTGTTTGTGAAATCGACATCTGGGAAAAGTGGAGCTATAAAATTAAAGTACTTGACATAAATGTAAATAGTGTCCAAGAAAAAAAAACGCGAAAAGATTGTGGGCTCCCAAAAACTCTACTTGACATGCGCCAATAGTGAGACGGTCGGTAAATGATGCGTATCAGAAGAACATCCTTTTAACAATTAAAACTTTATATGAACAGTTGCGTAGTGTTTTGAACATTAGATTTTTTTATTACAAAACCATCAATAAGAGACCAGTTTTGATGGAATCAAGAGGAATTTCATCATATATTTAGATGAGATCTGGTTTGATACCCAGGATACCGTCAAGAAAGAATGGATTGATGCTTCAAAATGATATGTATTTTGAAAATTCCTTCACAAAAAAGCAGTTATTGGAAGTTCTTAAGACGGGACATGGGAGGGGGATTCAAAGTTGTCCGTCTTCCACCATATCACTGCAATTTTAATCCGATAGAACTGAGATGGGGACAGCTAAAACCCAGATTAAGAAGGAACAACACCTCGCCGAAATTTAGCTCTGGGCAATAGAATTAATGAGAAGTGAATTAGAAAAATATCTGCTTCTATACTTTTACATTACATTAGCCAACGTTTCGCCAATCATCCTGTTGGTTTTTTCAGAGCTCGCATTTTACTCTGTACCTGCTTATATATTGTTTGAGGGAGGCGCTAATGAGGGGTATTAACACCCTCTCGGATGACTGATTCCCAAATTGGTGACAGGTAGAGACCTGAGTCGCGGTTAAGATTGTTAGGTTAGATAGACTCTCGGATGTTTCGTTGTCATCATTATCCGAGACGGTGTTTATACCCCTCATTTAGCTCCGCCCCCCTCAAACGATATAAAAGCAGGTACAGAATAAAATGCGGACCAGTTTCAGCCAAGCTCTGAAGAAGCCAACAGGATGATTGGCGAAACGTTAGCTAGTTCCAGTAATCAAAAACCGACGCAGGAGGAATAAAGAAGTCTTATAAAAAGTATTAGCCTGTGGGAGTTTCTTTGAAAAATTATCTGCTTCTAATTCGAAAAAATGTGTAGAACATGTTATCGAAGGAGAAAATCTTTGCAGAAGTCGGCTAGTGCCAGAATTAATTAATTAATTATTGTAGAATAACTTTTTTTGTTTTATAGCTAAATTTACTCCTTCATTTATAGTTATAATAAGCAGTGCAATTTTCACTGCATGGCTTAATAATAATCGAGGAATATCACTGATGAAACTCTACCCAAATCCATCAGCTTTCAGCATTTGTATGCATGAAGTACCAAAGTACGTTTCTAGAACGTCATTGTGGAATTGCGAATCTATCCAGTAAGGATTACAGAGAGAAAGCCAGGCGAGCTAGGCCTGCAGTTAGACCTTCATAAAAATTTACCAAAGTTAAATACCAGATTGTGTCTTAAAAACGTATATAGTTAGGCGAACTTTATAATAATATAATAAGATAATTCAGGCGTTTTATTTCAATGATTAAGTTAAAGTTTCTCAACCACATTTTAAATGCTCCTATGCCGATTTTCTTAAAATTTTATTGATCTTTCTGTTAATATTATTTGTCGCAAATTTAAGAATGAGTTTTTCATTTTGCACAGCATCGACAATAAAACTCTGGGACTTTATCGGTCATATTAGTCATTCATTAATTAACGTTCTTTTTCAATCACTAAAGTGGAAAACTGTCCATTTGAAATTTGTGTAATTTGGGCTTCAGAGTTACTGAAAATGTAAACCAAAGTGATTATTAGAGATAACCCGTAAACCCCTGAAAATTTAAACTGCTTGATTGTGCGTTGAGTACATACCTTTTGTTGTGGTAGTGATTTTCTTCTATAAAATAATTTACTATGTACATTCTTAACTCGTTAATTTTGTTGTAAAGTTCCTCATTTAGCTCGCTACAATCTAGGTTTAATAAATTTAGCGGAATTGACCGGCGCAAATCGACAATCTCTTTTTTGAGACTTTCGTATTTTCGTATTCTCCTAGAAAAGTCCTAAAAACGATTTTTTCAATAGGAAACGATTAAAGTGAATTAGTCACCTTTAAGTATGGAAACGGAGGCATAGCAAAAAAGTCCTGCAAATCCCGTTCAGCGGTTCCGTCCAAGATGTAAAAGTAATTTTCGTAAGTTACCAAGTACTTTGCCGGGCCGGTTGTGTTGCTGTCGAATGAATCGGAAACCTCTTTAAAAATGTCTCTAACCGGTATTTCGTGTTCCCACACTGCATGCAAGTAAGATTCTTGATGAGCGAGCTCTGCAATATTTAAATTTCAACGCAAATGTGAAATAAACAAATTATGAATGAAAGAATCGTATTCGAAACAGACTAGACAAATTTGTTAAATATCTAAAAACTGACAGCCAACATATAACCTGTTGGAATTACGAATGAATGGAAAATTTAAATTTGAGCTAAACAAATTGAAAATACTGAACCCTGATCTACTTTTGGAGGAGTATACTCTACAAAAAGTGCGCTTTACTGAGATGCATCTATGACTGTTGCAAATATCTTTTGCTCCTTTTATGGATGAGTGTAATTCAAACTCCTTTCCATGTTTTTGGAATTGGTTCCAAATCTAGAAATTTGGAAAGAAGGTGGATAACCATGACTTTTAGTTTAATAACCTTAACAATGTAATGATAAAAAAAGAAACTAAAAGGAACACGAAAAACCAATAAATTATCAACCTTTTTTCAATACGATATCCTGTCTGCCCTATCGTCCTGTTGTTCATTAATATTTAAATCACTAATTGAGTAACAGGGTGTGTAAACTTGTCTGTTTGTAGCACTACTATCTTTGAACAACTTCGATTCTTCAACTGCCTCAGTAGCCAAATAGCAAGTGACCAACCGTAATGCCTACCTATCCTATTTTAAGATCTTGAACGCATAAAAAGCTCCCAATGAATTTCATTTTAACTTGGAACCTATTTTTAAAAATACGATTCTACCTTTGCTTCAGTTGCACAGCCTCTAGCTACCCCTATCTACAGCAAGCCAATAGATGTGTGCTTGATCTTGTTAGAGTCTTTACTAAGTCCTCCAGGCTGCTTGCTAAATAACATTTTTCAGTGACATATGTCTCAGAAGAAAATTACCGAAAATAATGACTTATCAGAAAGTTTTTAGAATATGACATACCTTTAAACATCAAGTTCTGTATTTTTGGTATTTTTTCGTTGATCTTTAAAATTTTTCTCAAGCATCTAAACAGCATTTCTTTTACTTCCGTCAAATTCGGGACCAGTGTAAGTTGATTGTCAACTAATATACGATCGACTCTTATAACTAATATCGGCAGATCTATTAGAGCCAAATCGCGATATTCTTCTCCAAAATCATTGCCGTCCTTGAATAAAACGCACTTTTAGAGCGCAATTTCTTGTAGCACGAATGTTTCGTACCTTGAACTTGACCACGAGATCTTTGAATTGCATCAAGCTTCGAATCACCAACGTTCTTAAATGCGTGCTCAGAAGAATATTTACGCAGCTGAAAAAGTGTTCTACCATATCTACCGAACCGCTAATTTTAGTCGGGACGTATTGCCTCCAATGTTCTCGGCAATCCAAAAATATATCCGCACAAGCCGGTAACCACTCCTTGAGGAGTATTTGTCTCGATGTATTGCAGATCGTATCTACCCGTTCTTCAAATTCGGAGGGGCTTAAAGGGAACTGCTTGCCTTCGGTAAGGCGGTTCACGGGAAGAATAACCATATCAACGTATCTAAATTAATATATCGACAGGAGGTGAGTTAAACAATAGCTGTATTGTTCAAAAGGAGGCAATTAATTATGGTAATGGAAAATGGTATGCCAATACAAATTCTCAGTCCTCAAGACACTATATTTTCCCTTGTCAGAAAGGGCAAACACTTATTCAGGATGTTATAAATAGCATGGTGGTGCAGACTGCTACTTTTAGCTGAAAAATTTGCATTGTTAAGGTACAATCTGATTATTTTGTATGAAAAATTTCCAGTCATCCCTATTCTCCTGTTGTTATACAGGACGTTCTATTAATAATTCACAATAGAATCAGGAGACGAAAATGTTTAGATACAACTCACTAAGAAAATGTAACTATTCATTAAGTAACAGATAGTTTTAAAAAAATGTGTTTACTATTTCCCATCACTTACAGAAATATCTTGTGTTACTTGTTCCTACCATTGAACTTATACGTTTCTAGTACCATTTCATTTTTTACTACGCAAAATTGCAAGCTCCAGCTGTTGATTACTAACAACAAGTCCCAAGAATATCAACGAAAAAGTCAGACTTCAAACGATTACGGTGTGGTCGAACAGAATAAAAGTCTGCATCCATAAGGGCGCGGTGCTATCAATATTGATACACTCCCTCTAAATAAAAGCTGACATCACAAAAACATCCGATATGGTTAAGTTCTGCAAAATGAAAATATTAGCTGGAATCGTGAGTAAGACAAGGATGAACATAATTAGCACTGAAGATATCAGGGATGTGTGCAGGGACCAGAAAGTTCGTGGGACGAAAGGAAGAGAGCAGACTGGAGTGCGCACGTAATAAGACTGAATGAAGACCGATTGAATAGAAGTCGTTATCGACTAAGAAAAAACTGGGAGGATGCTCTGGATTCAACAGTTTCGAGATCTATTATTAATAATAATAAGAAGTATGGAAAATACTTAAGGATATGACTACACGCTCTATTTAGAGTGTAAGTGAACAAAACAAAAATTCTTTCTGCATTTTCGAAGTTCAACAACTCAACTGATATACTCAGAGACATACCCATCATTTTTACCCTATAATTTAGTAAATTTAATTAATAAGTGGAATTGATACACTAACCTTTGAAACCAGACTTCGGTAATTTTTCGAACAATTACGTTGCCCTGGTAATAGTGGCGTTCCAAATACTGCGTACTGATACTGTAGCGAGTATGCCACGGCACTGGCGCCCGTATTACCATGGCCGGAAAAAACTTTGGAAAACTTTCCAAACCAAGCCTCTTCCACTCGGCAGGATCGTGAAGAATATAGACCAGCACGCTAATTCTCATGTACATGCAGTAGAGTTTGAGTATTTCCGTTTCGTGGGCCGACAACATAGACTCGTAGCATTTCAAACGTTTATATTTTTCATCTAACAGTTTTCTAGATTTCGCGAGGAGTTGCTTATTATACGGAGGGACATCTTTGGGCGCTATTCCCTACAAAAATGAAAAACTACAGGCGAGTTGAAATCCTTTGATGGGTTCTCTGACATCTGTTATGTAATAAACGATCCTTTCGATGTCCGTTTCGTTCAGAGTTTTGCTCATTTCCGTTTGAACCTGCTTGAGGAGATAAGACTTTTGTACGTCCGGGTCCTGGGGTAGGATCGCCTCAAGCAACGCCAGCTTTCTGAAATAAAGACATAGAATCGGTTCTCGAGTGAGATTATCTTTGGGTTACCCCTTTTCGTTAGGAAACCCCTCCCATTTCATCAATTCCACCTTCTTTCGCATAGCCTTTTCCTTTTCTCTTCTCTCCCTCAACGCATTTCTGTCTTTGTGGTACTGACCGGATAGCAGATACTCCGCGTCAATTATACCAGGAACCTTTTTAATCCGTCGTTTCTCTTGGGTCAGTCGCGTTTCTATTTCTGTTTCTTTTCGGTTTTTTTTTGGCGGATAGCGCAATTTTCCTGAAAAGGAAAGTAACCACGTCGAGGACACTTAGTTTCCGCGCTAATACGGTTACCGTCGGCACCCAATGGTGAAACTTTGGTAATTTTTCGTTTCCTTGGCAAATCTCGAATTCGCAAGTGTTGGGCAGCTGGTGTAAACGCTGATCCTAAAATTTCCCGAACGTTTTATGCTAAATTGGGAAACCCGCCTTTCTATAGGAGATAGACAAAAACCAATACAAATATCACAAAACAGAGTGTAGGGTGGAAAATGTGCATTTCTAAAAAATCGCTGTAACTATTTGTTATGGAGAATATTGTGTGTCAATGAAAACATTGTTAAAGCAACTTTTTACTCAGAATTTAATGATTATAATTTTACGGTGAAATAATTGGATTTTTTTTTACCAACTTTTACTTCAAACAGCTGTTATTTGACGTCATTTTCTATATATAATTGTTTTCAAGTCATAAACAACAACATTTTGCAATTTTTTTGTCGGAATATGTAACTAATAAAGTGTTTTTGGGAGGAATCTTGCTCTATTATTTTAAGTTGATAGAAGTGCTGCGGAAAGTCATCGTATTTTGGTAGCCGAGCAAACGTGTAGAAAATGATCTACGAGTTTTAAAAGAAGACCGAGAACGACCTGGACAGCCCAAAAAATTAGAAGATGAATTAGAAAAATTGCTTTATAAAGATTCACGCCAAACTCTTCAAGAATTTTAACATTCGACAGTCAGAGAACGTCTAAAGGAGACGAAGAGTGCATCTATTACTACAATCTTAAACAAAGAAAGTCTTGCTCTTGCTATCTTGATCTAAGCTCCTGATATGCATTTGGTTGGATCAACTGGGAGCACATTATCGACTACAATTGATGCGCCTGAGCTGACCTGAATATGACAAAACGACATCACATTTTACTACATGACAATGTTAGTCCGCATGTCTCAAAACCAGCCCGTACTCTCCAGATGTTGCACCGAGCGATTACCATTTATTATTATGAAGAATGTGAAAAATGGGTGGATGCATGGATCGCATTTAAAGAACAACAGTTTTTCCAACGTGGGATCCGTCTCTTTCCGCAAAAGTAGGAAAACGTGGTGGAAAGCGGTGGACAATATTTTAACCAGTGTATGTTTTGATATTAATTTTTAATAAATATTTTTTTCAACTAAAGAAAAAGCTACGAATTAATTTCAAGTCCTAATACAATATTTTTAAAATTAGTAGTTCATTATTTACCAACCGAAAACATTTTTTATATGGAACATCCTGCATATTTTTAAATTATTGAAAAGTACTTGAAATTACCTTTTCAAAGATATGACAGTACTTAATATATAAGCTGCATTGGTAAGAGCGACCTTAATATCAGAAACAGGGTAATTTTGGTTAGTTGTGAAATAAATGGGATATTATAAGTTTTTTCTATAAAAGCGAAGAAGAAAGCAGCCAACAATTTGTTATTTGTAAACTAATTTCTATTTTACCTTTTGAGTGATAATATATATGGTTCGTATATTGTACTTCCCGTCTCGTAAACGTCCATTTGTTAATAGCAAATTATTGTATGTATCCCATATGGATTGTTAAGTGGAATCGAAGCTGAAATGCTCACCTATTGTTTCGGAAGGACTGAAATACTTTTGTGTGTCTTTCTCTGGAACCCCTTTTGTCCATGATTTGTGCGCAAATAACTCAGGATATTTGTTGTTCTGCTTAATCTTATCGTTGGTTAGAGAAGTCGAAGTTTCTTCGCCCGCAGGCAACCACGGTTTAGATGATAAAATTCGTGGGTCATAGTAGTTGATAACATTTTGCGACATTTTACTGTCTATATAAGCGAGGTGTCGTTTTAGTTATAGCTCGGTCCCCTAGGATACATTTGAAATTTGTTGGGTGTTGCTATGGCGACAGGTGCTTGATATACATGTATGATATTACAATTTTTATCATATTTATGAAAATCATTGCAAATAATATATATATATATATATATATATATATTATTTGCAATGATTTTCATAAATATGATAAAAATTGTAATATATATATATATATATATATATATATATATATATATATATATATATATATATATATATATATATATATATATATATATATATATATATATATATATATATATATATATATATATATATATATATATATATATATTGTATATATATATATATATATATATATATATATATATATATATATATATATATATATATATATATATATATATATATATATATATATATATATATATATATATATATATATATATATATATATATATATATGTATATATATATATATATATATATATATATATATATATATATATATATATATATATATATATATATATATATATATATATATATATATATATATATATATATATATATATATATATATATATAACCAGTCGGCATATAAAGATGCGACAAACCAGCCGAGCACCAGTTCAAGCCGAGTTCACGTTTCGGCAAGATCTCACTTGCCATTTTCAAGTCGGGTCGTTCTGCTTCTCGTCTGAACTCGGCTTGAACTGCTGGAAATGCTTCGTCCACTGGTATGTTGGTAAATAAGGAAACGACGTCGAAACTAACTAGAAGGTCTCCGGGTCTAACATCTACGTTTTGTATACGTTCGATGAAGTGGCTCGCGTTCTTGACATAAGATTCCGCTTCCTCTGAGTATGGTTGTAGTTGCTTCGCTAAAAACCTCGCTAATTGCTGTAACGGTGACCCTATTGAGCTGACTATTGGTCTTAGTGGTAGTCCTGGCTTATGGACTTTTGGCAAACCATAAGGTTTTGGACATCGTGATGATTTTTCTCTTGGGATGAGATGTATCTGTTGGTCCTTGCTGATTTTTGAAGAATTGATTTTGGCCTTCGTTGTTTTTTCCAAATATGTAGTTGGATCGGTGGATATTTGTTCGTAAGCTGGATCGTCTAATAGCGTACGGATTTTTTGGTCATATTCTTCTATATCCATGACTACTGTTGCGTTGCCTTTGTCTGGTGGTAGTACTATTATATTTTTGTTTTTCTGTAGTTCCCGTTAGTGCATTGGACTCTTCCTTTGACAGATTCAGCACAAACCAGTCGGCATATAAAGCAGTGAACCCGACTTGAAAATGGCAAGTGAGATCTTGCCGAAACGTTGTCAGCAGAGGACTACCTCCACTTGGAGCCAGCCAGACCAGACGCGGAGTAAAAAAATTGTTTATATTATTAGGAGGCCGCTGTGCCGTGACGCCTGGAGTTCGGGACTAGTTTATGATGCGTACCGACGAAAGGTTAAAAGTAGGTCAGGACGCTTGACCACCGGCATTAGGTATTAGACGGTTAAATGAAAAAGGCGTAAAAGACGTGGGTAACGCGGAAAGCCACGCCGCTTAGTCTAGAAAGACGGGCCATAGACAAATTATTACATTATTTACAAATATAGCAAGTGTCGACGAAGTCGTTGTACGAGGTGCAGTGTAAATAAGAGAAAATATACTTTTGTTTAATTTGCCACAACCTCGGACCGTATTTATTTCCTCATCCCCTTAGATTAATGATAAACAAACCTGCATATATATCAATTACCTTCCTGAAGCTCTTTTGAATAGTTCGGTGGCGTTGTTTGCGGACGACATTACATTCTTAATAAATAAAAAAAATCTGAAGCACTTGCTGAAACTAACTCTGAATCACTAAGGGTAATGGACTGGTTTCCAAAAAATAGCTTAACCGTCAAAAAATAGAAAACAGTTTCTTTAACCTTCTTTCAAAGGCACATCAACGAAGTGAAGTGCAAAATTCTTGGGAATTCATTTAGACTCTAAACTACATTGGTGTCACCTCACAGGCCAAGTGGCTAAAAAAATCTCAAAAATCATTTTTCTAATACTTAGCCTAAGGGACCCTACAGATTGTAACATATTATTGATGTGATATTATGCTCTAATTGGCTTCCAGTGGCTTTATGGTCTTATAAACTGGGGCCAGCCTCCCTGTGCAGCAAGAGTCTTTATTTTACATCGTATGGTAATTATAACAATCATAAACCTCAAATACAGAGAGGATGTTATATCTAACTTTTCGGAGCTTAAAATTCTTACACTGCCAAACGCTTATATATTTAGTTTACGCTTTTACCTCTACAAAACATGGAATATGGACAACCTCAGACCTGATTTCTTCTGTCCTAATGCGAGTAGGCTAGGTTCAATTACTACTGCGTCCATTTTTTTAATAAACTTAATCCCGAGACCAAACAACTCCCAATAAAAAGGTTCAAAATCTTAGTCGAAGATTTTTTAATGAAGCAATCCTTTTACAGCTTGAAGAAGTTTATCTTTTTTCAAGATATCAATAATTATATCTAGTCAGGCATACCCCCAGAACCAAAGGATGAATGTATATATGGAATCATTGAAAAACTTCAATAACCAATAATGAAACACATCACTTGTGGAGTTAGTTTTGGTTGGAGTTAGTTTAGATTTGCCAATATAAATATGCATAAACGAAATACTTTGAGAATAGAAAACTTCTAAGTCTTTCTTTGTAATGAAAGTAATTTAATTTGGATCATTTGAATTATTTAACAAAAGTAACAGTATAAACTTTTTTTAGGTGTCTACTATTCTCAGATCCGATTGCGAGCAAAAGTTTTTCTGAAATCTTTATAAACCGAATCTGCTTGTATCCCGTCTACCATGGTTGTATATATATCCTGACTATATGGGGATATCGACCTTGTAGAACCCATCCTCACAGAGATATAATTTTTTTAAATTAAGGAACAAAAATGTGGACAACATAAATATAGGTGTTACTTGGGCCTTCAGAAATGAGATATTTAATTGTTTCCATACGTTCGCCATCCTGGTCAGCATCAAAAATTTAGGCTTTACTAATTTAGGCAACTTCACGTTTCCAATAATAAAGAAAAATACCAATAGCGTCCATTATATTTGGTACACCGTGTATTTTCGACCTATGCTAGTTATTGAGTCGAAGCAAATTGATTGATTTCAGTATATTTGGTTTACAAAAATTTGTTATTACTTTTTTTTTCATTTGCCCTTTATAAAATTAATGTGACAGCTATAAACCTTTTTGTTATAGATTTATATTCTGAAGTTGTATATTAATCACCATATTTTGTATCTTTTAATATTCTACCTTCTTCATTAAAAAAAAGGTCTTATTAAGAAACCTGTCGAAATGGTTTTTTTATCTATATTGCCTCTTTTAAATCTAATTGAAACAACACTAAGAGTTCACAAGATTTTCCATATAACTAACTAATCCGAGCGGTTGGTTATCGGAGCCTCAGATGTGGTTTTTGACTATTTATTTGGCAGTTGGGTGTACAATAAAAAGTTATCCAGTATACTTATTTCTTAAAAAACTTTTTTCTTTCCATGGCCAAAGATCCACTGCTGGAAGTGAATCACATGCCACTTCGGATTTGTTAAATTTGTCGGTATATCAAACGCACTCAAGTGTCATGTCATTATTATCGTGAATAATATCACATATAGAAAGAGTAATATATTATATATAGAAAAAGTTATTTTCCCTATATCAGCTAGTTGTTACTTCGTAAATCCACTTAATATCGAAATTAAAAAAAAAGTTTTTGCTAAGAAAACTGACCAAATAATTTTTTGATCTATATTGTTTATTTTATATCTAATTAAAACAACAGGGAGAGACCACGATATTGTCCATAAAACGGATGCTTGGGTTTTAATATTGAATTTTCAGATGGATTAAATGAATGTGATGTTTGACTATGTATTTAACACTTCGGTTTGCAATAAGAAGTTATCCAGTATACTTATTTTTTTTTTCTTTCCAAGGAGAAAGATCCAGTGCGGGAAGCGAATCACATGCCACTCTTGGATTTGTTGAATCTGACGGTATATCAAACGCACTCGCGTGTATGTCATTATTACCGTCAATATTATCGCATATAATTTTAGAAAGAGTTATTTTTCTGATTTCGGCTAATTGTTTCTTCGTAAATCCTACCACGTGATCTGAGGTTTCGTACCTAAAATGCATTTGAATTATACCTCAGACTTTACTAACGTAGACAAGTAGACTAACCAAAATCGATCGCATTGTCTTAGGCGGCTAAATTGAATCCCAATAATGCATCCGAAGGTGGGCCCAACCAGACCACCTGGTAACCGAGATTCGGTCAATCCACCGGGAAATAGATCGATATCGTCCACGCTCTGATAAATTTGTTTCAATTGTTTTATGGCATCCGCAGGGGTTGTGTCTGCTAAATCATCAAAAGTGTCAGCTCGGTTTAAATTACAATATTCGCGATAGTCGTTGAAAGGGGGAATACCGTGATCCCTCGCTCGCTGAACGTTTAAGGAGATTAAATCCACCCCGGTGAAGGGTATTTTTGTATTTTCAAACAAGTGGTTGGTAACTTCCTCAGTAATAAATCGATCTAGATCTTCCATTGGTGTAGCACTAATACCACGCGCTATGTGGTCGATGATATTCGGCTGAAAGCAGTTTACCGTTAATGCAAGTAAATTAGCTTCTACAAAGTATTTACCGTGAAAAGTATGTCGGTATCAAAGAAGGAATCTCTTAGTAGAAGCGGAGGACAAACGGGCTTGAAATTATTGTCTAACATTGGAATTTCAGCCCGTAGAAGTGAGTGACCAATTCTGTATGCGGCTGCCCCAAATTCTGTAAGGGTGTCCGGACTGCAGGTTGGGTCATATTTGTCGTAGAATCCGTCGTATAGTAGCCTAAGTCCAAAATTTTCCAAAGCATCTTCACCCAATATCCGCGGTAGAAATTCGTTGTAAATGATGTGTTGGAAGATGGCAACAACTAGCCTTCTTGCTTCGTTAAATCGTTTATGGGCGCTCCAGGATGGATTTAAAACTTGGAAGGCATCATTTATACTGTTGTGTACTCTCAAGAAAATCGTATGAATCATGGTCAGTCCTGCTTGTTCCGATGCCCTACCATCTCCGGCGTAAAAACATAACCCTGAGGGCGATTTGCATTTTGGGTGAGTTGCGGTCCGTGGGAGCAATTCTTTAGATCCATCTCCCAGGTCTGACGAGTTTAATCTTCCATTCTCTCCCTTAACCATTTGAAATACGCAGTTATTCTCGCCGTATATCTAAAACAAAACGAACAACAACTTTACCGAGCACGAGTTTTTACAAAAATCACCTACCACAGATCCATCCAAATAAGGAGTATTTTGATTAACTTGTTCCCTGGAACCTAGATAAGTTTGCCCCGCTAAAGTCCTCATAGACGGAAAACAGGCTTGTTTGCCGGTAGTACTATTGAATTGAGGGAAAAAATAATCATCTGGTGGGATTTGGAAAGGGTTACATTCGGGGTGTACGGTTTGTTTGCTGTCGCAGGGTCTACACGATGGGATAGATTCCTGAAATCCTTGATTAAGAGGTGTAAACGTGATTTCATGGTCCAAAAATTGAGCAAATTGCATAACCAACAAAGTATATCTGGTACTTAAATGAGTGACATCTGGATGGACAGTTGTAGAAATTGTTCTTGGATTTGGTAATGGATCTCCACTAACTGCTGTTATCCTTGGCTCCGAAATTCCTGCGGAGAAAGAGCAATCGATTTCATAAACAACGTACAGGGTGGGCATTTTATTGAGGATCTATTTTAAAAATCATTAAAATTAAAAAAAAAATCAAAGATTTATTATATATTATTTCAAAGTGATGTCTGCTGACATTAACTTTCTCATTTATACGAATATGAATTTTGATAGCGGGTTTAAAGACGATATATAGTAAGTGGATCGCACAAGGTTTCCGATTTGTTAGCCTTTTTCTTCAGTTGTTTACTATTTAAGTTAAAATAAATTCGCATTTTTCTTTTAATTTTGCTGCTAGAAACAAAATACGAAAGCGTTGGTCCAACTCCACATCCTTAGACCCACCGTATTAAATATCTTATTTTTTAAAGAGAGTTAAGATTTGAACGATGTACGTATATCTCGGTATCACCGTTTCGGACTCATGAAAAGTATTTTTTAAAACAGTATTTTTTCAAACATAGCTTCCTGTAATTCAATACAAAAAAACAAATGCAAATTTTCGTCTGTTTGAATGGATTCTAGAATAGAGAATTCCTTCGGCAATTTTGCACATTAAATTGCCATTCAAAAAACTATCGCGATTAATTTGATGAAATTAATTAATAAAATGTCAAACGGTGAATCTCAGATCCATGTTGACGTAAATTGCTGAGAAAATTCTTGTTATATACAGTAGTATATGCACTTTTAGATAATCTTGATCATTATCTAAATAATGCAACATTTGTAAATAATTGATATTTCAAAAACTTTTAAGAAAGGTTTTCGTATATTCTTCGAGGCAAACAGTAATACGCAAATAGTATATGACACAACAAATTTGATAAGTGTAAACGGGTAAACGATTGCTCGATAAAGCTTTTTATAATAATGCATGCAATACTTCCTACTCCCGAAAACATCAGTCAAAGTCAAATTTGAAGAAAAACTTCAAAAAATCCCAAATATTCAGGTGCAGATACTGTGGTCCAAATTATAATAAAGAAACTTTAACAGCGTATTCAGTTGATAGAAATAAGCAAAAAAAAGTTCATATAAACTTATGTCCTAAAATCTTCCATTTAGAAGATACAGGGTGTTGAATTATTGCGAAAAAATTTTTAAAAAGTAACTTGGTAGGTATTATTGCGACTTAAAAAAAAATTATAGTATAAATAAACTTATTTCTCTACTGCCGTCTGTAAAATACCTAATTACCCACCGATCTAGGGTGCGGGAAGCGTCACTTCACCACGTCAGTTTCGTTTCCCATGAATCCGAGCCACTTCGGATATTTCCGAGATTTTGCCGCACGGATTTGGGAGCAATCAGATGTTTTCGGAAATATTTCCCACGCTTTGAATTTTGATGTTTGTCAATTCTGACGGTCATGTCAGTGAATGTATTCGTGTTTTGCGAAAATGTACTCGGTTATTAAAAACTCGCTCCGCTCATGTCAAATAAACTCGTGAGTCAAATACCGTTTACTGCACTTGTTGCATAATATACTATTTTCGCATTCGTTAGACCGTTTTAATTAATTTTAATAATAAAAAATCGGTACGCTATTCGTTAGTTTGCAACGTTGTTAATAAATTTATAAATCCTTATTAATTCTAAACAAAAATGATATCTTTGTTTTTTTTATGCTCTTATTACAGTTTGAAAGCAAAATGTAGAAGAGATTTTTTAAAAATAAGAAACAACTATTTTTTTTTTATTTATATATTTTATATTTTTACCCTGAATACCATTGAGATCGTCTTTTAAAATGTAATGATTTTAATAATATATAACGTGTCATATTAAAAATAAAAAGGTGAATGTCAAAATCTAACGATTTTTGTATTAAATAGAGATCAGGTATTAAATAGTACATCCTGTGCATGCATATAACTCACCGTCTTCGTAAGCACTGGGCAGTAACCGATTAAAATTAGACAAAGTAGTTCCTAAGTTAGGTTGTTTTAAATTGTTGCAGTATCCCGTAATAGTTCTATAAGGAGAATATAAGTCGCATGGTCCAGAGTCGCTACAGTTGGAGTCTGTTGCAGAGCTCGTAGCGGAAAACAGATCAGATATGTCTATATTCTTTAGATCAAGTGTAATGTGTCGTTTTCTTTTATGCCTGTGTAGAGTATTGTTTAAAGTATAGGTGGATATTTATCCCGTTAACTCACAGTATTGACGTGTTCGACAAACGAATTGCGTATTTATTTGCTTTACCAATTGCGGCTGCCGTTGCCTGATGCGATTTTGGATCAAGCCCTCCATCTATAACAGAACCACCGATTGACTCGTTTGGGGAATTCAAACAGCTAACCTTCTGCCCAAACACGATAGTGCATTTTCATCCTTTCCAAATGAGTTTCTTTGACTTTTGAAACTGCGTCCTTGAGGAGATCGTCACTTATGCTCTGAGCGACTGTCAGGTATATACTGGAAAGGAAACAGAGCGCCCTCACTGTGTCGGGTTCCGGCTGTACGGGTAGGAACGCGACGCGGGGGGTCTGAGCTTAACCACTTGGACCAAAAAGAGTAAACCTCAATAATAATCCTAAATCATAAGGTGGGGAGTCGGGTCTAAGGGATGCATGGCTGGATAGAAGATCAGCCTCTATCGATTCCAACCTCGAGGCACCGGGCGCAATTCGGGGAAGAAAGCCTTATTTCTGCATACGGGGCTCTGCACAGGCGGACCGTTTTTTCCCTAGCTGCTCGTGGGACCGATATGGAAACAGAAAAACAAAAAATAAAGAAGGAAGAAGGAGAGAACGGGCCCCAGGAGGGCTCTAGCAAACAGGGGCGTTCTCAGGAAGGTCCCTATAAGGGCGATCTGAGGAGGATCCCCAGGTCGCGAGCGGGGTGGAGGGCTCGATACAAACCGGGAAGACCACCTCGTCAAAACACACCGCCCCAGACACAGTTCCGGGCACCTGCCGGGGGTCGGCGGCCGACACGTGGTCCGGCGAATGCTGGGCCCGGGAAAGGCGAGCCGTCGCGGATGGCTATGACAGGGGGGTTCAGTATTATGCGCAAGCTGCGGCAAGGGACCTAAACTGGTGCAGGAAAATTTCGGAGGACGGTACATCCACTGTACTGATTCTAGAGCCCTGGATTGTAAAATTAAGGGTTAGGGGGTTATCTCTCAGAGGGTCGACGCTGCATAGTGTCGACTCCTCAGGGGGCGATTCCAGGGCCTGCATACTAACCATGGGGCTGGAGGCCTTTTTCTTAAGGGACAAGGCTTCCAGGGATCTGATTCCAATTCTGGTCAGATCCCCCACTCGCGACGGCGTGAAGTAGTGGTCGTCTCTGCGTATTTTCCAGGCGACCGCAGCTGTCCTCGGGTGGAGATCAGGGACTTGGTCTCCTACTGTGAGGAGGCGAATCTTTCTCTTTTGATGGGCTGCGATAGCAATGCTCACCACGTTTTGGGAGGCAACGCGGTGACTAATCGTAGAAGGGAGATCTAATGGAGTTCATGGCCTCGGCAAGGCTGCAGGTGGCCAACAGAGACCCACATTTTTCACGACAGGTCGGAGCTGGGTTTCAGACTTGACACTCTGTACCAGGGCTCTGCTCCCTAAAATAACTGAGTGGTGTGTCTGTGTGGAGGACTCTATGTCGATCATAGATATATCACCACAATACTCTTTGATCAAGGACCAGAATTTGAAAATAATTTATTCAAAGAATTTTGTCAATTATTCTGTCTCGAAATTCATCACACTACCCCTTCTAACCACACAGATGAAGCGCCGGAAAATTTAATTAATTACTTTCGCCCTACGATCCCTATTTAAACGAACGACAATGAGCGAGAAACGAAGAAGTAAATTAATTCGCTTCCATCGAAGTGTCTGCAACATCACCTACCAAAAACAGAATTAAAGCGCACAAACTGTGCACACTCGATAAATCAAACGACTTAGAAAGAAACCTTCTTTCTAGCTTCCTGATCTTGGCCCAACATGACCAACCGAACCCAAGCACTTCTCGCCAAGAAGCTACCGGATAATGGATATTATGAAGAAGACGTCACGCCATCCCTATCATAAACATATATGTCATAATATATTCACTTCAGTTTAGGTAATATTCAATTAACATTGACTAAGCTGTGTAGTAATCTTTTAATTATTGGTACTATACTATATTCACAAAATAATAATTTATTCTTGATCAACCTCAATCACGCGACACCTATGCAACGCATGCAACGTTGAATGATAGTGAAATATGCAACGTCAATCGTAAAAAACGAGGTTTAATCAACTTCATAGGAACTGGTAACAAATTTATTACCGGCAATCTAGACAACATTAATTTAGAAACAACTGACGGAGAATCAGCCTAAATCGCTGCGGAATATTAACGACCTAAGTTCATTGGCAGGAAATATTGAACATAAATTTAACGAAAACATAAATGTTTTAAATTTAAATGCAGATAAGATTCTTTCTAAATTCACGGAAATGAAAACTGAAATAAATTCGATGTTTCTATTGCAGAACCTCTATTTCGAAATAACTAACCTTAATCGGTATCGGGAATAAATGTTAAGCACTCTTTTGTAATTTACGTCTTGAGACATATAGAACGCAACAAGCAGAAAAAATCTGGCAATGTTTAAGATTGATCAATTTTCAGAATTAACAGGTCTTATGATTTTATCGGATATGGCAATTCTCGCTTTAAAAATAAAAATCTTTAAACCCAATACCGATTAACGAATCCAAAATACTGGTAACCAAGAGCAAATACTATTTTGACAATCTATGTTATAATAATGGTAAAGAAATAAATTCTAGGTGGATATGTTGTGGACTACACAGCTGGCACTTGCCAACTGACTCCCAATATGCCACAGCCCGAAACAGCTTTCAAGGGCATTCTATGACATATAAGAACGTCTTACTTTTCTGCACTAAAACTTCGGAAACCCTTTATGAAAATAGCATTAAATTTCAGAAGGTTTCCCTCCCAGAATGTTACATCATTCAAACATGATTCAATGTGATGGAATAACAAATCAGTATAAATATGCATTAAGGGTCAAGAACGTCTCCCTTCTCTTCTGGAGATAATGAAAATTCCAAAAAACAAGTAAGTCGTCGGTGGATCAAAATCTTAGAGTCGGCATTATTTGTAAAACCTTCATTTATCAAAAATTTTAATTTTCTTGAGGTAAAAGTGGGGAGGTTAAGGAGTCCTGTCTCGCCATATTCAAGTATTGCATTGTACTTTCTGTTGTTCACTTGTGAAGGAATTGTCTGTGGTGACTTGTCACGGAATAGGTCACTTTATTTTGAGTTGAATTTTAATCACTTTTGAACTGTGGAGAGCGTAATGTCCAATGGGCGTTCCAAATAAAATATCCAAATTTTTGAACGCCCTTGTAATATTAGATTTTCCGTTGCATATATTTACATATTCTTTTACACGTGTATTTTAATCGTCAGTCATTCATATCGTTTTAAACTGTCCCAGAGTTCACCTGACGTTTGATTTTTTGTTATGCTAACAACAAAAATAAAACAAGTACTTAAGTAGTCCAAAAAATGGATTTATATTACGAAAGTGTTATCGGTGCAAACCTAGATAATAATTTGAAAAATAATTTGAAAGTAATTTAAATATCCGTTTTTAGTAACACAGGCAACCTCACTTCTTCCTGAAACCAGCTGCATACCTTAACACGAACATTGTTTAGAGACACATAACATTAAAATAAGTCTAAAACTAAAATCCAGAGAAATTGTTTACATAGTGCTGGTCAAAAATCTCCACTCGATTTTTAAACCTATTCGTTGATAATAGCCTGGCATCGCTTTAGCCTACAATAAGTATACCATCCCTTCTCCCTCTCTAACCAATATCGATCTTCTGGAGCTTTTATACAGAGCAGAGTCTTAAAGATATAGACTGACTGAAAGGTAAGTATTTTGTGTGAAAAAAAGCGCCTCTACTTCGTCCCCGCACAAAAATTGCAATTGCGGGTTCACTAATGGGAGTTGATTTATATAAATGACAACTAATATTGAACTCTGGGGTATACCCACCACTATCGTTCTCTCTCGGCACTAGAACTCGATAAAAATTTCTTTTCCAAAAAAGCAAAGTGTTTGCTTCGAAAGTGAAATTATTATATTGTAATACTATCTTATAAGATTTGTCGGCTCGGCTTAAAAACAAGTGTGAAAGCTGGAGTTAGAAATCATATTCAGTTATAGTTAACAGTTCAGTCGATTTCTTTTAGAATCTGTTATCTTGCTTCTATTTGTTGAAACTCATGTAGAGCACGCTGAAATGCTAAGACATATTAATCAACGATCTGTCAGTCGTAATATTGTGGACTCGTGGGAACTAACTTTGGTATTTTGCCGAAGTGAATAGAACACTACGAGATAGTCTGACTTTATAGAAGCAATGGTTAGGTCAGATTTTGAGTAACTATTTATATATAGTGTATTTTTGATTACCATCGGTGGTTCATCTTGCTATTCGCGGATCGTTCTATTGCCTTTAATAATCAATTAAGTGATTAGATATGTACAAAAAGTCCAAATCCATGTCTCCTCCCTCACCATCAGCTCCCGTCCCCGTCCTATTTTTATTATTTATTTTACGATCTCTGACATATATTACCCTGTCTCCATCAGACGTTACAAGTTTCAGGAAATCTGGTTTCGGTTTAAATTTTAATACATAATTGACGTTTCACTATAATTTAACCATATTTTTCATGGAAAAGAAACAAATTCATCAATACTTTGTTTGGCTAAAATGTTTGGATATTTACAACACAGGCATTAATAACAATCCATTAACTGTCAAATTTTCCAAATGTGCAATCGAATTTATTAAATTAAGGCAAATATGCCAACTTTACAGGAACCTGCTTTTATTTTGAAATGCTTAATATATTGGTATACCGTATTAAATTGTCTTCCAGGGATAGTTAACGTTATAAAGATTAATGTTATTAAAGATTAAAAAATGTTTTGAACAAAAAAATATAATAATTGCAATTGATGGCGGATTTGTAGAAAATTTAGAATTAATGCAGCTTTTCTGCAGCAATGGCAACATTGTTACTATAAAAGACAAAAAGATTTTGAGGCTGTTTGTAACACTGCAGAAGTCACACGGTCAACAAATATAAAACTTTAGTATCTATTTTAAGGAATACAAAAATGCAACCTTAAGCTAAACGCTCATATAATACTTTTATTTTACGAAGCTTGAAATATCCACTTATTTCGAAATAG